TACGACAATTTTCGGACAGCTTTCCATTAGAAACCCAGATGAAAGAAGTAAGCAGCTATATGTCACCGTATGGCCTTCAACAATAAGCAGAATACATACCACATAGCTAGCTATAACAACCCCCGAAATGACATTTGCTTAACAAATGAAATGAGAAAACTCAAGGTCGATTTTGACGCGAATAGCATTTACCGTTTAAGAGTTATTGTACTAAATATTCTTAATGAATTTTATCCAGTCACCCCCCCACCCGATGTTATCTAAATTATCACTTGAAGCAATCTTTTTTTAAATTCTAACATAACATAATGAACCATAAGCTATCTTAAAATTTGTTTGCGGTTAAGGTATGTAAATAAATTTTCCACTTGACAAAGTCTTTTTGAATTAAACAAATTATCATTGTCCATAATAAAGAAACGATTTTGACAGAATAGATATTTGTGTTCAAGATTATGTTGCATGGGGTATCTGTGATCACGTAGTCTAAATCATGTAATTGCAGTTTTCAATCAATTGTACGATTGTACTCGACCCTTAAATCTGTTATCCAAATGCTGTGAAAAGCAAATAACACAGCTTTATTTTCTGAAATTATATGAGTAATTACATGCCATTCAGTTATGGTAATGCAGGTTAATTTTATTTTTGGTTGCATAGAAACCAAAATGGACCCTTGTATTAATATGTTTTCCTTATTTGTACATTTTGCTTCTAAGCGGTCCTGATACAGGTTTATCTAGAAAAGTGCATCAAATAAGCAAATTTTATGCGTTTTTCTTTGCTATCTACTATAACTTTCACATTTCTGATTTCAATCTTATTGCCGGTGAACTGTTAGTTCTTACAATATTAGTAATTTCACCAGGACCGAAAAAAAAACCAGAATCCGGTTGACAAACCAAAGCTTTTAAACACAGTGTCAGGATTAAATGTATTAGTGATATGCAATCAAACAAAAACTGTGAAACAAATAGAAGTTTGAATGAATGTTATAGAATGCACGTAAAAAGTGATAGAAAAATAGTAATTCCGTACTAACAAAAATGGATCAGAGAGACAGTGACTACTAGCCTGTCAACAGTGAGGTTGTGAGTTCGAAACTTTTGATTTTTCTATAATTCAGATACAGTTTGAGAAATTATAAATGCATATAAAATTTTCCAATAAAGTATTTCGCTTTTAATCAGAAAATTTGTTTGTATGTAATAGTACTTGAATTCAAATTGACACCGGTTAAGTCGGTTGACAGTTGACAAAAAAGCAATTTTTAACCGTTTGCGTTTTTTTTTTTTTGTCTAAACTTACACGATCATATGGTGTGGTTTATTTTTACATGCAAGATACTATAATCTGCAAGCATGTTCAATTGGAACCAAACATGTTCCTCTTCATGTCGACTTGTTCCTTTATTTATGTGAGGTAGACTAAATTCTTCATACAGCAGTTTCTCAGAAAGAATACCAGTAGCTAGGATTATCCTTTAACATTCTGTTCCTCTCACCAAATAATCCAACGTTTTGTGACTATTTTGAACGCATCTATCGCATCGAACTTGAAATAAAAGAGACCACAGATACAGTTTAGTTTGCATCATATCTTAACTTATATCTGGAAATTGACAACGAAGGTAGCTTGAGAACAAATCTTTACGATGAAAAGTAAAATAACAAAAATACCGAACTCCAAGGAAAATTCAAAACGAGAAGTCCCTTTTCAAATGGCATATCAAAAGCTTAAACACATCAAACGAATGGAAAACAACTGTCATATTCCTGACTTGGTAGAGGCATTTCCTTTTCTCTCATTTGTATAACAGTCGCATAGATTTGATTTATATTGACAACAATGTGTGAGCAAAACAAACAGACATAGTAGGTGGGTCAAAATGATTCATTTCCCATAGGCGGTAATGGTAACAACTTCCTCTGTTGCTCAGTCCATATCGTTAACTTGAATATTATGTATGATGGCTCATACCGACGCTGAGACATTTATACATGTCTAGTTAAATTTTCGGGGTGGAAAGCGAGATTAGTTTTCCCACAAATTGTCGGACCCCGAAAGATGGTGAAAAATGTCACTCTCCTCATGAAATAATCCCAAAATTCTGATCATAAAATTCAATAAAAAATTTGTCCTTTGTAATCATTTATTTAAGGTCTAATCGTCATATTTTTTTTCTCATCACATCAGCTCTATAAAAAAGTTCTCATATTTCAATTATGTCCATTTTTAAAATCACAGCATCCACAATTGTATGGCGGACTTGTATTGTTTTTTTATAAGCTAATCTGAGTTACTCATCTCAAAGTACATTAGGCATATTGACCCAGGTACAAATGTCAAAAAATGGGACACAGCAGTTTATAATCTCTATAAAAACAAACAACTATGTCAACAAAGAAAAACAATTGGCATATAGACGGTCTATAGACAAAGCACATGAGCAAAAATGAAAAACAAGAATACAAAAAAATGACCAAAGCACAATAAAACAATGGCAGGATGTATAAATACCGAGCCACGCCAAAGAATATTACCAAAAATGGACTAAACAGTAAAGGTTAAAATATATACAAAGACAAATAAAAAGAACACTATAACACGTAATTTAGATAATAAACAACGACAATACCTAGAATCTATACTTCAAGACCATCATGTATTATTTGTTAAGTTGATACGGAATATTTATCAATAAGGTCTTAGTATCTTCCGATGAACTTTTTAAGAAAAAGGACGAGACGTTCTTTGACATAACCCTGGTTCATCAACGTTCTGCTCAGACACTGGTGACGTTAAATTAAGTCTGATGAGCAGCTGCAAGCTCTTGAATACAGAATGAGTTGACCGCTTATATCAAATTCGAGGTAAAAGTTTAATTAGAGGCTCTAAAGAGCCTGTGTCGCTCACCTTGTTCTATGTGCATATACAACAAAAGACACTCTCCAACATTGTAGACGAGAATAGAATTCATGACAAAAATCTCTGTTTTGTTGAAATTGTATTGCTAATCATTTAGTCTGTTCAGTTTCTCTCTATCTTCTTTAGTTTTTGCTCAAAACACAAAAGAGGGTAAACAAATTCTCATTTAAGGGCAATCACTCCTTTAAAGATTGACAGTCTTCTAACTATATCGGCAAAATTTGACTTGTTAGTAGATCTTGACTTGCTGATAATTTTTGTGATTTGGAGTGTCTATTTATCTATAATTATAGTTTTTATCATATAAGGCAAAACGCAAAAATAATGGTGAAAATCGTCATTAAAGGGCAGTAACTCCAATAAGGAGTCGACTGACGACTTCAACCATGTTAGACACATTTTTAGAACTTGTCTTGCTGATCATTTGTGCAATTTAAAGTTTCATTTAATCTATTATAGTTTTCAAGATAGTAGGCAAAAATGAAAAAAAATTGTAAATTTGTCATTTAAGGGCAATAAATTCTATAAGAAGTCGTCTGACAGTTTTGATGTATATGGACAATTGGTAGAGTTCAACATTCTGTACATTTTTGCCGCCGTCAGATTTTCTGTATTCATAACGGTTTTCAAAATGATAGACAAAACTTGCATTTTACCCCTATTTTTAGCCATGTCGGCCATCTTGGTTGGCAGGCGGGGTCATCGAACATATTATTTAAACTAGATAACCCAATGATGATTGTGTCCAAGTTTGGTTAAATTTGGCTCAGAAGTTTTAGATGAGAAGGTTTTTGTAAAAGTTAACAGACAATGGAAAATCATCATTAAAGGACAATAACTCCAATAAGGAGTCGTCGGACAATTTCTTCCATTTGTGTTAATTGTAGATCTTATCTTGTTGATCATTTTTGCTTATTGAAGTTTCTACCTACTAGTATCTATTATAGTTTTTAAGATATAAGGCAAACACGCACAAAAATGGTAAAAATCGTCATCAAAGGGCAATAACTCTAATAAGGAGTCGACTGACCACTTCGACTATGAGACTTATTTGTAGAATGTCTTGCTGATCATTTTTGCAATTTAAAGTTTCTCTTCATCTATTATAATTTTCAAGATAGTAGTCAAAAATGAAAAAAAAAAAATGGTAAAATTAGTCATTAAAGGGCAATAACTCCTATAAGAAGTCGTCTGAAAATTTCGGTGATTTCGGACAATTGGTAGAGCTCAACTTTCTGAACATTTTTGCCCTTGTAAGATTTTCTCTATTTATAAAGATTTTCAAAATAATAGACAAAACTTGCATTTTACCCATATGTTCTATGTTTAGCCATGTCGGCCATCTTGGTTGGCAGGCTGGGTCATCGGACACATTTTTTAAACTAGATACCCTCATGGTGATTGTGGCCAAGTTTGGTTAAATTTGGCATAGTAGTTTCTGCGGAGAAGATTTTTGTAAAAGTTAACAGACGACGACGAACGACGTACGACGGACGCCAAGTGATGAAAAGAGCTCACTTGACCCTTTGGGCCAGGTGAGCTAAAATCGAGGCTGAGGAAGCAGTGGCTGTTGTTTCTTTAATTTCTAGTTCTGGGGGATATATTAATGGAACCCAATCAGAAAAGTTGGATTGTTAATTGAATAAACATCATCAATGCAATATATCAGAATCTTCTTGTTTTTAACAAGTGTCTGAAGGAACTCCGACTCATAAGAAAATAAGAAGAAGTCGGCAAGGAGAGGCGCACAGTTTGTTCTAATAGGAATTGCGACAATTTGTTGAAAAAGTCTACCTCCAATATCAACAATTAAGACAGGTTTGCCTTTGCGTCTGACACCATACATGTCGTTTCTATAAGACGAACATCTTAAACATGATATCATGAACTGAATATTTTTCATTTAAGTACCATAATATCGTTTGTCTAGAGAAACAAATAATTTGATGTTTACACCCCGTTGATATATGACCTTTAGTCTGACATTGAACCGACCCATGGGCAACAAAACAGCAAAAACCACAGAAAAAATGGGGAGTTTTCAATCATCAAATGGTAAACGAATGCATGTGTTGTATACTAGAAAGTGCTTTTTTTTATTTAATAAGTTGGCACAACTATATCACAATATAAAAAATAAAATATATCCGATTTTACCGCACGTCGTTAGAAACATCAGAAGTTGCCAAAAAAGTTAATCAGCCACCTAAAATTGATCTTTCTTGTAGGATCCGAGCAAAATTTCATTTTTCGTAGCCAGGAAATATCCCTTTCAGTCATTTTTTGAACAATTGTCATTATATTTTGTGATCTCTTTTAGCGATCAACATGCGGAATCTATATTAAAACATCACAGCCAATGTTGACCTTTTCCAAAATTGTGTTCGATCTGTCAAGTATGGGTTCGGTCTGTTTTTCTGTATGTTTAGTTGCATTAGTTTGATAAGTTTAAATTCCTTGTTTATTTGATCATAGAAAACATAAAACAGATGTTCTATAACCTTCATCGCCATCTATTTTACACCTGAGATCGATTCCAGTTTGTTGTAGGGTTCTTGTTGATCAGCAATTTCTGTAAATTTACATTCAGAGCAAGAATGTGCATTTGACGCTGTTTTTGGCAAACAATACAATTCATGACATACGTGTACAGTTGTCACTATTATTGAGAATGATGGTATCATTAATTTCAATTTTGATATTTTTTTGTTCATGAATCAATGTGGTTTAACAAAGTTAGATAGCATATCACTGGAAAAAGTTTAAATTTGATACATGGACAGGGAATGAAAACTGTCCACTTAAACCATAACGGGGTAAGATGTACAGATGATTTATTTGTCTACATTTGAAATATCATTATCAAACAAAGGATCTTCGTATTATTGATAATCAGAAAATGTGTAAAATAATTTTTAAAATATTCAGTGATCATGTAAATCACTTGTCATTTTCAGGGATTATATATAATCACTAATGATTTTAGTGAATATACAAAATCCCCGAAAAATTAGGTATTCTACATAATTCCTGTTTAAACAAATTAACTGTACCATATATATGATATATTTAGTTGAAACAATATATATTTGTACGACTAAAATCTATTTCCGTTTAAACAATACGCTGTTTCAGGCTTTAGGTTACATGTACAAAATCGTTAGTTGCCATTCAAATAGTAAAGCTTCAATCTGAAAATAAAAGAAAAAGAGCCAACTAGCTTCCTGCTATAATAAACGGAAAAATGCACAAGGAAAATAACTAATAGTTTAGCGTATAATTACCTTTTTAAGGGAAAACATTGTAGAATTAATTAAAATATCACTTAATAAATTATGCTTCCGAAGGGCTGTAATGGATTAAAGCCAAAATTTTGACTCGTATATAAGATGCATTTAATTCAATCTATACGTGTAAAAACTTCTATTTTCGTGTTAAAGCAATCCTTTTCTCCATGCTTAAAGTTTGTAAAATATAATTCCGACATTTCTCATATACAGAATAGGTTTCTAATATTTGATCATGTTTTTGGTATTTTACCTGTCTTCAATGAGACCTGTATTTTTAAATTAATATATTTGTGATTTGTTGAAGTAGCTTAACGGCCTATCAATTATGCCGTTGGTTTTCTTGTTTGAATTGTTTCACATTTCATATCGGGGTCTTTTATAGCTGACTATACTGTATGGGGTTTTCCCTATTGTTGAAGGCCGTACGGTGACCTAAAATACATTCTATCTTCCTCATTTGAACTCTGATGTCTCATTGGCAATCATACCACATCTCCTAATTATTATGTTAATAATACAATGAATAAGTGGTAGGATGTTTTAATCATGAAATTAGGCTATCATAAATAGGTTCGTTCACGTTCAATTAATGAAAAAAGTAAAAAGATACCAAAGGGGTATCAACATATTTCAATAAAAAAGGACAGACAAAACCATGGCCAACAGAAAATATAACAATGTCCAATGTTATTATTAGTTCGTAGCAATTTACCTTTTCTTCTGACTGGCATTTCTGTCTTTTTTTGAGGGGTTATATGTATCATTCTTTGAAAATCGATTATACACCTACAATTTAAAAGTACATACTGATTGATACATAGCCCATCCAATTAATAAGCTAATAGTGGTATCATCAACTGGATGATGCTATCTTAGTAAATCTTATATAGTACAAATAAAGGCGTGAATTTTCAACAATATTTACATAATATAAAACTCAAAAGAGATCTAAAAAGAATTTTGATCTGTAACCAATTACAATGTATACTCATCACAAGGTATTTTTGACTTATTTAAATGAAGCAATATCAATCTGCGTATGCGTTAGGGGCATCTGAGATCATTCCTGTTTATGTGTGGTTCGAAATACTCGGATGCTTTATATTTCTTTGTTTATTCATATTGAGACATATGGACAAATATTTCTTTTCCCTTTTATTCCTCGGGTTAAACCAGCCCTTATACGTGTTTCATAAAGGAAATTGTTTATTCTATATTTGAAAATTAAACCAAGCTTATTCCTGTTTTATAAATGATTTGTTTCCTTATTGTCTGATAAATTAAATATGTTATACATGTTTTTTTTATATCTGTGATTCGTGGGTTAAGGATAATACAAATCAAATACGTTTTTGAGAGAAAAAAAAATTATCTCTTATAAATACTTTGGCATACAACAACCCCAAAAAGGCCCTGTCCAATCGATTCTACATAAAATAAATGCCATGAAAAAACAAGTTCTGCGACACTAATAGCTTGTGCATGTCATCCCATATGATTGTGAAATAGGTTTAAGAAAAAAATCGATAACTGATGTTTTATCAGTCTTACTAATTTTGATTGAACAGCTTTGGCTCAAAGGTCACAGTTTTAAGTTTTTAATAATATGACTAATCACACAAACAAAAAGATTAGACACAAGTTTTATCAAACAACAAAGCTGTCTGAATTTTCCCAACGCTAACAATATTGTATTGAGCATGCATTTTCAAATATGAAATTTTGAAATGAACATAAGCTAGAGCATGATTAATAAAAAGAATTACAACAATTAAGTAATTTGGGAAAGTAGAATAAATAAAGATGACACCAGTAATGTGCATGCTATATTCAATCCGAAAATATGCACACTAAGCAGAAAGGGCTTCCGAAAAATGAACAAACTGATTTGGAGTTGGTCATTAAATTTTGTACAAAAATTTATAATTAACTCGTGTAACTTCATTTGTGCAAAATTGCATGTCTATTTAAATCCAGAAATGTGAATTCACGAGAAGGAACAACTTCTGCTTTTTACATAATGACATTAGTTTCGAATACTCATTTATCATAAACAAATTATTCAAAGGATTTACGTTGTATAATTCATTTCAAAGATGATTTTTCCTGATTGCTTCCTCTGGTAAGCTTTTTCAATCTTGGTATTTATTTCGGATGGGTATTGTGTCCACTGTGAGCCCTTCTCATACTCCCAAATAGCACTGACTGTTAAAAAATTAAAAATACAATAGACAATTATAACAATATTGTGTATGTCGTTGCTGTATAAAATCAATTCGGAAGTACAGCAGTCGAAATTTAATGTAAAGAGTCATGCTTTCATTATCAGCAGATTAAATATTTTTGTATTGTGTGTTTGCTCTAAGTAGCATTAAACTTCAGGACTTACAAAATGTACGAATTTTGTGCGCACGGCAGGCAATTTTGGAATAAACTTCTCATCGACACAAGTCTGGTATGCAAAACATGAAAATATAAAATAGGGAGATGTGGTATGATGCCAATGAGACAACTATCCACCAAAGTGAAAATGAATTGGATGTAAGCAATTATAGGCAACCGTACGGCCTTCAACAATGAGAAAAACTCATACCGTATAGTCGGCTATAAAAAGCCCCGACATGAAAAATATGAAACAATTCAATTGGGAAAACTAACGGCCTAATATGATCTATAACAAAACAATTTACGAAAAACAAATATGACAGACATGAACCAACGACAAACACTGAATTACAGGCTCCTGACTTGGGACAGGCACATAAAGCATGTTTTGAAGATGTTTTACATACTTTCCGCTGGAAACATAACGTGATTTCATGTGTAAACATATAATTTACAAGCTGCTTTTTTTTTTATTAGAAAGAACATATGACTTTCTGATATACCATTTCTACATGATTCTTAATAATAAAACAAAAATGATCAATATAGCAGATTTTACTTTTCACCTTTGAATCATAGTGATGAGAAATCAATTCTTTTTCTCACCTGATGTATCGGAGTATATAGGAATTACGTAATCCAATGGGTCATCCTCAGTTGTGGTTTTCAAATTGTGGTAATTCTGTTGTCCATTTTGACTTTGATTATTTGGCTTCATGTGTTGAATTGTTCTCTCATTGTTCACAAAGTCGTCGCTAAAAGAAGTAAAATGATAGAAAATTGAAAAAAGTATAAAAATCATGTTAGCAAAGATAAAAATGCACTGTTAAGTGGCATGTTATTCAGTATCATTCAGAATAGCGACTGTTAACACGTTACTTCTAAATTTCGGGAGTAAAGAATATGTTCATACTATCAAATTGTTTTCTTCAAATATTGAAAAGGCAGTCAAACTATTCGTGTCTTATCACCATTATTAATATAAAAAAAAAACAACAAAAAAACCCTCTCTTGTTTTAAATGTATCTTTTAATCTAAAAATAGTATTCGATGTCTATGTCTATACCTCAGTAACTTTGTAACCAGTTGAATCATTACTTACCACAACCGTACTTCAAAAAGGCCATCATGTCCAATTTTGAATATGCCTTTATTTGTTCCGTCCCATCTTATCTTTACAAATTAGAAAAAAAACATGTAAAATGTCAGTAGTTTTATTTTTGATATCTAATTCTACAATTTAAGTATAGTTTTTAACGTGTATATCATTGTTTCGTTTAGTTTTTATTATCATTTTATCTTCCACTGCATTATAAAAAGGAAAGGCAAAAAATTGTATTGTTCATAATGTCCTGCCCACCGATTTGACTTAACATTTGATTTATAACATGCCAACACGCAAAACAGAATTACAACAGTTCCATACGAAACAATAATAAATGCAGTCTACTTTCGTTGTTAAGTATGAACATTTTGATCGTAATTTGGACTGGACAATCGACATGACCTTGAAAATTGCCGTGGAGCATGTGTTCCTGATATAGATAAAACATTTTAAATTCTATTTCTTTTACAACTTTTTTCATGCTATCATTTGTAAAAATTTAAGTTGCGAAACCGGAATTGCATTTACAACAGTAAAACAAATAGAGCTACGTTTGTGGGTTTTCATACTTTTCCCTGTAATGCTAAAACATATATCAGTAAATATTCTGTCCTGAACATATAGATTGAATATACTAATAGACAATACTTACTACAACCTTGCCTTCATCTTTCACTTCAAGTACAGTTCCTAATGAACCTTCACCTCCGTCATAGTCGTCATACTTCCAATCTTGACCTGTGTGTTATTGAATATCAAACATACAGTGTACCTTGCTATTTATCTTTTTCACGAAAAGAGAACAAAAGTTATTTGTTAGATTAAGCATTAAAAAACATTTCACTTCCTCATATTGTTTCTATGTGATTTGTAGTATGGAAAATATGAAAAAAAAGTACAGAAAATGTCCAACTCATAAATTCTCATTTCTAAAGAAGTTTTGCCTGGTGTTCCAGACGACGATTCTTTAAAAAGTACGTGTGTGTCATGCGCACTGAAGTTGATATCATACGTTTGTTTATCATAATGTAAATATATATAGATATAAAGTTGGATTTATATCTCTGACATCATAACTTACCTCTAACAACTCTACAACCGACTGCTATCATCTCATTGACGAGTATTCTGGCTTCATCTACTTTTCGTACTTGATATCTATCCATTTGCTCATCATATAGATATGTAAGGCTGTGTCCATGGTCCCAGTCTACCCAAATCCAGTCTTAACATGGAAATTGAAATCAAACGTTTTAAACATGTACGAGGAAAAGTGAGGTTTAAGTTATCAATTGCTTAAAGATACTAGTCTTGTGCGAAAATAGAAAACTAACAAATAAGGCTGAATATTTTTCATACACTAATTCTTATACCTTTCTGTTATTTCTCCTTTATCGTGATTCTTCTTAAGCGTCCATATCATTATCTTAACATTGTTTTGTCTAATGATCAACGAAGCCTATGTGGCTTACTTGACAGCAATGCATAATATTTAAGAATAGAAACTTTCTCCTGTCAACCAGGATCATGGGATATGATTCGAAAATTTAACACCATGGTGATGATTAAGTTCAAATATGAATAAAGAGACAACATATCGACAACACAAAACCCGAGCGATATTCAGAGGACATCATTATGGAAAATGTCCATATTTAAGCTCTACGTTGCTCTTTTTAGAGAAAATGTATGTATAAAGTCGGAGGTATGATAGGTCCTCTTTTTCGTGCCCTTGAACTCGAAAATCAAATAACATGCGTCATGTGTTCACGAGACATTAGTCAGATATTAGTATTTATACTTACATGTTTGTTTCCATTAGGTCTTAAACTTGTCGCAAAACTGCAAAAACTGCCAACATTGCCTCATATTTTTAGCTTGTCATTATTATTAATATATGAGACAAGACCTAACCAAAAATGATATTTTGCTACAAGGATGCTTATTTGTGTTAAATATCATTTTAGATAAAACAACTGGCTCATATCAAATTTTTTCGAAAGTCTAAAATGTCTAAAATGGTGATACCCTTTTGAATACATTTTGTATATCGATTTTAAAATGAAAATTACGTCTCAATGACATCACAACTGACAAATGTTTTTACTATTTTTGCAATTTAAGTGGTCAAATAATGGCTCCTTTCATACCTCCTCTTTCAAAATAACAATTGACGATCTGCCTTAATTATATAAACATCAAATTACAAATGAATAAATATAACATTCAACTACTTTAGTATTCAAGATATTCCTGGCTTGGAACAGGCTCATAAACATGTAGTTGGATTTCATTCAATGGACTAAAAATGTGCGCAAAATAAAAAAAAAAAGTACAGAAAACGCACATTACTCTAAAATATATGAACAAAAATAAAGGAAAGAATCGGCCAATGAAAAGTTATCAATACAATACCAGAGAAGGCTCACAGACACTGAAAACAAGATGAAAGTACTTAACTGGCTGATATGAATTTAAGCGGTCCTAGTTATCACTGGTACATACATTTTGCTGCTCTACATCTATGTAAGTCCTAATTCAGAAGTATGAATTGCAGAGGACACTCTTCTCTATCATTTTGATAAAAACATTGTTTTTCTAAACTTGATGTATATTTCCGAAGTATAAGTTTTGAAAAGTACATTTTTAATATAAAAAAAAAACGCGTGGATAAATATAGACTGTGGCCGAAGTCTCTCAGTATAAATTTAATATAAGATTATTTGTTTGCATGCAAACTTGAACAAGCTTTTCTGTTTATTTCAATGTTTTGACTTTTTACGGATTCCATCACGATTTGGTTGACAATTATGGAATTATCTGTATCAAAAATGAACACTTACAGTACCGACCTGTTTTCCTCGATTAAAATGTCACCGAATGAGACTGATCACGAAATGCTATCTTGCAACAGGATAGGTTTAAAAGTGGATCAGAAGATCTAACCCCCCCCCCCCACCGGAGCACCAGAGTTCATAACCTGTATTGTGTGGATTTCGTTTTGCTCAATCTTGTGTTGTGTTGTGTACACTGAATGAAATGATGCATTTAATTTGAAATTAAATGCATATTTTTTGCATAATAAATTTCAAATCGGAAAAAATTTTTTTTTTTACTGCATTGGAAAATTTCTAATTCAACTTAAATTTAAACTTATAATGCACATTCATTCCTCAATGTATACCTAGTCTGAAGATATTTTTAACTCTAAATAAATTTCAAATATAATATAAATTAAATATATACGTATTGTTGACTTTTTTTGTCTTGTCGTTTTTTTTTATCTTGGCAGTAATTGCATTGCCTGTTTTTCTTTTCAATTGAAAGGTTTTTTATTGCCCCTTTTGTAGTTACTCTATCTTTTTACAAGACATACCGTTAAAATCTTGTCCAATAACAGTTCCTGGGAGACCCAAATCTTGATCATCATAAGCCCAATCAGGACCACGTCTCACTCTGTCTCCTAACTGAAGTGTATTACACTTTAACTCCACATAAAACCCTCGCATGTTTTTATACCTTAAGGGATTAATAAAATCTTGAACCATATCCAGACAGTCGTCCTAAAATATGTAATGTGTGTATAACTAAGTTATTTTGATGCTTAATTGTTTTTATGGATACATCGCACATGATTTTTTTTATGTCATTAAAATCTCATAAGTTATATCACATGTATTAATTCCTGTCTGTAATTACTGCTACAAAAACAAAGAACTGTATATTAAGTCATTTTTTTTAAAAGTCCACATTATTATTCAGGTCAATATGGCTTAGGCATATTTGAACTACATTCGAGATGTGTCTGAAATTTACGTAGAAAATTCGGTATGTTGTGGTATATCTAACACTGGGTCAAGAGGTTTTTATAGGACATTATATTAAACATAACTTGTTGAAGTCCTTAACTCTGACTTTGAGATAAAGAACAACTATAAAAGCGAAGTTCCTTTGTTTTTTGTATGTGTAGTTTGCATGTATTTGTTTTGTTCCATTTATTTATTCATAAAATACCTTGATTTTCATTACTGTTAATTCTTTGCAGGAAAGATGAAAATGACACGATGAATACATTGAACAAGACAACTATTTAGAGGCGAAGGACTGGGCATTGCACAAGGTCGTGTTTTCTTGTATTGTTAACGTGATTGTTATCTGACCTCTACCAAAGACAAATAACCTAAAGTGCAGGACAGAATGTTATTTGGATTATTTATTGTATGATCTTTGTTAGCTATCTTTCATTTATTCACATCTAGACGATTTACAGCTGGCTATATTGAATAGTCAATTGTCAATTGTAGTAGATTATATGTTAACCACATTAAATTTCGGTCGTGAATACAGCTGCTGATATTATTTGCTGTGTTTGCTCAAGGCGTATGGTTTACTTGAACATTTTTCATGAAAATGCCTATTTCATTACATAAAGAGTGTATCAATTCCTACATGTATATCATCATAATGTGATTTTTCTGCCATTTTCCTCTTAATAACTTCTCTGCTTTGATTGTTCGAATATCTAATTTCTGATGCTATGCTTATTGCCAGTAGCTACAACATTAAAAGACAAGTTTAATCAATACAGTTAATTGAAAATTAAATGAATAACTTTATAATAATAGCAATTTCATCGTTTCCCCCTTTTGTGAATGGAGTTCAATTGTGTATAGGTTAACATTACATGTATCCTTTGACATGTGCTATTATTGCTAAATCATCGAAATCAAAATAAACCATTTCATATGACATTTTGTGATTATTTCAATTGTTTGATTTCGCTCAACACAAGACAAGAAAAAGTCGGAGTGTGCATGGCGGGTGATTTTTGTACTATTCTTAACTTATATAAGTTAAGAATAGTACAGTCATTATCTATTGTATTTGCTCAACCTGCTGATACAATGTTAATTTACGTTTTTGCAAGTTATTGATGAATTTCAGGTTTTTGAAATTTCAAATGAAATAAGTGCATTTGTTTGTCATTTTTGTATCTGTAAGTATCATGCTTTTTTGTATGATTTTATTTTATCGGTTAGTCCTGTTATCTATTTTCCGCATGAAGAGATATTTCTCGTTTCGCATTGAACGGATTGTTATATGAATTAAAAACCAATTGTTCAGAGAACAATTGAAGGTCTTTCCACTCCTAACGATATATTTGGAGATGAAAATATTAAAATTCGGGTTGAAATATCAGTTCCAATGTCACATGATAGCTCATTGTTTGCTGATTCCAAAAAATATATGGTTTCTATACAATTTTTTTTTGAAATAAGGGAGATAATTTGTTACTTCCGGTATGAAAAATGGCATTTCCGGTATTATTTAATAGTTAATTTGACACTGCTTTCTAAAATATTTTCATCTTTACACTCTTAAATAATATAAGTTCAAAAATAACCACTTCCGGTTTACATAAGGCCACTTCCGGTTTGATCTTTTAAGGTCATATAGCTTGTAACCTAATGCTCAAAGTCCTATGGCTTTATGATGTATTATTATGAATTTAAAGCAAAGGTCAAAATCTAGAACGTCAAATTTAACTATTACCTTGACCTCCAATTCGAGGTCATAGACCAAGGGCATCAAATCAAAAGACCCTAGGTCTTTATTATATATGGTTAATGAGTTATATTACTATACGCATAATTCTAAATATAAGAAGGGCTAAAACTCTCATTTAATGTCTATGCACCCTTTCAACCAAAATTTATGTGTTACGACATGAAAATAAGCAAAAATCTAAATTAAGAACATGACATTGACCTTTGACCTTGACCTTATTTTCTTTGTTTTGAACCAAGGACCTCAATTCAATAGACCCTAGGTCTCTATCACTTATAGTTTACCAGTTACAATTACATTTTTCTTATTTAAAATACAAAAGGGGAAATAACTCTCATATGGAGTCTCCGGACCGCTTCAGTCAAAATTATTCTTAAGATCCTGAGGATATAACGAGCAAATTGGTAAAATAATTTTGTCGTAATCTCTCACGGTTGCGAAGGAGATGCGCACACAAGAAAAACAGTGTTTGGGGGAGATAACTCTTACAATAAAAAGTGTTCGGCTAAACAGGGTCAGTTTCAAAATTGCAATAACTGTTCGGTATCATATGCAAAAAATCTAAGCGACATCTTGCGAAACCACAAAGCACCGTAATAAAAAAATGTGGCGGAAGAAGAATAAAATAATAATGATAAAAACCAATTGTTCAGAGATCAAATGAAGCTCTTTCCACCCTATGATATGGAAAAATATTAAAATTGGGAATAAAATGTCACTTCCAGTGCCAAATGATAGCTTATTGTAAGCTGATTTTAAAAATATATGGTTTCTATACACGTTTGTTTGACATAAAGGGAGATAATTTGTTACTTCCGGTTTGAAAAATGTCACTTAAGTATTATCTGATAGTTTACTTGACACTAATTCAAAAAATATATAATTCTATATACTTTCACATTAAATAAATTTAGTACAAAAATAGCTACTTCCGGTTTACACAAGGTCATTTCTGGTTGGCTTTTTCAAGGACATATGGCTAGCAACATAATGCAAAAGTCCTATAGCTTTATCATGTATACATATGAAGTTAAAGAAAAGGTCAAAATCACATATGACCTTGACCTCAATTTCAAGATCTTAAACATAGGACCTCTAATCAAAAGACCCTAGGTCTCTATTATATATGGTTAATGAGTTATATCACCATTCACATAATTTCAATTTTATTAGAGGGGAGAAAACTGCCATTTAATGTCAACGTACCATTTCAACCAAAATTTATGTGTTACAACATGTTGTTGTTGTTGATATCTAATAAGATTTTTGAAAAAAAAGTGAAAATAAGCCAAAATCAAAATTAAGAATATGACCTTGACCTTTGACCTTGACCTAATTTTCTATTGATTGGACCAAAGACCTCGATTCAAAAGACCCTTCGTCTCTAGCACTTATGGTTTACCAGTTACAATTACATTTCACTTATTTTAAATATGAAAGGTGAAATAAATCTGATATGGAGGCTCCGGACCGCTTCGGTCAAAATTATTCTTAAGATCCTGAGGATATAACGAGCAAATTGGTGAAATGATTTTGTCGTAATATTTTACGGTTACGAAGGATATGCGCACACAAGAAAAACAGTGTTTGGGGAGATAGCTCTTACAATAAAAAGTGTTTGGTTAAACAGGGTCAGTTTCAAAGTCGCAAAAAAATATAAGCGACATCTTACAAAACCACCAAACACCGGCGGAAGAAGAAAAAAATAATAATAATCAGAACAAAATCAATAGGTCTTTCCATAGAAAAGTGGAAAAACCTAATAAGTGATACAAAGAATGTATTAATATGGTTTGCTCGTATAAAAAATTGCGACATTTCATTTGGCTATTCGTTAGGTCAATGGTGACTTTCAAAGGTCATAATTCCCCTTTGTCAACGGAGGGTTTTTTTCTTTGATAATATACAAAACACTAATATGTTTCTTCTGAAAATATCCCTTTTGACAAATTTTATTCCATTCTAAAGCGTAGAAAAAGCTTGAAAATCTGATGTTAACAGTAGTCTGGATTTCGTTATTTACATTTGATAATAATCATAATAAACTCGAAAAAGATCCCTTTATGTGATGATCGGTTGATCGTACATTGAAGGCTAATGCTACAAACAAGTCGTTTAGAGCTCTTTTCATGTCAAATAAAGGAGACATGTTCTTATTGTACTAGATAGTATTGATTGAATAGCAAGAGTAGTGTGTATTATTGGTTTATCAATCATATGACTTTATATGAAATCAGTTCTGGTATTGCTTTGAAATAGCTGTTCAATGAACATTAGTTATAATTTTGGCAAAACATTAAATTATGATTGTTATTGTTTCAAACATTTAAAAACGGAATATTGAAATGATAATTCCCATTTAGCAGTCAGTTAGCTATAGTTTCATTGTTGTCAAAATGAAGAAAAAATCTTTGCTATTGTATCATCAGCTTGCAAGTCAATAATACAACCTCATTTGAATCCGTATTCCTGGAGGTTAATTGCGCATTTGCTTATCGTATTCAGTTTATAAAAAGAAAAGAATGTCAGCATTAAAGAGTGAAACAAGTAAGCAAAATGGAAGAACCTAAAACGATGATTTATATATTTTTTTATTCTATGAATTGAAATCAGATATAGAAAAAATCTTCATTATACGATTGTATTTGATTGTCTGTGTGTATATATATATATATTCAATAGCATGAGTTCGAATCCCGGCGAGAGAAGAACAAAAATTTGCTTCCGCAAATTTGCAGATTTAACATTGTTGTATTGATATTTAGAGTAATTATGAATGTAATGTGTGTTTTCAAACGTGTATCAACTTCACTGTTGATCCAATAGATGGAACTGTCGTGGAGTTGTCACTTGTTTAGACTTACTTATTATATATATATATATGTATGTATCCATGTTTATATCGGGTCATTTTTCGGAAAATAATGAAAGACCATCGTATTCTTCTGAGTTTATTTCGATTGTTCATTAGTTTTTTTTTTGGAAGGGGTGGAGTGTGTGGAGGAAGGGGGGGGGGGGGGGGCTGTGTGTAATCGTGGAATATGAATTTTACAGCTAATCCTCTTTTAAATTGCCAGTGAAATAATCTAAATAAAAAATGACAATTCACACACTTTATTTTAATACTGTAAAAATCAGCCTCGAATTCCTTAATAAGATTTTGAAAATTCCTACACGACTCACAACGTGATTGGGCATATCTTTATTTATAACCATACCATTACTTGTGTCATCATAGTCAATCTGCCAATTTCATTATCTTGTATAATTTTTCCATTTGTTTTCCTCATAGCCTGTTCCAAAATCTGCAAATATGAAGCCATTTTGATTCACCTTAAAAGGTCCCTGTATAAGGCCTGACTTATACGGACAGGAAACAAATCGGCAAAAAAATAAACAGCTGGTTCTCGTAAGAATAACGACTATTTGTTTAGATTACTTCAACCTATCGTACCAAATATGTTGTTGCTAAACATATGTCTCACGAAGTTAAAAAAATGTTGACAAGATTATTGGATATCTCGTGTATATATATATTTGTTTTACAACAAATACTTTCTTTTCTTTTATTGGTTAAGTTGATGATTTGCCTTCACATAAATATGACTATTACTACAGAATCTCCACCGGAAAAATGAAATAGAGAAATAGATTATACAAGATTTTCTGAAGTATTAATAGAAGATGGTTTTATCATCTAACTTCACGTTCTTCTATGTATATGGTGTCCTTTCACTAAATAATAATTCAAAGTTTGGTGACTTGGTTTATTACATATTTCCCAATAAATGTAAGGTACCACAGATACAGTTATGTCTGCTTCGTTACTTGACTTACATCTAGAAATTATTAATATGGTCTGGTACATTAATAAAAAAAATACAGCCTTGTGTACAAGATTGTCATTTAACAATTAACATTGAAGTAATACTTGCCATGTTGTATAGTGTGGCGTTATAATTTTTGATGTTACCAATTTGCGTCTTTATGAGGAAAACTGTATCTTCGTTGATGTTTGATTTTGTTGATTTGACACTGTCTACATACAGGCCTTTAGAAAATGTGTAATTCGTTGAACATTTCAATTCGTCGTTCTCATATAACAACGAAATCCACGAAAATTGGTACTTAACGAAATGATAACGGATCCACAGTAGACCTCTGCCTATTGTTGAAGACTGTTTGTTGACGTTTAGATCCTTTTGGTTATTTGTGTCTTATTGACGTATACTCCATTTATCTTTTACTATGTAACAAGACTGATTTTTATACAAACGATGTTACGCTGGTTTCCTCCGACAGGTACATAGAATATCTTTGTAGTAGTGGAAGCTATTATATCCATTACACCATTCATGTCCGGTTTTACCTAAAAATAATTTGTAAAACTAACCAATGCATAACATACTTAAACTAAAGGCTATCAAAGCTTAAACATGCTTCATTAAAACTTTAGCAATAGTGGCAGCCTTCTGTAACATACTTAGTAAGATTGTGATCAGGTTTGATCCAGTCTCACTATTTTGTAAAAAATTGTTCAGTCAATTAATGACAAAATTCACTAAAAGGAGTCACTTAATTTTCTTAGAGATCTTGTTTTCCTGATCAATTTCGATGATTGCAGCTTTCCTCATCTGTTTTGTTGATCAAGGTTATGGCCAGAAATGCAGAAGTGAAAAATAGTCATTTAAGGAATTTAGTTCTATGAATTAATTGACAATTTCAATAATCTTGATTTTTTTTGTAGACTTATGTTGTAAATGCGTTCTTGATTATCTTGTTTGATACAAACGTTTTCTCTTCATCACTAACACTTTAAGATATAATAGTGAAAATTATGACTGTTTTTGTTTCAAACATCTATTTAGCTGAGCATTCAATATCGCATACTTTGATTCCGGTTTAAATCAAAAGAATGAACTATAAACATAGAACTAAAAAACAGGATGCATATTTGCACTTTATATAAAAAGAAAATGTGACTTAAGTTCATTAGAGATGTGTTTAATTGTGATTTGAAGATATCTTGCACACTTAATTTCGTAGACATAAGATAGCTGAATAATATAAAAATATCAACTTTGTCTAGCGCGATGAAAGGAATATAAATCATAAGTTTTCACATCTATACGTACTCGTAACGTTCCGAAAGAAAACGTATTGTCATCAACATCTACTGAGGGCATGTCTTGTCCTGAAGATCCATCCGTGAACACAATCATATGCGCCTGTATTGCTGTATCATGGGAGTAGCCTAAAATACCTTTTGTAAACGAAAGAACATACAACGTCTTTTGGTTATATTTTTAACCACAGTTAACGTTTGAATATAAACTAATTACTGTTGTTTATCAATCATTATTTAAGACAGACAGCTAGATACCATAAACATACTATGTATACACAGGTCAGAGTCTGAGCTTGATTTGCTATTCAATATAAAAACTAAACTGACGAAAAAAGGTCACTTATTCAAAATCATAAAATGCATAAAACATTTGACATAAAAGTTCATATTTAATATGAAATAATAATACATAATTAATACGAAATTACATCAACTAATATCATATCAATTGAATAAATGACAAAGAATAGCAAAGGTGGGGAGAAAAATCTGCCCCACAAATAAACATATATACATATCTACTTCAAAAGATAACATTAAGGGAGGTATAAGGGTGGGAATTTTTAACAAATTGTTTGATAAGAATCACAAGTTAACACATCAAATGCTGATTATAAAAGGAGGTGAACACAACGCACTTACACGTGAACTCGTGCTGACCCCGCAAGATCATTGACCAATAAGAAAGATGTAATCCAAAAATCCACTGGTCATAAGTAAAATTTATCTGCACGTGAAAACATGTTATCTAATTTCAACAATTTATCGTTTGATAAAGTAGGACACTCTGACCCTTTGACCAGACTAGAGACATCATAAATTTACAGTATAAATAGCTCACTCTTTATCAAGTCTTAGTAATAAACAATTAAAACAGAATTATCTTCTCTGCTGTCTTAAATTATTTTATTCAGCTTAATTTTCAATTAGCAAATAAAATTGGTTTTCTGTTATTTCTAGAATTGAAGATTGATTTCTAGTTTTTTTAGACCCTTTTGCTTTTAACTTCTCCAATGTTTTGGATTCAAGCTCACATTATAAGCCTACCTGATGAAGGTAAATCCAGAAACACTTGTCGTACGCATGGTAATGATGGAATATTAATCCTGAGGGTATCATTGGTCGTGTGGCCAGAGTGCTTAGGTGTTATCTTGATTCAAATGACATATTGAGTCTTTAATTTTCATGTTTGTAAATCATATTATTGTGATTGAGCTAAAGTAGAAACTCCCTAAAGCAAAGTTGACTTTAGAAAGTCTAATTTTCTATTTAGGTCCTGTTGTATTCAACTCTGAAATGTCTTATATTTTGCCTGGTCCAATACTTGGTAGATACCACTATTGGTGCACTTTCAGTCACCGATGGTACCATCCGCATATTTGCTAAATGATTAAAATGTTCCCTGCTTTCACATTTACTACTGGATGTGAAATCGTAAAACCATCGATGCATGCATGTCAAGAGATGCCTATACTGTAATCGCATCTAGTCTTACTCATTTTAAATATAAATAAGAAGATGTGATATGAGTGCCAATGAGAAACTCTCCATCCAAGTCACAATGTATAAAAAGTTAACAATTTTTTTAAAGTACATTTTATTATATTTGTACCACTCCCATTCGACATACTTTCTTTAAATGTATTAATCTTATTGATATTGACATACATGATACTACACCAGCTAAACCCAAAAGAAGTCCTCCAATGACAGGAGCATCCCCTTCTGGTGTTAGTTTTCCTTTAAAGTAATAGAACTATATTGGAAATTATTTGGTAAACCTTATTACTAATATTTCTGTATACACTTATGCTTTTTTAACGACAAAAATCATACAGGAAACTGATATCTAAAATTGTTGTGAGGTATTATAATTATAGCTATTTAATAAATGATGTATTACCGAAGTATTTGTTGACTAAGATCGATTTCTTTGTCTCGTTTTCTAGAAATGAACATTGATCTGTTCAAAGTAAATAAAAATATTATTTCCTTATTAAAATGCTTTATTTTTTATTGACAACATATTTGTTATGTTTGGAGGACGGGTTTTTCAAGAAGCAATCTGCATTCCTATCCAAACCAATTGTGTTCCTCATATTTTCCGACCTGTTCCTTTATTCATGTGAGATGGACTTCATACAGGAGCTTCTCAGGAAGAATGAAATGAAGTTAGCATTATCCTTCAATTTCCCGTTCTTTTATATAGATGATGACCTCTCACTTAATATTTCAAAGTTTGTTGACTACGTTGAACTCATTTATTGCATCGAACTTGAAATAAAGGATAACACATAAAAAGTAAATTCTGCCTTATCTTGACTTACATCCAGAAATTGACAATAAGGGTGTGTTGAGAACAAAACAAAAAATTACAAATGGGATGATTTCCGCTTCCTAATTGTACTTTTCCCATTTCTATGGAGCAACATTCTAGCGGCGCCTACATTTAAAGTAAATACCTCACTATTGTTACGATATTCCAAAGCTTGCGTTTCCTATTATAATTTCCTTGATAAAGGGTTGCTGCTTTCAAGGAAGTAATTGAAGAAAGGGTTCCAAGTGTTTAGTTGAAGGCGACCCTTTAGCGGACGCCATCACGGTTGGCTGCACATTATGGAATGTCTGTGTCACAAATAATCACGAATATGTTCCGATTGTCGTAACCACAATTCGTCATCTTTTTCTCGGATATGACATCTCTGAATGAGACTTATCACCAGTTTGTACTTGTATGAGTAACATAACTGGTGCCACATGTAGAGCTGGAACTGCCAACCCTTCCGGAGCACCCAAGTTCATCCCTGGCTTTTTGTGGGGTTCGTTTTGCTTTTTCTTTTTTTTCTATGTTGTATTTAGAGGACTTGTTCGTCTTTTTGTTGCTTTATTTTGCCACGGCATTGTCACTTTGTCTTCGACTTAAAAGTTTTGAATGTCTTCTTGGCATCTCGCCTCTTTTTATATACTCGTTATTCCTAGATTACATGAAAAGAGAGAAACTGTAATGAGGCATATGTTTGTCCTTTTTGAGAAATATCTCTTATCTGACCTGTTCATTTTATGATATTACCTATTAATTCTATTATCAAGTCATAATCATTAGTTGCTTCTTGAATAAGCCTGGTTTGTCTTCCAAAAATTGCAAGACCGATTCCATTATCCATTTCTGTACATTCGAATTGTTGTTTGATGCCTGCAATAATTTGAATTAAAGAAACAGTTTTCCGATGCGATGATGTTGTAATTTATAGTTATAATGTGCTTAGAAAAAAGCTTCATTAAAAGACAGGCGAAAGAAACCAAAGGAACATCCAAACTCATTAGTCGAATCAAACTGATAAAAGTTTAGTTTTCTATATTGTGTTGTGTATGCTGTTGTTTGTCTTTTGACCGTTTTTCTGCTTTTGTAATGACATTGTAAGTTTGATTTCGACTAATGGATTTGAATATTCCATATATGTGAAAACAATGCAAACAATTGTCTTTTTAAAGAATGATCATAAACATTGAACTTAAAAAAAACCAAATACTTTGCCTGCTGATACGCAAATCGTACTTTCCTATATTATACACTTACCATACACGTACTGTAATGCGGCCGATTTTAATTTTTGGAAATATCCTGTCATACGTTCCGAAGTATCTAATACAAGAATAACATCTTGCGATCTTCCAAGTTTTACTACTCCTGATATCACTCTCGCTGAAGCTGAAAACAATAGCATTGCAAATAAAATTATTTACTCAAGTCTTAGAGTTAAAATGTTAAACAAACTTTAACAGAACAAGATGAAAGAGTCATACAAATGGTTTCATCGTATGTTGAATACTAATCTTCCTTGTGAGTGACTGAACTTTTCATCCCCATTAGCATTCAAATGGTTATAAGTAGATGAACATAGAATTATATAAAATTGAAATGGATAAACAATAAAAGAAGCACGTTTTGTATTGCATTAATGTACCATACTAACCGTGAACTCTCATCTGATTGGTATACTGTAGCCATTCTCTAACTGTTCTTGGTTGATCAACATCAAGAAGTCCTGACAAGGTATCATTACTATCATTATTAATAATTTCTTCAATATGTTTGTGAATAAATTTTAACGGGCTTCTACGGCTAGATAGTGTGGGAAATTTTCGCTTCCCGGCCATCTATCTATTTATTCATTTCAGCAGTCTTATTTCAAACCTTTTTATGTCATCACCTTGTGTCTAACGCTATACTATTCATGATTATTTCATGTGCATTAAATATAATCCATTTCATTTTAATCGTCTTGAATTAGCCTTTTTGAGTTTTAAGACCAACAATAATTCTTGTGTATCGATATCATTAAAGATGTGATGAAAGACTTTAATTTGTAAATGTACATTATGATCAATAAATTCACTATTTGTGTGATGCTTCAATCCATGTATTAAAAATCTTAAAACCCGACATTTTATACAATAGGACATATATTTTACGTGCATTAAACTTACTAGAAACAAAGCTGTCCTCCTCTAGTGATCTCCTTCTCCGTCGTCTTGGAGTTCTGAACCTAAACATATCAAAACATTCATTTGTCATATGTTGTCATCGATTTATTATCATTATACTGTTATTATTCAAAATATTAATACAAATCGATTTTTTAAAATTATTTCCGTTGTTACAAATAATCAGATGTTACAAAATACTGCTTAGTGTAGAGTTTAGACAATTTTATGTCTTTATTTTTTAATAATTTGAATCAAATAAATATCTTTTGCAAACAATCAAAAGATCTGAAAAGAAAAAAGTAGAATTGAAAACTGGATGTTAATATTTGAAAAAGGTTTTTTCTGTATAAAGTCAGAAGAAATATATCTACTGAATACTACCAACGTTAAGTTGATACTATTATCAGTTTAACATATTTTTTCATCCGTGTAGATGTCCTAAGAGGTGTCTAAAAGAGAGGCGAAAGATATCAAAGGGACAGCAAACTCATAATTCAAAAATAAACTGACAACGCCATGGCAAAACAAGAAAAAGACCAAAAAAACAAACAACATGAACAGATCTGTTGATGAGATATATAGACCCAAAATGATTTATGTGCATTTCGTATTAAAACTTTTTGCAATAAAATTTATTATGGCAAAATTTGTTGTTACATTAAATGTATATTATATTTCCTGGTACAAACATGTATATACATATTGATACATTATAAATTGGTACGGTCCACAAAGTTGTATTCACTACTTTTTAAATCTAAAACTTTACTGCAAATATTAGGTTTTATTGGTATGTATCATACAATACTAACATTTCTTGTGAAAAACCTAGCGTTTCTTCTGGTTTAATATTTGGTAGAATGAATTCTTCTTTCTGAAGGTCCATATTTAAAACGTTAGTAGTGATGGTTCCTTCGAAACATCCTTGTTTACTGTGATAACTTACACGGTTGTCATGTTGACTTTCCATAGATTTACTTTTATACCCATTTTTCCTTATCTTTGTCCTAGTTTGAAGTAATTTCTTGCTCAGCTTTTCGCAATCGTCCTTATTAGATGAACGTTCAGTTGAAATCCTTATTAATGGGTTGTCCTTTTCACTGAATATATCCCTTTTTATATTTTCTTTCTCATCTTTATTATGCAGATTTTCAAAATCAGATATTGAAGCTTTGGTCATAATTGCGTTATCATTTCTACTTTTTACAGTTTTGAGTGAATTTGTATCGATTTGAACATTGAGAGTTTTGTCAAGAACAATGTTAGAGACTCGATGTTTTATTACTTTATCTGCTTTGTCCTTCACACTATTGGTGATGTAATTTTCAATACGCCTTTCGAATGTATTACTGCTACAAAATTCATCGTCAGTCATAAATTCATTATCTTCTTCGACTGTGGATTCGCTTGGTGATGATAGCATTTTATCCATATCACTTGTCCTTGATTCCGTGTTTCCTAGGTTAACCAATGTACATTTTTCGCTTGCAATTTTGGTTTGTGATGCGTTTGAAACGCTGTTATCGTTTTCACCAACAACTCCTTCAAAAGCATCACTTCGTAAAGTGTCTACAAGCACATTCATTCTATCACTTTTCTTCAACAAGTTAGTGATCTGATTGGTTGCTTTGTCTAATTTGTTCGTATCTTCCAGAAATTGTGTTTCTACGTTTTGCACATGTTTCTCAAGCTCTTAAATATAAAACACATTTACTATTTGTATAATTTACGGATTGGTTTTGAGTTAAAAATTACCATTCATAATTTGAGCTTAAACGATAGATTCTAAATTATTTTCATATACATTTATACATGCAAGACGTAAATAACAATTAAAATACCAAAAGATCAATAGTCATGATCAAACAATTTGATTTACAGCCTCAATTGCTGTTTGAGGAAAAAATATGAATAAAAGCAAAGTGTCATTTAATCTTTTATTATAAATGTACTTACGCTGAATTTTAATCAAAGCAGCAGCTGAATTTGACGACCAAGCCTCACTAAAACATAATTTAGAATTTAAATATACAATTGCATAGTTTTTTAAAATTAATTATTAGGAAATGTTTAAAGATTAACTTTCAGATAATGACCCTTTAAATAAGATACAATTTGAGGGGTTAGGACTTTACAATCTGCTTTTAACTAAAAATAACGAATTTCCGTTAAAAATTCAATTTAAACATTTTATAAATCACAATCGTTGGCGTTAGTATAACATTTTTTTTTAAATGATAGAACTATATTAATGATGTTGCTGAATTCATTCCGACAATGTAGTGCATCAGATATTGTTTCTCAACAAAAGTATTTGTTAAACTAATGCTAAATATTAGATATATCACCGATTCGATGTCATACGATACAATATTTCTGTTTGAGTTTTATTCAATGCACGTATAGTCTGTTCCATTGCAATAACCTTAAAAAGAAAACACATTAACACAACTTAGATTACAGATGGTGCCACAATATGGAATGCAACAATTACTGTGGTCAAATACTATTTTTGCCTTTAAAAAACTGATCAAAGATAAAAGGTATTTTACACCAGACGCTGTTTCGTCTATACTATTCAAAATCTATAAAAATCTCGAAAAAGATTTTTTAGATATTGCTTAGGGCATCAATGCATCTATGACTGGGGTATACAAAACCCTTACTGTTTCATAGGATATAACAATTTTATAAACACTAAATAAAATCTAGAACATAACTTAGCAAGTCTATAATTTTGGGAAATGTTCTTTCATTTTCTTTCCGAGAGGTGTTTCCCTTTTACAGTTGTCCTGTTGTTTTTTGTTTTGTTTTGTTTTTTGCTGTTGTAACCATATTTGTATAAGTAAACTTTTCAAACATTTTGCGCTCTAAGTTCTGAAAGCGTTAAGCTCCCATGGTAAACGTTGGTATAGATAGTTGCTGCATAATTGTCGATGTTAATATATATCATCATCAATAAAACATGAAAGGTAAATACACATCAAAATCCCATCCCACGGCTACATTATTTCTGATATCTTATCAATGATAAAACAAAGTTAATACAAACTTACCTCGTCCTTCAACCGATTTTCAACTTCCATTTTATCCTATCGAATAAGAAATCATGGTAAATAATAATGTTAGATTGAATAATGTAAAGTAAAATCTTTGAATATTGATTTTATCGGTATAAATATTGATTATGTTATCAGTAAATTAAAACCAAACCAAATGTTATTGTTATACACATATGCACATTCATGGTTCTACGATAGCTATTTGTCGATACCTATACTTTGGCATTGTACAAAGTCATGTTTTTCTCTGACTGTAAAAGACGTCTTAATATTAAATCCATTGGATGTTGAATGTGTACTGATTAATATTGTATTCTTAGACACATGTTCTTTAGTTATAATTTTGAAATATCTTCCAGTCACTACAAGTACTCTGAGATCTGTTCTTTGTGTCTTTTGTAGTTTTGTGAGGTTTTTATGTGCTTTTTATCTATCTGATAAGATAAGCCCTTTTATCTGATTTTTATAGTCTGTTCTTATGATGTACTGTTACACAACTGTCCCAGATTTAGAGGGGGGACCAGCAAACATGTTTAACCCCGCAATATTCTGTAGGATCCTGTTCAAAGTCATGGTGCTTGTAATTTAATGGATGTCGTTTATTGATGTATATCATATTTGTTTTTCGTTTATTGTTATGTACATAAATCAGGCCATTAAATTTCTAGTTTGAATTTTTTACATTAGTCATTTCGGGGCCTTTTTAAGCTTACTTTGCGGTATGGGTTTTATTCATTGTTGAAGGCCGTATAGTGACCTATAGATATTAACTTCTATGTCATTTGTCTCTGGAAGAGGGTTGTTTCATTGGCAATCATACCACATCTTCTTATGTTTACATTATAAATAATTTATCTTATTTATTTAGAGGCTAAATTTACTATTACTGTTGATAACGATTATTGTGCTAAACATTGCATATCGGTAATAGTTGCTTTACTTAAGCAGGCATATATATTAACTTAAACTGATCTTACATCTGTACTACGGCCAGTCGGTAGTGCAGCCGTACTATTTCTGTTTTACAAATTGTTTGTATATTATAAGTTGTGCGATGGTATCTATTTCAAGATAATTTGCTCTAAATTCTTATTTGTTGACTAAATGAACATACAACTGACACATTTTTTTTTCTTCAGAAAACTCTGACAGATTAATGATGCTTGTTATTTGTAACTAAGCTTTAAAGAACACGCTGTAATCATATAATTTCAACACAGTTTGCTTATTTGCAAGCATTATTTGCCAAAAGACGTTTCCAAACCCTCTTTTTCTATGTTTGTATACCTCTTATTTGTCACAATAACTTATTTCCAATCAACATGTAATGGTATAGATGAACGAATCATATTCATTACATATGAACGTATTATATTATTAAGTAATGACCTATATTTTTAGAGATTAACTGTGTTTTTTTTTTTAATTTGTGTCAAGTAGTCCGCTTCTTTTACCTTTGATATGCATTGTGCTCGGGGAATTAAAAAAACGTATGTTTATAATCAGGAATATGACACGCATTGATTCATTTCTGTACTTGATATATGGAAATAGCAAGTAATGTGATATTTTTTGGAATATAAATTTCTTCTTTTGTTTGACTAATTATTAGTCATTTAGTAAAGGCATTGTTTAAATATTTTGGTAATTATAATTATAACATTTTTTAATGTTAGGTTTTTGTTTTATGTCTTATTCAAATTAAGAATAAAACGCTTACCTTTTATCGATAAAGAAAGACTAAATAATTTGTTCAAAATTGTTCGAACCAAAACATTGACCTTTACTCTCTGACACACATATTTCCCCAGCTTACATGTTGTATTCAGATCTATTTACATCTCGTTTGTATCTTCTTTGAATTATTTCCTTTGTATTTACCTTCCTTTGATGTTGTCATTTAACTTTGGGTTTTTCCAATCATATTTCCATATTTGTTAATACTCACCTAATTTTGCAGTAGAAATCACCACTAAATCCTTTGCGCATTTTAACAATACATATTTATAAAATTTATGATCTGTAAATAATGTTCTAATATTTCGTCTAATGTTAAAAATTGTTAACACGATTTCTAGGAAATGTTGATATTGCTATTTTTATCATGTCGTCTATTTGTATCGACTATTATCAAAACAACATTTTTATACTTCTTTAGTGAATATTTAAGAATGTTGAGTATTTTAAACTTTTAAGAAAAGATTACAATATATGATTGTCTGTACTTATATGTTAGTCAGTACTTGGCCATAAGATATGACCAAGTATTGACTGACCAATTTCTACCCCTTTCATATTAATCCATCTTTACTATATATTTACTTAACGTGTCTATAAGAAAACAGCAAATCATATTTGAAAGTCATTTCATTAGTTGCAATGTAATTCCTCTGAAATAATTTTTGTGAGGACAAACAAGAGACTCCAAAGAGTCTGAATCGTTCTCCTGGTATAAATATGTCATTTTGATATTCCTTTTTACCTTGACTGCAATCAGTTATGTTTACTTATATGTATATTTTATTAAGTGGTATTTTCAGATCTTGTAATGATGATCAATTTAACTGTTTAAAGTTCATACCCATTTATTAAAGTTTTTGAGATAATTGGTAAATTTTTTTAAAAAAATATTAAAAGATCGTCATTTAAGGGCAAACAAATCCTATAAGGAAGACAATTTGGCCATTTTCACTTATTTGTAGATTTTATCTTGCTATTTCTGGTATATTTGTAAATCTGGTAAATTTGGTATTTTTTGCCTTTCTTTGACAATTTTGGATATGTTGACTTAATTATTAGTAGATCCTATTGTGCTAGTTATTGTTTCTTTCTATCTAGTTTTCGCAAAACAAAGCCGCAAAAATGGGTCAAATTAGTTTTCAAGGCAATGACTCTTTTAAGGAGTCAATTGAATAAGGAATAAAATAATGTGCGATTTGTCTACATGAAAATTAATCTATTGCGATTTTGACAGAAAATTGGCGCCCTAAATTTGCTATCACCTCCTTAGTGCATTCATACAGAATTCACTGTAAAAATTAATCTACAATGAAAAACTCATTCTGAAAAAAACATTTTATAGTGCATGGAAAGCCATGTACCGGTACTATGAATAATAGAAGGTAAAATTCTATTCTTTTCATTCATTAGTAATTTTTCCGTAGTTTTGTGAATGCCAAAGGTTATATGTCAATATAATAAGTCGCTAATCAGTTTTTTTTTTATATTTTGATTTGACCTAGCCTAGCATTATTTATACAACTGTTTATCCCCGAGGTAAACACAACGAACAAAACTCTCCACAAAAAGTTCAATTTCAAGTGCAAACAACACCTCGGTGGTATCATAGTAGAGTGTTCTCTTCTAATGCGCAATCAAAGACTAGTGAAATATATAGTTGGATCAGAATGTTTTTCATGTACAATGATATGTCTTCCTGCAACCTGACTTATCTTGACGGATAAAGTTCAAAGTATGAAATTAAAAAGATGTGATGTGATTGCCAATGAGACAATTATCCACCAGAGACCAAATGACGTAAATGTAAGCAACTAAGTATGTTTATATTAAAAGTACATGTTATTCCTCTGAATATTTACATTATGGTATACTTGACAATAAGCACCAACAAATAAAGCCATCAATTCATCTAATGAAAATATAGTTCATGTATCCACTTATTAAATAAGATAACAAGCAGAATGATTATTACAACTGACCACTTTTATAATAAATAAGAACACATTGAGCAATCGAAGGGATTTTGATAATAGCATGTTTTCATAATTTCAAGATAATTTTAATTTTATATTCAATATTATTGTAAGATGTGAACACTAAAATCTTCGAAAAAAAATATTGTTCAGTTTATGTTGGTCAAAGCTCGTTCCTTAGACCATATGTGTAAACTGTCCTAAACCAATGCTAACTAATGCAAGCAATTCAATGTGTAAAACAGGAGCTATAATATAATGATTAAATGTACTTGGGATAGTTCTTAATATTTGGTATATGGCGAAAGTAAAATAGTTTCTTCTGTGTGGATTCTGTTTTGTGATTTTTATTTTGTTTTTGTTTTGTGTGTGTGTGTTTGTAATTGATTGAATGGGCTCCTGGCGATAACACTTACTATTTGATTTGACTTTTTTACACGCATGAAAGACGGATGATGCAAGGGTTAAAAGGGTTATAAAGTATTGTAACTTCTAGACTTCTCCCGTCCGGGAGTTAAACCACAGCGAAAGAAGGGCGTCCTGTTTGACTGTGCAAGATATATATACGTAGTTACGTCCATTCAGTATGGAGACGTTTATTCGTATGCCCCATGTAGAACCACTTCCAAGCTTACTGTACATTTAAGAACGCTTGCAACATCTCATTGAGAGTTTCGTAGGTAACCTGTTGCAAGGCCAAATTTCTTGCTCTATCCATCAAACTATCATTTACAGTGGTAGTTTAAATTCCCTGTCTTTCATATCCGTTACCAACCCATTGTATTGACATGTATAACCATTAAATATTTCCTACTGGATTTTATAAATAGTCGAATATATCATATGCGTGAAATACTTGTCGCTGGACGGCAAGCAAGCATTCAATTAACAAATTCATGCTCATGACTAAAGTGAGGAGCCTAGTAAGCTGTTGTAAAATTGAGAATGGAAATGGGGAATGTGTCAAAGAGACAACAACCCGACCATAGAACAGACAACAGCAGAAGGTCACCAACAGGTCTTCAATGCAGCGAGAAATTCCCGCACCCGGAGGCGTCCTTCAGCTGGCCCCTAAACAAAAATATATACTAGTTCAGTGATAATGAACGCCATACTAAACTCCAAATTGTACACAAGAAACTAAAATTAAAAATAATACAAGACTAACAAAGGCTAGACGCTCCTGACTTGGGACAGGCGCAAAAATGCGGCGGGGTTAAACATGTTTATGAGATCTCAACCCTCCCCCTATACCTCTAGCCAATGTAGAAAAGTAAACGCATAACAATACGCACATTAAAATTCAGTTCAAGAGAAGTCCGAGTCTGATGTCAGAAGATGTAACCAAAGAAAATAAACAAAATGACAATAATACATAAATAACAACAGACTACTAGCAGTTAAATGACATGCCAGCTCCAGACTTCAATTAAACTGATTGAAAGATTATGTCTTCATCATATGAACATCAGGCACAATCCTTCCCGTTAGGGGTTTAGTATCATACCATCATAACATATATGAGTAGAACATAACCCGTGTCATGCCAACAACTGGTTTTTAAATAATTGTGTTTAGTGCCGATGCAAAGACCCTATAATATATGTGTTTGGTTTTTTTGTGTTTATATTTTTTGTCCTGTGAAGAAACAGATACAGATTGCACACCTTTTATGTCTTTCGTGAATGATAAACTACTTTAACCTTTTATCTTGTTTCTATTGGCCATATTATTGTTTTTCCTTCATCTACTTGTGATTTGTGTAGGTGTATTATTTTCTTTATATCTTTTGAACTGTATTTAATCAATACTGTATGATAATTTAATGGTTGATGGTGTGAGATCCTATATAATCAATGATTCAGTCACTTAATTTGGGTTACTTACATAACTTTCCACAGTAAAAGTAAAATAAGTTTACCCTGCATTGACACGCAAGCCACTTTGCTATGTTTCATAACTAACTGTTATGTTACATTTCTCAGAAATAAAGTATCCTCGCCCCATCGTAAGGCGTTTATATATCTTAATTAATAGATTAATACCTCTCATAATTGCATTATAAGGACTTTCTTACTAGGGGTGTGCTCCTAACTAAAAAAATGCATTATCAGGGTTATGAGAAAAACGTCTGAAATCATTGATATTGTTTATTGTTACACAGAGTCATTATTATTCTGTTAGTAGCTGTTGTTGGCTTTCAACTAGCTTTCAGTAACTGCGAATACTCTCAGATCTGTACTTTGTGTTTTTTTAGTTTTTTTTTTTTTTTTTTTGGCTTTGTATCGATCTGATGAGTTAAGCCCTTTACACATGTTTTTAAAGTTTGTTGTTTTGTTGTGCTGTTACACCCCTTTGCCAGGTTAGGGGAGGGTTGGGCGCCTGCAAACATTTTTAACACCGCCTCATTTTATATGTGCTTGTCCAAAGTCAGTAGCCTGTAATTGAGTGGTTGTCGTTTATCATATTTGTTTTTCGTTTATTGTTTTGTGTAATTTGTTCTTGAATTGTAAAGATGTGGCACCACTTTTAACTTTTGAGGGTAGGGTTAGCGTCTGCTTACAAATAACCCCGCCGTTTCCTGTATATGCCTGTCCAATGTATGGAGCATGCAATTCGGTGGTTGTCATTTGTTGCTGTATATTATATTTGCTTTTCATTTATTGTTTTGTACATAAATCAGGCAGTTAGTTTTCTCGATTGAATGGTTTTACATTTGTTTTTCAGGGCCTTTATAGCATGCTATGCGGTATGGGTTAAGCTCATGGTTTAAGGCCATACGGTGATCTATGGTTATAAATACTACGACGTCATTTGGTCTCTGGTGGTGGAGAGGTATCTCATTTGCAATCATACCACATCTTCTTTTTTTATATGTAGCATAACATTTGTGATAATTGACGAGGGGAAGTTGAATGCGGTAGGGATGTCAGGAAATAAATATTTACTATGTTTTCGAATTATTTGTTTACATGCTTTGTTACTACTTATAAAACTATCGACAAATATTCTACACATTGCTTACTACATCCAAAAATAACAGGAGGAAACATATTCAATCATGTCTTTTATAAATTAAATGTAGTTAAAATGAGGTTGGTTTTTGGTAGCGATACATTTTGTTTATGTTATTACATTGTTGGATTAGAACTATGGTCGTATGTTCATTAGAAGAAAATCCATATACAATGGCATTGGGAAAAGTCCTTTACTTCTGAAAATAAATATTTCCCCCTGACTCCACCGAGTAAGCCATTCAAAATTCTTTTCATGTCTAATATATAAATTATGTTGGATTTCTCTGCTAACTAAATATGAATGCCGTTTAGAACTTAGGGATTGAAATAGACCAAATAATAATCTTTCATGAATATATTTAGACAATAGTAGTTAACCGATGTTCAAATTTCATAAATCGAGTAAGAAGATACAAATAAAGTAACAAACAAAAACTGAGTGAATCGCATGGACTTCAAAAGGTGCGAGACGGGTGCGTCAACAGGTTAAACGTTTCCTACTTTGTATTCATCACCCGCCATGCAAATTCACACTCAGTCAACATGTAACATTAGAGAATTGGGCACAATAGGGAATAACAGTTCAAACTACAACCCTTTTAATATTTAGCTACTTTTACATTTAACCTCCTTTTAACCTAACGTTAACCACATGACTAAGAATAGTAGATAATTTTGAGATGATAGTTTGCATGTACACGCATTATGTGTGGTAACGTTCAGTTAATATAAAAGCGAGAATTTCTTTGGCATAGGATGTACGTACTTTTGTATGATAGAGCATTCACAATTGTTCTCAAAATGGTATAAAATACGTCACTAGTAAACGAACTTTAGTCTTAAACGGTCGTTTTAATCGTCTGAAAGGTCTGAACAATAAATGTTTCGGTCAATTTTTAGACTTACGTATAGGTAAATAACAACTACTGGACAGCATGAACATAACTGAACAGATCTAAATTGACTGCAAGCGAGTTGTCTGAACAGTACTGACTTTACCGCAGTGGATAATACGTAAATACGTTGATGTGGTATAATTGCCAATGAGGCAATTCTCAAGTCAAGTGTTTATTGTTTAGTATTTTAAGAGCTGTTCGGTTCAAATAAACGTTTAAGATCAAAATTGTTTTTCAGATGTACATTAGAAATACAACATGCCTTTGGTAATTTTTATTGACTCTTCAATAGGGATTTGACTGCAATCGGGGTTGCAAAGATTTTATTTGCAATTTACTCCAGTATAGAGTTTGGGAGACTTTGTGTTATCAACGAGCATACAAAATCAGAGGATTCTATATGTAATATCTGAAATAACTTTGTTTCTCGAAGATAAAGGTTGTCATTACCTAATCGAATGAAGTTCATTATAACCGATTTCGTACACAAGGAAGATAAAATAAAGTTCATTATAACCTCATACGAATTTGTACATACGAACGAAGGAAAATGCCATTTAGTATAAATATATGTAAATAGAAGAATGAATGTCATAAATACGAAGGAAAATGTGATTTGAAGTTTTTGTTTAAAGATAAATACAGTTAAGAAATACAAATACAAATATTGCAGATGCATGCAAATAATTCTACATTCCAATATATTACACGGTGTTGGACTTTGTTGGCAGTTTTTGGCGACTAAAGTAATTGTCTGTTAGCATAGCGTACTGTTTCATCTAACTGTTATTTTTAGTTTCACTTCATTATCTGTACTGCTGATACTTTGATGTGTACTTATAGCGGACCGGGAAACCCATATGGTTGGTTTAGTCACTGTAATAAGTAGTCATCAATCTGAAAAAAAAGCACATGCATATTAGGATAATGTCATCGCAAAAACCACAGCAATTATGAATATATCTAAAACGTAAAGAATATTATACATGATCAATAAGTGGTTATTGTCATTTCAGTTCAACATATTACGTATCATTAATCATTTCTTGTTTATAGGTAGTATCATATCAGCACTCTATAATTGTCAAAAATAAGTAGCATGTACCTTCAAAACAAATACATATTCTGCTGTGTAAAAAGAGTAAAGACCTAAATATATATTGTTTTGTTATGTATAATGTTAAGTTTTAAATAAAACAAAGTTTTGTGACAGTCATGTCCTTTTAAATGATTGATGATTATCATATCTATATGAAAAGGTCCGAAATATATAAGACATTTAGATATCTTCCTATGCCGTTAATTTGCTGTTCATTGACACATATTTCGCAGCTCCTTCCTGATTGCCTGCATTTTAGTTGTTTATTTTTTGTACGTTTATGCTAAATTTTTAATTCAAATTAATTTGCACAGAAAGTGGCGGTCAGAAGCATTTAATTACTAAGTTAAAAATATCAACTCACCTTTCCTTCTTACAGCCATTTCTGTTTTGTTATTGGCGTTTGCCTGTATCATTCTTGAAAAATTGACTATGTATCTAAAATCAGTAAAATATCATTATAAAACCGAGAATATTTGTCTTTTTTCATATCTAAGAAGTTTTACGTTTGAACCCAATTTAAAAATCAAAATATTTTACATGTCGAATGTACGTGTATTCAAAAATCTTATTTTGTTCTTGTTAAGTACTTCACAATTAAGTGGCTATTTCTTGCTCATGCATAATTAGAAAATACCTCTTACATTTTAATATTTTTTAATCAATTTTAAAAGAAAGACTTACGTCGTACGGTCCATTTCGATAGTGATTTTTCCTGTTTTCTTCCTCTGATATGCTTTTTCAATCTTCACATTTATTCCGGATGGATATTTCATCCATTGTGAACCTTTTTGGTATTCCCAAATGGCACTGACTTTTAAAAAGATAAAAAAATAGCTGTAGTATAAGCTTTTACCTGTTACATTTTGCAAATACCATGCATAATCCGTTAGTTTCATTCGTTGTTGAGTACTTATATGTTATTTGTGTTTCTCTTTTTAAATAGGTATTAATATAATAAAGTTCATAAAATTCTGAGATTGAAACCATTACTTTTGTCGACAAAAGTATTTTTTTTTAATCTCAGTCAGTTGAGATTTTATATATCTTTTATCATTTTTGAAAGATTACATTCTTGCTGGGAGAACGTTTCCAATTTTATGACGTTTTTTTTTTCAACATTTATATTTTGGTCTCAAAGTTTGGCGTTATATATGGTAATTTCTATTCATTAAGGCATGTATATATCGACAAGTGATTTTAAAAAATACAAAGCATGTGTCTGAATGTCTTCTTATTGTGTGATCGAGTGTTTAATGATTTCCCATTTCAAAGCTAAGAATTCTTGTATATTTGTCTCACCTGAAGTATCTGAATATAAAGGAATAAGATAGTCCTCTTTATCACATTCATTTGTGAACATAGTTTCTAAAGTATTTCGATATTTTCCAGGTTCTGTGTGCCTAAACCTTTGTTCAGAATGAACAGACCTTTTGCTTTCCACATATGACATTCTACTTGCACTGTTTGACAAATCATCACTGAAATATAGTACAAATAGCAAGACGACAAATTATTTATTCAACATCATAAAAAAAAGCCATTATATCATCACATTTGTTATCTTTTGTCTAATTTCTTTTGAATTTATGTTCTACCCGTTTGTGTAGTGTTTTTAGTGTTCTTTTACATTGCGGGCATATATCTATGTTTTCAATTGCACATACAGTTGTCTGTCATTTTTCAGATATTCCATGTTTTTATCAAAATCTGTACTCACCTGTCTGAAAATATTTGCAATTATCCTTTAGTAACCCCACACACAATCGCTAACTTTTAGATTATCTCCCCATGACGATCTCCACAAAGAAGATCACTTTACCTTTAGCGAATGTAATGGCTACGATCTAATTTCGCATTAGAACATCAGGCAATCGTCGTTTTGTCTATAATTGGATAGCCACCGATGGAAGATAAAGATATGGAGGATAAATTTACGAGTTGTAAAATATGTAGTGCACGTATGAATGTGAATTCGTAAATTTTACGGACGCCATCACGAGTTGGTTGACCGTTATGGAATAACCGTTTCACAGATGATATCGGATATGTTCCTTATGTCGTAATTACAATCCACTTCCTTTTTCACCACGAATGTGACCTACCGAATTAGATTATTTACCGGATTTGTAATAACATGAGCAACACGACGGGTGCCACATGTGAAGCAGGATCTGCTTACCCTTACGGAGCACCTGAGATCACCCCCAGTTTTTGGTGGGGTTCGTGTTGCTTAGTCTGTAGTTTTCTATGTTGTGTCTTGTGTATTATTATTTGTCTGTTTGTCTTTTTATTTTTTGGCCATGGCGTTGTCGGTTTGATTTCGATCTGTGAGTTTGACTGTTCTTCTGGTATCTTTCGCCTCTCTTTTTGATAGACAATCACGATGAATGTTTTGGGCACCGAATATGTCATAATGGTTTCCTATGTGACATTTGCCGGGAATGGGATGATTAAAGGCGATCTATCGTTGATAAATTGTTAGATAAAGCTAGGGGTAAAATTTCATTAGCCGCAAACTCTTCTGTGAAGGAGGTTGGCAGAAAAAAGGACGTTGTGAAAATGCCGAGTGCATTGGCATCTCCAAACTTTTATAAGATCGAAAGTGACAAGTGTGCAGAGGACACACGGAATGATATGCCCGTTTTGTATTACGAGGCAGTTGATTCTAACAAGTTCATTACTGAACCGGTTCAAATACAACTTAAACAGCTGTTACCACGTGCCATGACTGACACGGAGTTGAAACAAGACCCAATTCCTTCTTGTTCTAAAACAAGACCTCATTACAGTAAGTTTGTACCTGATGATCAGATCTCTGTAAGATCACAAGATGATGAAATAAGTATCATAGGTTCAGTATGTTCAGATGACAATAACAATGAAACTCTCACTTTGAACATGATGCTTCTCTTGTTAGTGAATGCGCTCCAGGGTCTACTAATCAAATTCAGTGGAATAAATTTCTGCATAAAATGGCTAATAAGTTGAACGTTAATTGTTCAGAGGACGTTGAAAAGGATGAAGCACGACCTTCATATTTATCGTCACGTCTTAATCCTGGTAAACCAAATCAGGCAACACATTTGAAATTGCCTTTAGAAGGCACAACTATTGAGATTTTTAAAAGTGTAGAAAAGAAAGCTATGTCTGGTAGGCTTAAGAACAGATCAGTGCGCCTAAGAGATGACAAAGCCTTTATGGTTTTTAAGCAAGATTTCTGCGAATTTTGTTCACCTCCAAAGCTTGATGACAATATAGAGGAGGGGTTGTCTTCTACTATGGGCAGTAAAAAAAAAAGGCTTTGCAGACCATAAACAATTTTCTTATTCCCTACATTCCTTTCACAGGGAAATGGATACCAATTTTAAAAAAATGTAGACAATTCATGTAGAGCTTTGTTGTTTTATATGGATCTATGATAGCTAGCTATATTGATGAAGTGGAGTCTGAATAAGATAGAGTAGAAGCATGTTCAGCTTAAGTAGCATGTTTCAAATCTATGGAAGATATGACTTTACGTATAATTGCTAATCCTGTTATGACCAGAAGGAAAACTTTCTAGAAAACAGTAGATTTCAGTAGCAAAGCCACATCAGCTAAGTTGTTGAAATTACCCTTGAATGGTGCTTAACTCTTTGGTGGTAAATATTTTGAAACTTTGCATTCCTCTGCTAAGAATATTCGTGATGCAAAAGAAACACAGAATGTTTATCGTTCTTCTTTTGTGCCTAGCAGGCAAAATTTTGACGAAGGATCAAGAAAGCGAAACTCATCTGTTGAATTTTCTAATGTCAAACCTGTTAAAAATGCAAGAACTGAAACAAGATTCTAATGATTGTCGTGGCACTGACACTTTGTCTAATATTCGTGCCTTGCATCAAAACAAGGAGGTAAAGAATCATTTTTATGGAACAATATCACCCAGAAAAATTACAAACAATGAAAAATTATTTGCCTGCGGGAGGACTCCAGGTAGGAACTCGCCTTTTACATTTTCACAGTCAGTGGACTTTTATAACTCAGGACAAGTTAGAAATTAAATAGTGACAAACGGTTTAATATTAGATTTCATAGAAATTCCAGCTTTTACAGGAGTAAAAGAGACAATTGTACCTAGAGTAGGTACCAAACGATCTTCTATATAAGAAGAGGGAAATACCTTGTTCAAAAAAATGTAGAAAATCAGGGATGTTACAGCCGAATATTCTAAGAACCAAATTGCCTGGGAGGTATGAGACCTATTTCAAATCTAAAACCACTAAACCAATCCATCAATATTTCAAAATGAAAACTCTAAGGTCCATTCTAAAAAGTCTAAAAATTGGGGAGTGGGCAGTAAGACTGGACTTAAAAGATGCATACTTCCATATCCCCATTCACAAGTATTACAGACAGTTCCTCCGCTTTAGTGGAATAGGTTAAAGCTATCAATAGCGGGCTCTACCTTCTTTGTCATAGGTCAGCTCCAAGAGATTTCACCAAAATAATGACAGTAATAGGTGCATTTCTGTGAAAAAAAATGATTCATATTTTCATGTATCTAGATGCTGGAGGTTAAAGAACCACAGCAAAGTTTCGCTGAAATAACATTTACTTTACACTCAGGTATTGTTAAAAACACTGGGTTCAATAATCAATGTTCAAAAATCGTGTTTGATCCCAACTCAAACTATAGAGAACTTAGGAGCAGTGATTCATTTGAGGAGAGGTTCAAAAATATAAATCAATTGATTTACATTATTATACGTTTGCCAACAGTAGAGGCACGTGCAATGTTGAGACTACCTGGTCTAATCGCGTCGTGCATAGATCTGATTCCAATGGCACGGTTACACATCAGACCGATTCAGCTCTTCCTATTAGCTTGGTAGCAACCAATTCGTCATGGTTTAAATCACATGATACCTATGTACCAGCCACTTCAGGAACATCTACACTGGTGGTTAAACCAGAACAATTTCTTCAAGGGAGTACCGTTGGAGCAGGAATCTGCTCAAGTGACTCTAGTGACAGATGCGTCACAGTCAGGTTGGGGAGCCCATATAAACACTCATTAAATAGCAGGAGCGTGGTAAGTTCAATACAAAATGAAACACATCAATTGGCTAGAACTGAAAGTTGTGCAGTTAGCACAAGTAAAATGCAAGAGTGTTCTAGTGAGAACAGACAATGCTACTGTTGTCAGTAATCTGAACAAACAGGGAGGGACTCGATCCCCAGAGCTTTGTTACCTGACACGGGATTTGTTGAAATGGTACACGATTCACAAGATCAGGTTACACGCTGTTCATATTCCGGGAGAAAAGAATGTCATAGCAGATGTTTTGTCTAGGGGGAAGGATTCAATTCGGTTGACAGAATGGGAGTTAGATATAACAATAGTAAATCTTTTATTTCATCATTTGGGAACACCAGTGATAGATCTGTTTGCGGCTTCAAAGAACAAGAAGCTGCCAGTGTTTTTCTCTCCTTAGCCGGATGAGACAGCAGTTTCAGTAGATGCACTGTCAATGAACTGGACAGGAATGTTTGCTTATGCCTTCCCTCCACCTATAATTTTAAACACAGTGTTACAAAAAAAAGAATGAGGATTGTGTAATATTGCTGATTGCCCCAGTGTGGCCAAGACAATCATGGTACAGTCAACTTCTGGACCTTTTGATAAACTTTCCGATAAAATTGCCTGTACAACAGAATCTTCTTAGTCAAAACGGAATTTACCATCCATTTTCGAGTGTTCTAGATCTTGTAGCTTGGAAAGTGCCAAACAGTCTTATACTGCAAAAGGATTTTCACCACATATGGCTTCAATTATTTCAAATGCACGAAACAATCTATACACAGTCAGCCAGTTTTCAATGCAAGGCTCAAATTATTTCACAGCTGGTGTCAGGAAAGGAGTATCAATCCCAGTAGGGCAACTGTGCCAGAAAAATCTGAATTTCTAATGTTTTTACATTCAGTTAAGAAATGCAAGTCAATTACTTTAGCTGGTTATAGGTCAGCCATATCATTGATACAACATTTATCTAAAGACAAAATGTCAATTACCGAAAATTTAAGTAATTAAATAAAAAGATTGTACAACATTCATCCACCAACTCGACAGTTGGCTCCAAATTCGAATTTGACATTTGTGTTATCAATGTTAACAAAGACTCCCTTTGAACCACTACAAGAAGCAGAGTTAAAAATTTTAACAATGAGGACTGTTTTTCGTTTTGCATCAGCTGCAAGAGAACGTGAAATACACAGTTTCTCAATTAATGACAACCATTTTAGTAGAGAACACAGAGGAATACGTTTATTGCCTAATATGCAATTTCTAGCTAAAACTCAAACTTTAAATAAACCCTGGGAGCCAGTATCTATTCCTAAATTCGATAACTTTGCAACAGATGCAAACACTTTACCACTATGCCCGTGTATATCATTATTAGCCTATGTTAAAAGAACTGATTCTTTGCGCAAATCAGAGAAACTTTTTATTACTTATCAAAAGAACAATCATGTGGAATCTTCTAAAGATTCAGTAGCACGCTGGATAGTAGATACATTTAAATTTGCATATGAGCATGCAGATAATGAAACAGTCAGCCAGAGCTCATTGTACCAGAAAATTATCAACCTCATGGGTATTATTCAATGGACTTTCCTCTTAAGAGATTTTAAAAGCGGCTCATCGGACTAATGAGACAACATTCACTTCATTTTACTTGAAGGATGTGCCAGATTTAGAATCTCGTTTTGCCAAAGCTGCAATTTGCAGACGACTAACAGAAATAGAAGAAGTATTAAGGTAGATATTTATTGTTTACTTGTTTACTTTCTCGCCACCTTTTGGTGTTATGTTGCAAATTCTTTGCACATTTTTTCAGACAGGTAAGTACAGATTTTGATATAAACTACGGTTTTTTGGGGGTAAAAACCTTGTTTACGATAAATCTGTACTTACCTGTCTGACCCGTCCCGCCTCCCCACCTGAGGAAGTGTCAAAGTTGAATATATTTAATCCGCCTCTTTGTGGAGATCGTTATGGGGAGATATTATAAAAGTTAGCGATTGTGTGTGGCATTACTAAAGGGTAATTGCAAATGTTTTCAGACAGGTAAGTACAGATTTATCGTAAACAAGGTTTTTACCCCAAAATAAACGTATTGTAAGTGTCTCTTTGAAGCATTAAAATGGTCTCTAAAGATAACCCGGAAAACAATGATGAATTACTAACTTTACGTAAAAAAAGTAAAAACAACCTCGCAAATAAATTTATTACTTTTAAGACAGTTCTACTTTATTAAATACATTAAAATAAAGTTATATCTTATTTTAGTTGACAGCATAGTTGTAAGCAATAATTGTTAAATTAAATATTTACCACAGCTTCACTTCAAAAAGTCCATTACATCCAAATTTATATATGCCTACATTTTCCCTGTCCCATCTGACCTTAAAAATCAAAATATAATTGACATTATCTTTCCTCAATGAACTTTACTTCTTGTTATCATTTATCAAAAGCAAATTGAACCATCTCGAACTTTATCAGAAAAAGAGTTAGAAAATAGTATTTTTAAAGCAACGACAGGAATGTTTTAAAACAATTAGTTTGAGACTTGAAATTTTTTAAAAGCTTATAATCCTTATACCATCACTACCACCTTTTTAATATCATATAATATAAATTTAACTATTAAACATTTTAACAAATCATTGTTCGATGAAGTTTCATCAAAATATTATAAGTTTCCATAGAACAAATTAACTATACAGTAAAAATAGGATTTTTTATCAATTACTTTTCTATGATATATAAACATCAAATGGGGTATAATATTACAACTACATCTCTGCTTTGAAAATTTTCGATGGATATTCCTATTCTTTAATTTGAATATCAAAACTTTTTTGCTTCGGATATGATAAGTTTATCTTATTCGTATTTTATCTACCAGCTATTTTATCCTAAATTATCTACAGGGAAACATGCGTTCGTCTTAAAGTCAACATGGTTATTCTTGTTAAATACATCTTAGTTTTGTTGTCCTAACATTGAAATATGCATTGAGATTTGACACATTTTAAAATATATCAAAATAGGCATGCACGATTGTGTTATTAGTAATCGATGGCATTATTGAACAAAACAACTCACAACTACTTTCCCTTCTTCGTTCAGGTTCAATACTGTTCCTAACGTCCCTATACCTCCATCATGGTCTCCATATTTCCAGTTAAGACCTATATATAAATTCCGTTATTACTACATGCATGTACAAGAACATTTAAATTTCAGGTTATGTGATTATATAAATTCTATTTTCTCTTTCTTCAGTCATTAACAACTTGCAAAAACATTAAAACACAAAACGTTGCATTAAAACTGAAAACGTTGCATTAAAACAGGAAACGTTCCATTAAAACAGTGGTTTTTATCTTGTTAAATTGGGTAGACAAAGTTCTGTGGACGTTTTAGTTTGAAATTGCTATCACTGCATAATTTATTCACCTCTGACAACTCTACAACCAACTGCTATCATCTCATCGACCAGAATTCTAGGTTCATTGACTTTTTTTATGTGAAATGTATCCATCTGTTCATCATACATATAGGGATATACATGTTTTCCATGATCCCATTCAACTAGAACCCATGCTTTATTGAATAGCGAGCCTAGAATAAAAGTCAATATATGTCACTTTCAGTACAATTGGAAATTTCGTGGCGTCAATTTTGATTGCAGGGAGACGGAGTCCCCGGAGACTACCACCGATTTTCTGTAAGGGAAATGACAATCTCCGTAAATTAGGATTTGAGTCGAGCGCACATGCAACTTGTGGAGATTTGAGCTCACAACATCAGTGTTGACTCGTTATTGATACAGTAGATGAATCACTTAGACCACTCGGCCAGTGAGGCATAACAGAATTTATGAAATGTAAAAATCCATGAATGAATCAAATGAATAAGACATATCATTTCTGATATGAGATTTACATTTTAAACTTTACATATCAGCTTGTTCCCGCTTAAAACAGTACATTTTTAGTTAAAACATTAATTTCAAACTGATAAATTATTGTTATAAGCATTTTTTCACGTTTTCATGTCTGAATAAAAAAATCTTTCATTTTGAATGTGAATGCATGTGTGTTTGTTTGTTTGTGTGTTTATTGAATAGTGTTTGTTTATTCTACATTGGCTAGAGGTATAGGGGGAAGGTTGATATCTCACAAAACATGTTTAACCCCGCCGCATTTTTGCGTGTGTCCCAAGTCAGGAGCATCTGGCCTTTGTTAGTCTTGTATGTTTTTTTTTATATTAGTTCTATTATATGTCTCGGAGATTAGTGTGACTTCCAATTTCACTGAACTAGTACACATTTTTGTTTAGGGGCCAGCTGAAGCCCGCCTCCGGGTGCGGGATTTTCTCGCTGTGTTGAAGACCCATTGGTGGCCTTGGGCTGTTTTCTGCTCTTTTGTCGGGTTGTTGTCTCTTTGACACATTCCCCATTTCCATTCTCAATTTTATTTTATTGTATATATGTATGCATGTATGTTTGTGTTAAATTTAAATCAAATTCATACTGTCTCGATTCCGTCCAACAACTGTTCCTGGTAGACCTAGATCTTGATCATCCCAAGTCCAATCTGGCCCTCGTCTTACTCTATCTCCTAGTTTAAGTGTGTTACACTGTATCTCCATATATAGACCTCGGTTATTAAAAAACTTTAAAGGGTTGCTATAATCTTGCACCATATCTAGACAGTCATCCTAAAAAAGAATTGTCATATTTTACTTATTTTTTTTCAACTGTATATAATTTTTCATAAAATAATTACTGAATTCAGGGAACAAAATTTCATGATTGTTTAACATGCGTTTGAAAGGAAAAACTAACAAATAGAAAAATACGAAACAGAACTTTAATATTTTTACTATATTGATACTGATGATTAATAGACAAAAATGTTCTGTTTTATACCACGTGGACTTTGCACAGATTGTTTTCAATATTGTTGATTTCGTAAGATAGTGCTAAATCATACGTGTAGTGATGAAGTCTTTTCTTTAATAGTGTTTTAATATTTTTCAATAGTGGTAAGTAAATTGTTAAAAATATCTACCTTCCTTCCAAATAAGTACGGTTTTCTTATTGAAATAAAGTTATTTCTATATACAGAACAAACAAAGTTAAGGATCATCAAGACATTAAGGATCTACAAGATCGTCATTAATCTTCCCTTTGTTTATTTATTTTGTATTTACATTGTATCATAGATCAAATTTATTTGTTCAGTGTATGTGCACTGGTGTTAGTATGTCTTTTGATTGAGTTAAGCCATTTCAATTGGTATCTTATAGTGTGTCTTTCTATGTTGTGATGTTACACTATTGTTTCAGATAAGGGTGAAGGTTTGGTACCATTAAAACGGTTAAACCCGCTGCAATTGTTTGCACCTGTCCTAAGTCAGGAATCTGATGTTCAGTAGTTGTCGTTTGTTGATGTGGGTCATAAGTGTTTCTCGTTTCTCGTTTTTGATATAAATTAGACCGTTGGTTTTCCCGTTTGAATGGTTTTACACTAGTAGTAATTTTTGGGGCCCTTTATAACTTGCTGTTCGGTGTGAGCCAAGGCTCCGTGTTGAAGACCGTACTTTGACCTATATTGGTTTATTTTATAAATTTTGACTAGGATGGAGAGTTGTCTCATAGGCACTCATACCACATCTTCTTATATCTTTATACTGCCATTGCAACTTCAATTTAATCAATTTGACATTTGGCGAAAATGATAATAATATTTACCATTTTACAATCAAAGGAGAAGGTATAAAAATTTGATATTTTAATCACATGAATTAAAAAAAATCAAAAGATATTACAAGTCTTTATTAAAACATTCTTTAGATAGTTACAAAACACTAGTATGTCAGATATCAGTATCGAGATCTTTTAAATTTGTTTTAAAATTTTTGTTCGGGCTTCAATCGACTTACATCTCATACAAAACTGCAAAAACTGTTATGATAATCTCACTTTTGTCATTACAATGTAAATATCGGCAAAAGTCTTACCCAAAAAAATATTTATCAACAAAATATCTAATAAAACGATGTTAATGTTGGTAAAAAAAATGTTGGTATGGCATATATCATATTGCCGATCAAAACAAATACTATGAGTAAAATTACCATTATATGTCAAATACTTCTTTTCAAAAATTATGGTAATGACACTATGATAACGTCAAAATTAATATAATCAAATCATACTTTTACAGCTCAACATTTGTCGAACTTAGATGTATGAAATTCTTATATGACGTTCTTCAAACGCTTTGAGTACACATCCGTGGTAAAATATGAATATATTATTAATTCGTATATTTCAACTAATTTGATTCGTTCAGGGATAGTCACATGTTAAACTATATTTTCGAAGGTAGACAGAAAACGGCGGATAGCAAAAAGCATATTGCATAGCAAAAAGCATATTGCACGGTTATTTTTAGAATATCTAAAAACCGATATACATTGTGACGTCATGTAATGAATTTCATGATATTGTTAAAAGTTTTATTAAAAAATATCTTTGATCGATTATTTGAAGAAAAAAAATCTTCAAATAAATAAGATGTTAAAAACAAACATAAAAAATAAATGAAATAACAACTAATGTGTTGTTATTGTGTAGGAGACAATAAGATATCTATAAATTTCCAATAAAATCAAATGACGATTTTGATACAAATATGGTCGGAAATTAATAATATAACAATTATAGCCTATGTATGTGGTCAATACAGGTTATATCGACCCAAAGAAGTATATCGACCTCGGACTTCGTCCTCAGTCAATATACTTCTTTCAGGTCAATATATCCTTGTATCGACCTCATACCAAGGCTATAATTGTATAATATTGATAATTCAGCTGATCGCCAACGTCATGGATTGTTTGTAAATGACGTCGTTGAACGATGACGTTAGAATATAAGCATTCTACGGGAAAATGCATGAATTTGAAACTGAAGTCGTCGAAACATGAAAACAAACAAACAATGATAAGAATTTGTTGAAAGCCCATTTTCTTAAATAAAAGTAAGATAATCCATTAACTTCGTCAAAACCTGTCTTAGAATGTATTGTTAATCATTTAAGCATGTCACTTATTCAGTTTTCTTCGTATTCTACGTCAATATTAATAGTGTGTTCAATTACGGGAACAGCAAAAATTTTCTTCACATAGAGCGCTTCGAAACAAAAGAATTGCTGTCTCTGTCCTATAGAAATAATTCATAGGGGCTTGAATGTATATTGATTTTACCACGGGTTGTCACTTTATGCTGATATTTTATCCCTTTCATAAAATGCAAAACCCGTGGTAAAATCAAAATAAATTCAAGCCCCCATGAATTGTTTCTTAAATATATTATAGAAATCGTTTAATACTATCACACAGGTTGGTAGCAGTGTTGCAAAAATCATGATTTAAAGAAATATAAATGAAATCTATATAAGAATAAGAAGATGTGGTATGCTTTGCAATGATACAAACTCTCCACCAGAGACCAGATGACGTATAAGTAAGCAACTAAATATGTAGGTCACTGTACGATCTTCAACAATGAGCACAATTCATACCACACATGAAGCTATAAAAATAAAAGGCCCCGAAATGACAAATGTGAAACATTTGAAAAGAGAAATCTAACGGCCTGATTTTTGAAAAAAAAATAAACGAAAATCAAATATAATATCCCTTGCAGAACTGAAATATTTGAGGCAGATCTGCAGCAGACTTGCTGCAGGTGTGATGCAAACAAAAAGCTTGCAGAAACCCTTTGAATATTGTTTGCAGACGTTTGCAGCTAGCTGCAAACCTCCTGCAAACATTGAAGCTTTTTGCTGCAAGCTTGCGGCAGGTTTGCAGAAACAATTATGTTTGCAGTAAGATTGCAGTAAGAAATAGAATATAAGGATGTTTGCAGCTATATTGCAGAAATCTTTGACCATTCCATACGTTTGCAAGAGCATTGCAACATTTACATAAAATGACTGAGCATGCCTATTGGTAACTTCCTGGAAGTTAAAGATTTGAAATTCGGTGCTGAATTATGTTGATGGTGTTTGATTCATGTTATATGTTAGTGTTCAGGGAGGCATTTTATGTTGGATATTAAATGTTTAGTTTTCAAAGACATTATTTGTAAGTACAAATTCTTCATAGAACTGTAAACATATGAAATTCGTCACCTCCTCAAATACCTGAAGGTTTGAAAAACATTTACAAATATGTTACAAATATACTGTACTCTGTAATATATTTGGAAATTGTAACTTATTAAGTATTATGTTTCAATAAGTCAATTTAAATTTTATGATAATATTAATTTAATTGGCTGTATATGCACAAAATGCATTTCAAATAATCCCCTCTTTTGTATTCTAAATATTCAATTTATTTGAGGACTTCAACAACAAAAAAACTTTAAATTATTTCTTAAAAGGTATTTACTAATGCTATGATAATTTTGCAAATGATGAAGTATTTGAATTGTTGTATATGTATGTTTGTAACCTAACTTTTTCAGAATTTGCTGTGCAATTTAAATAATGTGATGTGTAGACAACATGACATTGTTTAATTGTAATGTATGTAGTTCCTGCAAGTTTGCAGCAAACACTCAGGAGAAAACATAGTTTGCATATAAATGTTTGCCACAGGTCTGCAGCAAACACGCAGGGGAAAGCTTAATTTGCATATAAATGTTTGTCGCAGGTCTGCAGCAAACACTCATTTGCATAAAAATGTTAGCTACAGGTCTGCAGCAAACACGCAGGGGAAAGTTTAATTTGCATAAAAATGTTTGCCGCAGGTCTGCAGCAAACACTCATTTGCATATAAATGTTTGCTACAGGTCTGCAGCAAACACTCATTTGCATGGTAAATTGTTTGCAGCAGACCTCAGCACATTTGCAGCAAACATGCTGCAAATACAGACTCTGCGATTGCTGCAAGTCGGCAGCAAGTTCGCTGCAGACTTGCAGCAAATATTTGCAGGAGGCTGATTTTGTCAGTAAGGGAGTATACAGCAACAAAAGACAACCACTGAACAACAGGCTCCAAACTACTTGGCTTTGATAACTTTGCTTGTTTTATATATAAAAAAAAACTGTGGACAGGATAGATTTCATATCGATTGATAAGGGAACGAATCATCTGCCAGTATCTCACGTGTGTATCATGAAAATCTGATCGGTTTGATATCATCCTTCTAATATCATCTCTGCTATGATTCTTTGTATATCGTATATCTGATGCTATAGTAATTGCATGAAGCTGTAATATAAAATTATAACAAAATTTAAAGTTGGAAAACAAATACCACAGTAAATAGAAATTTTGCAGGCATATTAAGGTTTTTCTGTTTCTGCAGAAAAAAATGAACCACTACAATTTGGTACAGTCTTGTATATTTAGTGTGTATACCATATATAAAACACGAATGCAATTATCAGTTATTTCACGACAATCCATGTTTGTTTTCCTACTACATACTTTAAATAAAAGCCCCAGAGTTGTAAAATGATAAGCCTAGAAAAAATGGCTACGATAAAGACCTTAATTAATCAAGAGATATTTTATACACGTGAAAAAAATATCCTCGGTCCATACTTAAAAAACCAAAGTTATGAGCCAAAGATTGAAGGTAAATTTTATTATTTATATCGCATGGGGCTAATTTGAATCTGGATCAAAATTCGTAATAAAAAAAGATGATTATGTACTCTGGATGTTTAGATATTTTTTTTGTGTGTTATAACATACAATGTTTATACTTTGTTTTAGTTTCACAACGCATTCAGTCAGTAACATTGGTAGTTCTCTGACGATTTTAAGGAAAACTGTTTTAAAAAAAGTGTTTTTATTGAGAATATAATAAACAACTAACTAATTATCGAGACAATAATACACTACTTTTACTCTTATGTGTCCAGTTCATTGTTGGCTTAACTCGATTGGAAAGTTTTCAAATGTTTTTTTTACACTAAACCCTTTCAATACCATCCGATATTTTGATTAAGAGCAATTCTATAGATTTCTCGAAGTTTTTTTTTATATATGCTTTTTCATTACGAAATTATCTTTTAAACTAATAAACTATTATTGAAGTATTCCACCATTTAAGATCTATATATGTTCAATGATATTAGCAATGTAAAGTTTGCGGTGTAAATTTTGCGGGACTTAAATCAAAATGAGGACATTTATCTATTTCATATCAAAACTTCGATTTTGATGTGTGGTATCAGAATTTTTAATTTTAAGAGGTGGTATCAAAACTTTTGTTTTACAAGAGATTGTACTATAAATTTATAACTCATTTTTATGATCACTATTTTACTTCTTACATGTATTTTGGAAAATGTATGATAGTGACTTTCACCTCATTTATTACAGTAAAACATTCTATCTCTGATTTTACTCAAGGTTCCAACTAATGCAGGTAAAGTTGACCTTAGATAAATTTGGTTACTCTTTTCAGGTCCCTTTTTTGTCATACTGCTTCTAGCGTATATACGTATTATTACATTCCTGGCTTTCAAATGTTAAGGTTTGAGCGTTCCGATGAAAGTATTCCAGAAGAGCGCTCGGACAAGCGAAATTTATAAAGTGTTGTTTTCGTTTATAAATTATGGTATAAGAATTTTGTAGTTGAATAATAAAGCTCGATGTATACTTTTGACTTTTTATTATAGTTTTGAAAAAAGCAAGATTAAAACTTTTGAATAATATCCAAAACAGGCTACGAAAAATACAAATTTGGATACTATATAAATAAATGCTATTTATCCTTACCATAACTCGTGACATTCTGATCAAGCGATTCATTTCATTGTCTTGTATAATTTTTCCATTTGTTTTCCTTACAGCTTGTTCTAAAATCTGCAGCAAAGAATTAGATAAATCTTCAATTCAGATCAACGTTTCGAATTAACATCATACGATGTAACAAATTGCATTTGCTAAATTTGAAGTGATAATGACTTATTTCAAAAGAAATTTCCTTCTCTATTGGAATCATACAGACCTTTTATAATCCTACAAGGTCATTTGTCTTTTTGTCTTTTTGTCTTTTTTCTTTTTTTTTTTTTTTTGCTATAACGTCTGTTAGTCTTCGACTTGTGAGTTTGAATATTCCTTTGGTATATTCCGCCTCTCTTATATGAAAGTGACCTAATTAATAAACCTTCAGAAACTAATATATTTTATGTATATTTAAGTAAACTCAAACACAAAACCTTATACTATACGGGTGTCACTAGTGTAGCAGGAAATGAGTTCTCTTCCGGAGCACTTGACCACATCCCCGTTTTTTGTTGGGTTCATGTTCCCTAATCTATATTTTTTATTAAAGTGTTTTGTGTAACAGTCGTGAACTGTTGTTTTGTATTTTTCTTTGGCCATAGCGTTGTCTGTTTGATTGAGGCTACTTGTTATATTATCTCCTTTTTAAATAAAATGGCCCATGTATTTTAAGCAAAATTGCATTTCCCCTTTTTATACATATTTTCTCTACAACAACTTTCCTCGTGATACAATGTAACGTAAACATTTCTAATTTGAAAGTTAACTCATGTAACAAAATAAGCCTCTAATATATATTAAGAAAAAGAGCAATATACCGTCAATATATCCTACTCCAAAATAGGAGATTTTTTTGATTTTTTTAAAATTCTGGTTAAATGGTACAACTACGAGATGCCTTGTCAATCAATAAGTTCATATGTGGGACGTAAACAAACGAATGGTTCGGGTTGAACATATTTGGGTTAAAAGAATATGCATATCAGTAATTTTGTTTTTCTGGACCTGCAGCGAAATCGGGTGTGTTGACAGAGAAAGCGTCTCTTTCTATGCATTCATCAACCAACATGCGAATCCACAATCAAAAGGTTGCAGTTGGGATTAGAACGCAATCGGTAAAATTTCAGATCAGATGACCATAGGGATGTCAAAAGATTGAATTGATTGATTGATTGATGTTTGCCAAACGTACAGTGGCAAATATTCCATGCATGTTGAGGACGAAAACAAATTATTAATAAATAAAATAGGTAGATCCAGTAATATTGGCCGTCCGGTTTGGAAAATTTGGACTGCCGCCGGAAAATGATGGACCAGCAACTTTGTCTTGCAACAGGCCATCTGCGGACCCTCAAACAGTTGGTCCAAGGGTTCCTAATGTGCAAAGAGCGCTGCACTTTCTTTACACGAGGCATCGGATTTAACGTCCCCATTTTAATCGGACGTGGCTGCGTACTTGTACATCCCGCACAGTCAAACGGGCGCCCCACTTTGGCAAGGGTTTTAATGCAGGTCGGAAGAAGACCGAGAGTGACTATATTTCTATCCCAAAGTCACCCTTCGGGCGATGTCAAAAGAAGAGTTGGACTCCGGATCCGTCAAAAGTGGACATGGTACGTCTATAGGTCTATTGCATACAAATTTTTCAAAGACTTTTAGAATATGTCCCAGATCTGATTGACCAGAAATGTACATATGACTAAAGCGGTCCTAAATATGCAGATCATCGGATAGAGGTACATGTATTTTGTTTAACTGATTTAAAAGAATTAACTGAACTAGTAAAGCTGTAAATAATCTACTCAAAAATAACTTTTTGTACAGGTTACGTCCGACTGTAAGAAAATATTTCATTAAGAAAACTACAAAATGTTCTCACACTGTTGCACTGATCTCCGCCAACAGGAACATAGAATATTCTTGTAGTGGAAGAAGTTAACTTTTCAATTACACCATTAACGTCGGAAGGTACCTAAAAAAATAAAATAAATAGATTAATCTACTTTGGAGATATTTGAACGTCGTCGCAATAAATAGCACCTGACGACTTCAAAACTAATAAAATCTAATTATACAATAAATAAAACGATTCACTTCCCTAAGATCATTGACAATAAATAATACTGCTAAATATACCACGTTTTTTAAAGGAAATACATCCTTTTCTTATAAAAAAAATATGTGCAGCTTTCCAAACGTTTACTGTCTGCAAGCCCATACATTACGAAGTGTTTGGAACATTCTTTTCGCATGTGTTTTGCGCCATGTATTACTATTATTTGAGGCATTAAATATGTAATATATGTGGTATGATTGCCAATGAGGCAACTTTTCACCAGAGACCAAATCACGCAGATGTAAACAACTACAGGTCACCATACTGCCTCCAACAATGATCAAAACCAAAAATGTAAAATAATCTCTAACGCCACGACATAACAAAACGCAGCAAAACGGCTGATAACGTACAAAACAATTATTGAAATATACGTACGATAGACAGCAACTGACGACAACACATGAACTAATAAAGACCCGTTTTTCATTACTTCTTTAAAATTACTCGGTCGTAAATTAAGAAATTGTGCAGAAACTAAGGTTCCAGCTAAATCGGGCAAAATTGACCTTTGATGAATTCGGCTATTCTGTTTATGTCCTTTTTGACCATATAGCTTCTCACGTTATAGCATTTTTACGCATAACTGGCTTTCAAATATTAAGGTTTGAGCATTCCTGAGGAAGGTAAATCCAGAAAAGCGCTTCGAACGGACGAGACTAATAAGAGCATTTTTACATTTACAAGCACTGGGTCGATACCGCTCCTGTTGAAATGTTCGTCCCCGAGGGTATCATCACTCAGTAGAATGTGCTAAATATACAAATAATATTTTGAATCAACAAAGTACAGGCAAGAAACGAGCCTCCTCATGGGGTTGATGATTATGTGATTACTTGGCCGTTTTTTATAGTGATAGTTGCCACTTATTGACGGATCTCTAGAGTTCCAGATAAAAATAAATCAAGACAAGCGCTTCGGAAGCACGAAATTTATAAGGTGTTTATTTCATTTAGAACATGAAAATAAAGATTTCGACTCAGAACTATTTCAAATTTGCACATGATGTTTTGAAATGCAAAAAATCAACTAATTCAAATGAATTTCACAATATCGGTGTTGTTATGTCGACACACGTACGTCATAATATGCACATTCCTTCATAAAATTGAAGACAATTGCTAAATTTATGCAGTTTTCCACTCGTTTTCCTTCCTGGAATCATCGTTTGCATCGAAGAAACAACAAATAATTTTATGGAAGCTTTATAATAGGTATAATTATAATCTCACCAAATATATATTTTGAGAGTGTGAACGTTCTGTTTCGATTAAACATATTCCTAATATAAAGGTTGGTGGAAAATAAAGAAAATCAAGATTTTTTTGTCGTGGATGGTTGCCATGGAAACTCGTTAATTGACACTTTTGTTTTAATTTTCTAAACACCTTGTACCTTAGTATAGCAAGAACAATCTTAAGAACATGTAATGCAACTTTTTAATTTGTCCTTATATTTGGGCCAAATAAGGGCTTTGATGACCCTTCTCCTTTCATTAATTTTATTCGATATGATATCCATGTGCATGTGTTTTTCTTTTCGATTGTTGTAATAATGTTTTAAGTTGACAACGACAAAAATGTTAATACAGCACTATTTTAATTATGAAATTTGTTATATGGTTTAATATTATATGATATTCAAAATCCAATACACTTTCATTACAGAAAGAAGTGCGCGATCATTTAGTAAACTGAATATCAATTTCATTAAAGAGATTTAAAAACAATATTTACATCTTCATGTATCTCTTAATCTATTTGAATCAAGACTTTCTCTTTTTCCCTAAAAGGGTGTATGACATTGTATTTGTTAATAAAATAAACGAGTTACAAATTTCATGTTAGGCGCAATAAAGTATTTATAGAAGATGTAATGTATGATATACAACCTCACACCCATGATATTTGTCTGAGTCATGCCTTTATGAACAAACAAACTAATACGATCCAAGTGATAAGTTCAAATATGTTATACAACAATGTAGCTTATATATCAAAATCACATTTTTTCAATGAATTATCAATCACATACGAGCAAATAAAAATAATTCATATATACCTACTCGATCATTCTGTAATGCAAAAATATAATTGTCTTTATTTTCAGAAGAAACTTTACATTGTTCTGACGATCCATTAGTGAAAACAATCATATGGGCCCGTATAACAACATCTTGAAATCTGCCCGAATTACCTGTAAGTAGGTGTAACAAAACATTTACTTCGATCTATTTCGAATGATATCAAACATGGGAAATTAATTGTTACTAGGATTAGAGACCAACATAGGCTGTTCACTTAAGGCACAAACAACAAGAAATGCCGATGCTCATTCACTGTTGTAAGAACAGTCCAAGACTGGAACCTCATACCAGCAAGAATGGATGCTGCAGTCACCATCGAGGTGTTCATGTCTAAGATTAAAATGAGCCCTTCTAGCTAGACAGGGATCCCAAGTACTAGTGTATAATTTTACTTGTATCATGTTTCCTAGAATTATTTCTAGATGCACATTGGCTAGGGAACTACACATGTGTATATCTGACATGAGTAGCATAACATAACTTGAAACAGTCGGCAACGATTCCTGTCTTTAAAACAAAAAAAGAAGGATGTCACCAATTTATTCAGAAAAGATGGTAAAACAACTCATCAAACAACATAAACTCTGCGGATCACTGATCAAAAGTGTTATTAGAAAAAAGTAAAATAACAAAAATATCGAACTCCAAGAAAAATTCGAAACGGAAAGTCATTTATCAAATGGCAGCATCAAAAGCTCATACATTGGGGTATAGCAATCAACATTATGTTATAATCTTATTCACTGTATAAACAAATAACTATTTCAACAATGAAAAACAAAATGGCATATAGACAAAGTACATAAGTAAAAATGAAAGACAAGTATACAAGAAGCAAGATTTTTTCCGGAAAATTAAGGAATTTCTGTTCCGGATAAAACTTCGTAATATTACTCAACGCCAGTCATTAGTCTAAACTGATAACAGAAAAAGGAACAATAAAACACGTCAAGTCAGTTGTTTGTTAGACACCTATCATATAGCCCCACCTTCACAACCGAAGTGGTTATTCCAGGCTAATGAGAATGAACCCACGATAGAGACGATTCTATGACAGTTTCAGTGAGAACACCTATGATCTGACATCAACACCAATGTCTAAGTTGACTAAGCGAATTAAAGACACAGCGCAATTAACGTTGACTGATTGTTCCGGACTTCAGACTTAACTTAATAGTGCAAGTATTATACATATGAGAACACATCTAGGAAAATTTATAAAATGCTGCATCATTGAATGTATGGAATTGTTATATGTTGATAGTGAAAACATGTTTTTCGACATTCTTATATTTGTGATTGTACTTCTTATTACTTTTTACATAGCAGAAGAGTAACAAGATACCACAGGTGCAATCAAACACTTTAAGTAGAAGACAAAACACACAACATCATGGCAAAAGTAAGAAAACAAACAAAGCACTTCACAGAAAACTACAGATTGAGCTACATGAACAGCGCAAAAAAAACTGGAATGAACTAAAGTGATCTGAAAGAAAAAGCAGTTCCTGTTTCACAGGTTGCTCCAATCATGTTTCAAATATCATGTAAAAATCAATAAATAGATTGTATTCAATGGCTTAGTAAACGAGGCATGTATTTCGTAATGAAAAACATTTTTAACTGCAAAGCGATTTCATAATTTTTCTAAGTGGTATTTGGACATTCAATATTGAGCAACAAGTTATACATACGGAACAATAATAAGACAAGTGTATTTCCTAAAAATCGACTACTAAATGAAATTGCAAGCCATAATGGAACAAAATCAAATTGTACTTACATGCGGAAACACCAGCATAACCCATCAGAAGTCCAGCTATTATTGGTGCATCTCCATCCGGTCGTAATTGTCCTTTAAAAAGTTTGAGTTAATAAGAAAATCACGGATCATTCTGAGACAAATATATTGAAGCTAACTCTATACTTTTTTTAACAATAAAAAAGGAAAAAGACAGGTTACTGAATTTTAAGGTATGAGAGTTTCGCCTTTTAACTTTGGTTACACTATCCACACTTGTTGTTTATTGCAAAATTCCCTTTAGAGCACCTGAGATCACCCCCAGTTTTTTGTGGGGTTCGTGTTGCTTAGTCTTTAGTTTTCTTTGTCGTGTTTAGTGTACTGTTGTTTGTCTTTTGGTCGTGTTTCGTTTTTTGGCAAGGCATTATCAGTTTGTTTTCGACTTGTGAGTTTAAATATTCCTTTGGTATCTTTCGCCTCTCTTTTTATTCCTAAAATAATTTTTTTTTCTAAAAAGACATATAACCAAATGAATTCAGCAAACTATCTTTTCGAATATCAGCATCAAGTCTATATGCACGTAAGCTATTTGTATGATTTGTTGTTTGTAATAAGTTTAAAAATGAATGGATAATTTAAGATACAAAAGTTAAATGAAATTACTTATCAATTCTATGATTAATTCATAATCAATCGTTGATTCCTGAATAAGTCGGGTTTGTCGTCCAAACACTGCTAAACCAATACCATTTTCCATCCCGCCACATTGAATTCCTGTCGAGAATAAATTGTATTGTTTTTAACAAAAGGAAAGTTTTCATCTCATTCAGTTATTTTATTTAAGGGGCAATTGGATTTAATTTAATTCATTGCTATATGTTCCTTAATATACATAATAAAATTAAACTAAAATGAGCAAAAAAAACCCAAGATATGTTTTAATTATATTACTAAGCTTTTTTTTTTTCGCGTGGTATTTGATTTTCTAATTCCTAAACAATATTATTTGTTGATTCATTTTTATTTTCTCATATAATTTTATTCTACTTAATCTTATTTATCATTTTGTATTTCAACTCACCATACACATACTGTAGAGCAGCTGATTTCAACTTCTGGAAATACCCTGTCATACGTTCAGATGTATCTAATACCAAAATGACGTCATGCGCTCGTCCCACTTTCACTGCCCCTGATCTTACTCTAGCTGAAGCTAAAAATTGTCTTCTTAATCATTATTCATGGAAACTTCAAAGTTAAATACTGTATATCCTTACTTTTATTAATGTTGATTTGGCGACCAATAGTTTCCAATGGACTAAAGATTAGATCTTATAACATTTTTTTGTAAAATATTTAGTTTATGTCTTCATTTACATTATCATATACCTATGTAAGGATTTGTTTAGTGTCAACTTATACGTTTAAAAAGACCCGGTCTCTATATTCATGCAAGTAAAGTCATGAATTCAAATACACTGATTAGTATAAAAAAAAAGTAAAAGAAGACTGTTTCTTGATGTTTAGATGTCTTTTCACTATATGCGTTTCTATCTTATTGACGCATACCGTAAAATCTTCGTTTATTCATAATAAACGGAAAGGTCCATTTGATAAAATAAAAACAAGTCCTAATATAAAAATGAGGAGATGTGGTATGATTGCCAATGAGAAAAACTATCCACCGAAGTTCAAATGAAGTGGATCTAAGCAATCATAGGCAACCGTACGGACTTCAACAATGAGAAAAACCCATACCGTATAACATTGATGTCATAGTTTAAAAAAAATGTATTTGGATACTGTACTGCCTCATTGACGTCTACCCGGTCGATCTTTTGGTAGATATGACGATTTGGCCTACACGTTTATTTGTTTATAAAATTTTAAATGGTTGGATATTTTCCCCTATATTACAAACACAGCAATTCTTTCCAGTAATATCTCCTTTAACCTATTTACGCCTGTATACTTTTGACGATATAGTATAATTGATGTCAAAGTACTTGCCATATGCTTTGATTTGTTTGGAATACTGATACCATTCTCTAACAGTTTTGGGTTGATCAGCATCGAAAAGTCCTACAAATATATTTAATGACCACATTTATTATATCAAGAAACGAGAAATCCAAAACTTACCCGATGATTTGAAATTGCAAAGTATGCTTTTTAAAATATGTTATTTTATAACAAATCATCATTAATCAATTATTTTTTAATTCAACATTTGCCATAAACATAAAACGATTAATACATATTATCAGTTAAACTTTTGTTCATTATTAATTCTTTGTCAAATAAGTTTATTTATCTTACATACTGTCACCATAAATGTCCTCCTCTTGTCTCCTTCTTTCTCCTCGACTGAAGGAACTGTATCTAAATAAACGTTAACATGTTCACAATCTGATTGCAATATAAATATTGTGTACACGCTCAGCTTACAAGGTTCTGATCAGCTTACTCTGGTAAAGCTAAATTCTACGTTCTGTTTTAAAGAACTTTAAGGATCGTCTGGTTTTGTCGTAATGATATACACCTTCTAAGATGTAAAGGCTCAACTTTCATTAGCTGATTTAATAATTACCAGAACAGACAGTAGAACGAAGTGTTGTCAGAACCTTGTAAGCAAAGATTTATACACGGTTAGTAAATTTCATACGGGGTGAGCGTAGGTCGAAAGTCCATATACAATTTATTGACCGTGTATATACTAGTACCATATTAAGTCACTGGTGGACTATGTAATATTAACATCCTACCGAATATCAAACAACAATGAAAATACGAAAAATAAGTTTAAAAATACAACAAATGGAAGCCAAGAGGATGCCTTTCACGTAATAGCCAGTTCTTTGATGTTGTAATGATTCTTATGATACATTTTGTCACCAAATTTACCGTGTATACTCTCTGACTGTTCATGACGCCTTTACAATAAATCCATTGGATATTGGATGTGAACTGATTTATATTTTAGTCTTAGATACATGATTTTTTTTATAAGTTGCTATTGGCTATGAACTTGCTGTCAGTAACATCGAGTACTCTCAGAATTGTACTTTGTGTCTTATTTGTTGTGCGGGATAATATCCTACCATGCCCGGTCTGTTATGGTTAGATGTTTTTCTGCTTTGTATCGATCAAATGATTTAAGCCCTTTTCAACTGATTTTTATAGTTTGTTCTTATGTTGTACTATTTCACCTCTGTCCCAGGTTATCAGGAGGGTTGGCACCTTCAAACATGATTAACCTCACCATATTCTTTATGTGCCTGTCCCAAATCCGGTGCCTGTAGTTCAGTGGTTGTAGTTGGTTCATGTCCTTCATATTTGTTTTTCGTAAATTGATATAAAATTGTTATAAAGTAGGCCGTTAGTTTTCTCAATTGAATTGTTTCATATTTTTCATTTCGGGCCTTTTTAGAGTCGACTAAACAGTATGGGTTTGTCTCATTGTTGTAGGCCGAACGGTTACCTATACTTGCTTACATCAACTTTATTTGAACTTTGGTGGATTGTTGCCTCATTGGCAATCATACCACATCTCCATATAAAAATATAAAAGAGTTTATGTTCTCTTGCGGACTTTTTGGTTTAATTTTTCTTCTTTTAGTAGTTATTTTACTCTAAACGTTTCAAATTTTGGCTGTTAAAACTTTATGTTTAAGCGCACATGATGAACACGGACTGTGTACATGAACATCATAGTATACCATACATTACTTAAAACGAAGACACTGTAAATGAAGAAGTATTTATACCTTGTCGATAGTATGTTTAAGATACTTACGATGTTGCTGAGGTCATCATTGGTTTTACATCATCTGTGATTTGTTCTGTCGGTTCTATATTTGGTACAATCGATTCTTGTCTTTGAGGGTCCATACTGAAAAAGTTTTTATCAATTTTCCCTCCAATACTTTCCTGGTTATTATGAAAGGTAACACGGTTGTCGTTCTGTATATTTGTAGTTTTACTTTTAAAGCAATATTCATTTTTACGAATCCTTGTATGTAACTTAGGTATGTTACCAGTTTTCCTTTCGGACGAACGTTCAGCGCTGTTTTTCTTGTTACATGTATGTACTGGGCTGTCTTGTTCGATTTCGCTTTCATTTTGAATACTTCCATCACTATTGGAAATCCGATATTTATTTGTTGAAGTGAAAGCATGTGGAACTTGTAAGGTATCACTATTATTTCCCAACTTTTTAAAGTACTTTGTATCATTTTGTTCACTGATAGGCTCGTAAGGGTTAATGTTTGACACATTACATTTTACTGCGTTATGAGTAAGTGGTGGTACTTTCCTGTCATCAACATTGTTTAAGGGATGATTATGGATATTAGCATCACCGCTGCAACATTCATTGTCCGATCTGTATTCTGTGTTATCTTCATCAGATGCTTCACAATTTTCCTTGCATGGTATATTACAATTTACTTCTGATCCATTGTTTTCCAGTACACTTAATGAACATTCACGCCATTTATCATTAGTTGACATATCAGTAGAACCTTCTTTACTTTTATCTTCACCAAAGGCTGTCGTAACCTGCAGATTATCTACAAGTGTGTTCAGTCTACTAGTTTTCATTAGCAAGGCTAAAATCTTCCTTCTTACAGTGTCTAGATTATTGCCATATGCAATGGATTGAGTGTGTACTCGACTCACGTGTTCTTCCAATTCTAAAAACACACATACATATATTATTAAAGTACATTATAGATGGTCAGATGAAATTTAGCTTTTTTTAATTTTATGTTTACCGTTTGCTTTATGTGTACCGTTTAATGAAGTATTGTCCTGATTGTTCCTATATGAATTAATGGAAAGTGTTAAATTTGCTTCAAAAGTCAAATATTAACGTGGATGCCCCATCAATAGCCAATAATAAAATTCACCAAACAAATTGGAATTCAGTTAAATAGAACCTAGCAATCAAACAAATGTTGAAAAGAGAATGAAAAAAAAAGAAATATAAGACGAAAAATAAATAATGAAATTACAAGAAACCAGGTTTTACTTGAAATATATTTCTAAACATACTTACGTAATATTTCTTTTGAGGCAACACCTTGTATTGAAGTACTACTCGTGCTAAAACATTGACAAACATTTAATAAATAATTACAAACACTTGATGAGTTTTATATGAATTTCCCTAAAGCAAAAACAAATATATAAAATATATATTGCTTGCATATGCCTTATTCTAAATTGATATTAAAAATTGATGTTTTCAATGAATTCATTTTTAAATGTGGTTTTAACTTTATTACTTTAAAACTTGTAACAGCAGAGAAAAATATGAACCTCTCACCATATGCAACGACCTCCGTTAGTGTTCCTAAGTTCTTCAAGATGCTACTGTTTACACAATATATTAACAATCACACATTATAATTTCTTATCGTGCACATATATATATATATACATTTGTATATCCGTTCATCCTATTTCGACTCTTCAAAATTCAAGAGTCTATCCTAAATTGAGGTAAATTTAATGGCCTTCCAAATACCGTTTCGATTCCTAACATCACTGAAGAGACATGAATTGTCGAAATCCGGATAAGGTGTACCAATTTTTGCACCTCATGTTTGCGGTATACCATCTTTTCCGCAAGTTTATTGTTTTCTGTTTGGTATTAAATTAATAATTATGATCCATTTGTTACATCTGGTGATACGTTTATTTGGCAATCGCCAATGGCAGTCAGCAAGGTTTAAGAACATCAGTTGTTCGACCTGCTAGTCAAATGCGCTTTGTTAAAATATACTTTTTCACTTTTATGGTCTTTTGGAAAATGTTGTTTGTGGTTTATTTAGACCCCTCTACCAAGAAATTTGTTTTGCATGCACACGTATAAAAATTGCGGTTTTTATCCAACGCAATCATAGGTTTGAACGTTGTTTTCAATTTAGACTTGTTTATATTTTTTCGTTTGGGCCTGTATTATATTTTCCTTCGGGTTTATATGATCCGTTCATCCTATTTCGACTCTTTAAAATTCAAGAGTCTATCCTAAATTGAGGTAAACTATATGGCCTTCCAAATACCGTTTCGATTCCTAACATCACTGAAGAGACATTAATTGTCGAAATCCGGATATGGTGTACAAATTTTTGCACCTCATGTTTGCGGTATACCATCTTTTCCGCAAGTTTATTGTTTTCTGTTTGGTATTAAATTAATAATTATGATCCATTTGTTACATCTGGTGATACGTTTATTTGGCAATCGCCAATGGCAGTCAGCAAGGTTTAAGAACATCAGTTGTTCGACCTGTTAGTCAAATGCGCTTTGTTAAAATATACCTTTTCACTTTCTTGGTCTTTTGGAAAATGCTGTTTGTGCTGTATTTAGACCCCTCTACCAAGAAATTTGTTTTGCATGCACACGTATAAAGTTGCGGTTTTTATCCAACGCAATCATAGGTTTAAACGATGTTTTCAATTTAGACTTGTTTATATATATATATATATATATATAGGACATTTTGATGAAATATCATTAGATTACATGCGCACACCCACACGTGACAGAATATTCAACCTGGTGACGGTTGTTATTCAGTGTTAGAATAAGAAAATCTGGCTATATAAGAAGAAAACTATTCAGTTTAAAAAACGGAAAGTCTTTTGAGAATGTCGCGCAAAATGATAGCATAAAATACTGGAATTAGTTTTAATACATAATTGAAATGAAGGAAAGTATTGATATTTTTTTTTTATTTTCCAATACAATTTTTATCATCTTTAGTATAAAAAATACATATTACTTAAAGATATATAAATGCGGAAGCTTACCTATTTGATGTCATTCTGTTTAATATATCTGTTTGCGACATATCTAATTCGTGTATGGTCTGTTTCATAACAAGAACCTTGAGGAAGAGAACAATAGAATTTAATTTATCTTTATAAAATGAAAGATGTACTATATGTTTGAACTTTTTCAATGAGAAAAAGAATAAGATACCAAATATTAATCAAACATCATAAGTCGATGACAACTTCCGAAGCAAGCTCATCGGCTCTCCTTACTTTATCGAAATTTTCAATTTAACGATGAATTACCGTTTTACGAATTTTAATTCCCAATTTGAAGATGATTTGACGAAAATAAGACATACAATACTCGACAAAGGGAGTGTGTAAAATGAGAGTCTATATCTTTCTTGACCCCACAAATGGCCAAAATTAGTCTAATTGTCTGATAAGTATTAATCAATAGTATAATGATGCATGTGACCACTGCTAAATGTTTATAAAAAACTTTGATGGAGTACATGTACACAAATGAGATAGTCTATGCATTAAGAGAAATGGGTTAATGTCGATGAAACCTATTCATAGCTAAAACTTTTAAGTAAATTTAACTTTTTTTTTGGGCATTTTAACTATATCTCATATTGAATGCAGTTTGTTTGCACTGCTAGTGTTTATAGTCTCTCCTAAGATATAATTTTAACGTGCAGCGACCTATAGTTGCTTCCACGTCACTTGGACTCTGGTGAATTGACAACCATATCTCTTTGTTTTAAATTGACATAAGAATTTTTACATCGTTTTCTTCTCAAATATAGGAATGTACAATTTAAAATACTACATAGTCATTTTGATTAATCAAATGTTTTATTCAAATAACTAAAGATATACTGGCCAACTTTACTCCTGATGTATTTTATCATAATCATCAAATTATATAAATACTGTTGTGTAGAGGCTGCTACATACTCATTGTGTAGAAAAGGAAAAATGAATGATCTGCAATGTGAGCCTCCCAATTTTCAAAATTTGTTGAATTTGAAAAAATAAACTGAGTAAAATAAACATTCCGACACTTCCAACTCAATGGTTTTTTTTGGGCACAAAATCTTTTCTCCGATATCAATTTCACCCTGTATTTTTACTGTAGGTAATCCCAAAACAAAATCTTGAAATTAGCATAATGAGAGGGCTGTAAAGATGAATAGTATGAATATTTGGAATTCCAGAATTATTTAACGTTGGAAAAATTAAACGCAAATAAATGTTTTGCATGCTAGAGGTTTTACGCAAATGCAAGAATAACTTGTACAAACTTAACTAAATTCTTTTTCAGTTTGAGTCACGCTTTTTTCTGAAAACTTGGCAAATTCGTCCCCTAAGTAATACAGAGACCGATAAACGAAATAAGTTAATATGCGATGCTTAGAAAATTGGAGTTTGAAATCATTATCATCTTCACATTTCTATTGTTCAAATTCCGTTGAACAACTTTTTTCTTTCATGTTTCTGTATAGAATCACACTGAATTGAAGCTGTAATATATTCTAAAATGACGATTTCACACAAATCGATACAATCATCATATCTTATATTTTTTTAATATCATACCTTTTCTTTCATTTGGCTTTGCATACTCTTATTTCCTATATATATATATATAAAAAAAGAAAAAAACAGTTTTATTATCTGAAGAGTTGGAAAATTATACACTTTGAATTTTATTTTTGCATTGATAGTACATTGGACTCAAATCGATATTCAAGAACTTGGATTAATTCTTATGACGATAAAAACTTGTTGTGAACGAGGGATAAATGAACATATGAATTTGAATACTAACAGAAAAAAAAGATCTGAATACACTGGTTTCATTTAATTTCATGGGTACAAATTTTCAATGATTTAATAGAAAATATTTTTTTGTGAATATTTGAATCCATTGTTTTGACAAAGTCAGCATACAAGCCTACAGACATTTTACACTTCGTTGAACATTTAAATTCGTGGTTTACCTACACCCTCGAAATTTACGAAAAAGATATCTAAAGAATAATAGAGAATCCACAGTCACATGGACTGGATTTGATTATAGTTAGACAAACAAATGCAATAAATAGTAAGGACATTTAAAGTTCAACCAAACGTCATTACCAATAGAAAAGTGTCTATGACATATGTTTAAAAGCTGTCAATTGCTAAGATTGAAGACAATTTGTGAGAAAATGTTTTTAAAAGATATTCTATTATCCCCAAAGTTTGTATAGTTCAAAGATGTCATAATAGACAACTATTTTAAGATTGATTGATGAATGTTCAGTTGAAATGATTATTTTATGCCTCTCGACTTTTTATTTTCGTATACCCAACATATCCTTTTATTCGCATAGATTCAGAACTATAGCATTTTTTTTATTTCACATGATCATAAAAATCCAGCTTTTTTCTGGGTAGGATTTGAAACTGATTTCACACGAGGTAACAGTCCACAGAACACATGTAACCTGATCCGACCAATCTTTGTTCTTACTCTTAAATGTCATGTACTGGCTCAGGAGCTGCAAATGCAAATTTAAAATTTAAAGTTTTTGATATATCCTAACCATGAATCGAACCAAATACCTCCCACAATCGAGTTGAGCGCGCTACCATGAGCCAACCGATGCAGTTCAAAACGTTAAGAACAGTGAATATCAGTTAAAAATATTTATCTCTGCAATTCTGGTATTACCGTCAATACTAAAGAATGTTCGAAATTACTGAAATCAAGCTGAAGCTACTTGACTTGTTGGTTTTAAAATTATGTCATCTTAAATTATAATAATGACCGTTGTAGTGTCAAGCAGATTTTAAGCATCTTCATGAATAGTTAAGCATAACACGTCCATTTACAAGGCTCAAGGTAAATTTGTAAGCATAATGTAATACAGAAAAATGAAAATCAATACACATTTTAGTCGTGTTTTAAACAGTCAATACATGAACCGATATAAACCAACAAAATATATGTTTAAAAAACAATCATTTTACAACAACATCATTTTGGAATGTATATTTTTATCTGTTAGTCTTGGTAGCCATTTTAATCAATTTTTACATTAATATTATAATGAAAAAATTATAATGTCTAGGTCTAAAACTAAGGACTGTGATGATTTTAAGGCATGCGTTTAGTAAGATGTAAAATGAGGTGGAAGATACCAAGGATGCATCTTAAACTCTTAAGTCTAAAAGAACTAACAATCCTATTTAAAAAAAAGCCGACAAAAAGACGAGCAGGTATAATACTGAGCAACATGAACCAAACCAATAAAAAAAAAATAGGGGGGATCTCAAATATTAAAATTTCGAAAAACAATCTGGATTATTAAAAGAAAATCGAAGGATACCAAAAGGACATTCAAACTCATAAGTCGAAAATAAACGAGTCGTAATATTTTCAGGAATTTTTAAAAATATCTTTCAAATACATGTAGTGCTTCGTTTGGCCTTAAACTGCAATTCACAGGTATGTGATAAAAGAGGCACAATAAGTACCCATAAAAAATAGCAATCACTTGGCAGTATACTAGCTTTATCTCCAAAATGAATATAAAAATAATCAATAAAAAAATCAATGGCTTTAAAAATTACTTTGCTCGTGCAATAAACGGACTTCTTGTTAGGTTTATCATTACGATAAACAAGAGACAATACTAGTTACATCTAAATGTATCGACAGGTCGTTATTACTGTATGACGTAGGACAATTTGTATTTAATACGATTATTTGGTAATGTCCTAAAAATCAAATAGTTAGCAAAAAAAGACAAACGTTAGAGATATTTTTTTCCATTGATTATACTATCACGACACTATCTCACTTTAATCATACACCATATCTTTTCAAAATAGCGTTGTAAATAAACTCATCATAGATACCAGGATTGAAATTTTGTATTTGCGCCAGACGCGCGTTACGTCTACAAAAGACTCATTAGTGAAGCTCGGATCAAAAACAGTTAAAAAAACCAAATAAAGTACACACACTGATATGAAATTTTGCTTTATAAAGGTCATAAGCATAACGAAAAGGTTCAGGATCATATCACTATTTATCTTGACATTTTAATTATTATGCGTGTAAACAGGTAACCGAAACTGAAAGTACAGAAAGTATGAGCCATGATTTGTTTTCTTTTATTTTGTTGAACAATCTATTTTTATTCATTTGCTATTTTATCTAAATATCAAAATATACTAACCTTTTATCTGTCGACGACCTTTTTGTTCGTATTGTTCAAGAAAGAAACCAATAGGACGATTAAATATTTTTCAAGTTATTAAGCGGACTTGATTTAATAATTTCAGTGTTTTCTATATATATTTCCTTTGTAACTTCCTCCGCTTCGTTTCACATGTTGGGTTTTTTACGCAGATGATAAACGATATAGTAATTATTTATTTTTCGTTTACTTTCGAAGATAAGATTGTTATTTCTGAAAGTAAACTCCTTAACTGGACATCACTCAACGTCATTAATGTATATCTAAAGTATCTCAATGCATAATATAAATCACGTTAAAAAAAACTTATGTCTCTCAATTACATAATTTCATTTAAAATTTGACCGATTTAATTAACAAAAATTAATAAGAAACTAAGGTTCCAACTCCCTCAGGCAAGGTTGACCTAAAATGGATTTGGCTTTTCTTTTTATGTCCATTTTGGTCATGTCGCTCTTCACGTTTTCAATTCTTTATGCATCCACAGCTTTCGAATTTTATTGATATAGCACTGGGACGATACTACTGCTGGTGGACAACTAGTCCTCGATGATATTATGAGATCGGTTCTTCACTACTGCCATAATTTATAATATACATTTTGTAAATTCTCCGCTGTTAAATTTAAAAGTTAGCAAGGAAGAAAGCTCCCATCCCCATCATGCAAAATTGGCCTGAGATGAATTTTAGGTTCTATTTGATCATATAGCCCTTCGCGTATTAAAGTACCTATTGTATTATCCTTGGTTTTCAATTTTGTTGAAAAAGTGTTATTTTCATTTATTAGACTCTTTTTCTTAAATGAGCTACTATGACTTGCAGAGAAACAAAAAATGGTCTGCTGTCACTGTATTATCAAGTTTCCATGAATTCGAAAAACAAAAGTAAATTCATAAGGATAATGCGATGAAAAAAAGCAATTATGCTATCTGAAAAAAAAGAATAAAGATGTTTGGGTGTTCTCAGTTCAACATGTTACATATCATTTATTAGGTATTGCTTATGGTGATATGTAATTTACATTGGACAATCCGATTTAATACCAGAAAATAACAATAAATCACAGAAACAACACATGTATTACTGGTCTTTATCTTTACAGCTGTTGCAAGGTTTTAACGATGAACTGAAGCACTCACTTCTTACATGAAGATCTAGACGACCAATTATGCTCATTGATGAAGGTCATTCGTTCGGTTACTTTTGGCTGTTTAATTTTTTGTTCTTTGGTATTTGGGGGATATTTGTCTTGTTGGCAATCATACCACAGACTCAAAGGGTAATGGGTACTTTTTTTAATACTTTGTTCATTCAGGAATTTAATATTGATTTCAGCTCTTAAGTTGTTTCGCTTTAATTTTCAGACAGTTCTAAAGTTATCATTACACTATTGTTTATCAATCATTATGTCTGATATTTTGGTCTGTAATGTAAAAAGACTACACTTTGCTGATAGTGTTATCATCTGCATTTACATTTTGTACAAAGTTTAACTAGGCATTACACAAGATCGTGTCTCATTGACGTACTGTTTATCAAGTTGCTGTATAAAATCTACTCTAGAATACAGCAATGAGCATTCTGGAGTAGAACAGTATGAGTACACACAAACATGTTTAGAGGCTTTAAACTTGCTTCCAGTGAATGCAAGCATTCTATTATAATGTATAATATTTATTCATTTTCTTTTTTCTGAAAAATGTGTTTTTGATCAAACCGGAATAAAAGGGGGAAGCGCTTAACTTGTAACAAATGCTTAAGTTTTCTTTATGTACCTTTAATTTCCCACTGAATCGAAAGTAGAATTATTAAGTTTTTCATATTAAAAACGAAACGCTTACCGTTTGTGTATTAAAAAGGACTATGCATACCTTTTTTCCTGTACGGGTTTCTAACAAAACTATTTACCGAGCATACTCAAGATATAAACATATTCATCAGATTACTTGTTTGAATGATATCTATTATCGTCTGTTTTGTATTTTCTATAAATAATTCCTGTATATTTACCTTCATTTGATGTTGTCATATAAGATCATATAACTTTGGGGTTTTCCAGTAGATATATATATAGCATTTACCAGAAAATATTTACAATAAATACATGTTTGTTACGGCCATTATAACAAATGTATTTCATATTTTTATATTTGATAAATAAGAATGATCAGTATTTAGTTTTCAAACGTTTAAAAAAGATTACAATCATGATTGTTTGAAGAAAAACATTATAATGTCAATTTTATTAAATACATGTATCCGTTTATAATTTTATGTATTTAAAAAGATGAAGTTAAGATTCCAACTATCTCAGGCAAAGTAGATTTTAGTTGGATTTGGGTCATCTTCTTAAGACTCTTTTATCAATAAAGATACATAAGTATTCAGGTGTTATTTATGCAGACTCAACTTTCATTTTTTATTCATTTGAACGTTCTGAATGAAGATAGATCCAGAAAACGCATCGGACACAGAAAATCTATAATGTGTTATTTTTATTTTTAAGTATTATACCGAAACTTAGAAGATTATGAAGGATAACAATAATAAGGTTCGCAGATTTTTAATTTTTTTTTATTTTTACTTTACATAGTTTATAATAAGCATTGATTATACAATCGTACGTCCCAAAGGCAAATATAACGTGCAAAACCATATATCACCAGTTCAATTTCTAGTAAAAAAATACACACCTCGGTCGTATCATCATCAGTCCATGGTAGCTTGCCCGGTTCCAATGCTGGCAGTTTAGATTTCGATATGCAATCAGATGAAACCAACACTTTACAGTTGTATTTACTACTTCTTTGCCAATCGTGCAGCAAACACTAGTTATTTAGAGACAATATGTTTTTCCGTTTCTTGTTTATCCTATATTAATATACGAACCAAGAGATCGCATGTTCTCTAAAAATATTAAGGCCGTCTGATACTTTTTAAATGCGTCTCTGATTATACTTGATAGGTAATATGACACATATAACGGACCAAGGGACTATACTATGTCTTAATTTCTAAGACTGTGAAAACATGTCTCTCGACAGATTATATTCATACATTACGTCATGGTCGACCGTTTCGGTGTTCCTGCTAAAAAGATTGTCTTAGAAGCACAATCTTGTGAATGAAGTCAGTGTAACGTGAAGATGCATTGGGCTTAACGTATAAATTGAGATGTACAAATACTATACGATGGGTCATAGGATAATCCACTACTTAAAAATGGAAGTTTGTCAATGGCAAATGTTAAAATGCGCAGCAATGTCCGGTTCGAATTGCCACTTAAAATTCGAAAACGGTAATAAAAACCATCGCAACAACTCTTTTAGGGTTCATAAGTTGCAAATGCACAATATGTTTTGGAGTTTAGTATGACGTCCATTTCCGTTGAATTAGTATACATTATTGTTTATGGGCCAGCTGAAGCCCGCACGGGTGTGGGATTTTCTTGTTTATTAAAAAGGACTATGGATGCCTTTTTCCTTTACGGGTTTCTTGTTGAAGACCCATTGGTGACCTTTGGCTGTGTTCTGCTCTTTAATTGGTCGGGTTGTTGTTTCTTTGACACATTCCCTTTTCCATTCTCAATTTTATTGTCTGTCCCTTCAGAACATTCCCTCCTTTAAAAACGTCAAAATTACCTACCCTTAATCTCTTTTGAACGACTTGCCGATGGATTGTTTTATTTGTTCTCGTCCAGAACATTCTAAAAATATATTCTAATCTAACTTAACAATAACCGTACGTTGACTTAGATAACATGTGAGATACTTGACCCACCACACATTAATGACTCAGAACGGGAACCTTTTTTTTTGTTTATTTTTTTGTTTGTTTACATGTTACCGCAATTATTTCTTTTTGTGTTCTTTTTCTCATTTGTTTGTTAATTTGATCTTTCTTCTCTTAGTAAGTTCTATTGTTAATTTTAGTTTAAAGAGGATTAAACAAGTGTATTCTTCTGATTTCTCTTCGACTTGGTATTGCCTACTTTTCTGGGTATAACTCTTGTCCACACTGTACTTCTTATTTGAAATATTTAGCTGTATAGACATTCCCTTACTCAATATAACAAAAAATCTATTAAAGTTTTAATGTTGGTAGTTTCAACTTCTATAGTGTATTAAAATATTAGTTTAAGTACATTATTATGAATTACTAAAATATATTTCTACATTGAAACCAAAATAATGTAACTTGCATTGTCAAACAAGCTGGTTTAGTATGTTCTATTGTTAACCATTATTCTGTTAGTGTCTATCAATGTGTTATATTTAATGTTAAACAAATCATAATGAAGGAAGGATATATCAAATTATGTGAAAACACTAATTTAACAAATTAATTGATTTCGAAAACATTGTCATAGTCAGTAATTAAAAACAAGATACTACATATCACAGTTATAGGTACATACTACAGAGAAATGAAAGTATCTTCAGAAAAAAATTTAAATATTCATGTGAGCTATAATTTAACATGAAAATAAAAAACGATAAGTGTCATTTATAAAACAAATTGAATCAACATTGACGAAATTAACTCAGAATTATTTGATAAGAAGTTACTACTACTCGATCGATGCTACAATTGTAGGACCTATACACTCTCGAACTTTTCAATCACCGCTACCATAGATAAGCTCTTGTGATCATAGTAAACATTGATAAATGCATCCTATGCTTTCTTAAGATCTGCTTTAAGCGTTCCCTTTTAAGGCTTATCTATAAAAGTACTTAAAACCTCATTAAATATACCAGACTTATAATTTGGTACGCAAGACGCGCGTTTTGTCTACATCAGATTCATCAGTGGCGTTCGAAACAAAACTGTATGAAGACAAAGTCTAAAAACACAGATGTAGAGCATTTGAAACTAAAATACCGAAAAGTTGTGCCAAATACACATGAGGCAATATGTGTCTGGGGTAGAAAAACATTAGTGTTTTGGATAATTCAACTTTTTTTGGTAATTTGATTGAGTTGAAGGTATCAATGATAGTTCAGGTAAACACAAAAGTACTGTACTCGTGACAACCTCAGAAACGAAACGTTCACCAGCTGTGGCATCGACCGAATAGAGGTAGAATGTTGAGAAGTTGTAATAATTTGTTTTTGATCGATGTACATTTATATGAATTACTTTCCTTATTTTACTTTCATTTTTCCTATAATTTTCTTTCCATTTTAAACATATTGATGTTCTGATTTAGACCATTTTTTTAATAGACAAAATATTTTGATTGATTAATGTTTTAAAAAACAGTCGGTACTGGATGACTTCTTTTTGTATTCATATGAAGAAAAAGTATAGTAACAAAAATACTGAACTCCAAGGAAAATTAAAACGGAAAGTCCTTAATCAAATGGCAAAATCAAAAGCTCAAACACATTAAACAAATGTAAAACAACTGTCATATTTCTGACTTGGTACAGGCATTTCCTTATGTAGAAAATGGTGGATTAAACCTGGTTTTATAGCTACCTAAACCTCTCACTTGTATGACAGTCTCATAAAATTCCATTATATTGACAATAATGTGTGAACAAGACAAACGAACATACAATGTAATAGGTAAAATGGCAAAAATTGGGGTACAGCAGTCAACATTGTGTTATAATCTCAATCACTATATAAAAACAAACAACTATGTCAACAATGAAAAACAAAATGACATATAGACACTCAATGGACAAAGCACATAAGCAAAAATGAAAGACAAGAATACAAAAAATGACCATATCACAATTACAAAATGGCGGGATGTATAAATACCGAGCAACGTCAAAAGGATATTACCAAAAATGGAGTAAACAGTAAAGGTTAAACATATACAAAGAAAAATGAAGAGAACACTATAACATGTAATTAAGATGATAAACAATACAGTACTTATAAAAAAAAAAGTAAAATTACAAAAATACTGAGGAAAATTTTAAACGGAAAGTCCCTAAGTAAATGGCAAATTCAAAAGCTCAAACACATCAAACGAATGGATAACAACAGGCATTTTTTTATGTAGAAAATGGTGGATTAAACCTGATTTTATAGCTAGCTAAACCTCTCACTTGTATGACAGTTGCATAAAATTCCATTATATTGACAACGATGTATGAACAAAACAAATTGACATAATCGGTAAAAATGTCAAAAATAGGGGAACAGCAGTCAATATTGTGTTATTATCTTAATCACTACAAAAACAAGCAAATATATCAACGAAGACAAACAAAAAGGCATATAGACATAGCACATTATCAAAAACGAAAGACAAGAATACCAAAATTTACCATAGCACAACAACACAATGACGGGATGCTATACTTCAAGACCAGCATATATTATTTATGAAGTTCAAACGGAATTTTTATCAACAAGGTCTTGGTATCTTCCGATGAACTTTTTTTTATGAAAAGGACGAGACGTTCTTTGACATAACCCTGGTTTATCAAGTTTCTGCTCGGACACTGGTGACGTTCAATAAAGTCTGAGAAGCAGCTACAAGCTCTTGAATACCGAATGCGTCTAGAAATTTATATCCCATACGCAGGTGAAGTTGGTATGACGAATGTGACAAGGAGAAATATAAATGCAATATGGAAATCACTTTCTATAACAAAGCAATACATATACATGAATTGTTTTAATCTACAAGACATTTGTAAATTTAAAGTTTGTTTTTTTTTCGCTGTTGTACTTGTAGCATACATCATGCACATATGATGAAGTATAGTTCGTTGTAAGCGCTGAACCAAGTTTCAATCTGAAAGTAAAAGTATACGAATAAGAAGAACAATATCTACATACAAGTTCTTATACAATATAAATAAAATTAAAGTGTTCTTAAGCTCAACATATTTCATTGTGCTCGTCATTTCTTGCACGTAATAGATATTCCATTGAAAAAGAAGGAAAAGGGTTTTGTGTTTATAAGACAATCCAATGAAATACTACATAATAAGGTTATAGCGATCAAAATCAATGTATCGCTTTTATTAATCTTAATAAATGATGCCAGGGTTTCAACGATAAGATGAAGTTCGAAGGCCTTACATAACCAGTCCTCTCTTCCTAAATTGTGATATTCATCATCGTGTTCTTACTTAGAATGAGTTACCCGAAGATGTCACCAGTGCAAAAAAAAACTTAGGAATAAGAAACATGTACCTATCAAATACCAGGCGTGCAGTTATGTCCCCCTGGAAGGTGAGGTGAATGCTTGATATTTTATCTGCACTTTTTTTTGCAGTGTGAGTTATTGCTGTTTGTCTTTGCTTTTTTGGATTTACATGTGGTTGTCTGTTTTCATTGGATTGTGATTTTTGTCCGCTTTGTATTTCTTCCTTTTTTATTTTTTGTATTCATACGTGCTAAATTGTTTTAGAAGATAAACATGCAGTAGTGAAAATATATTATATAAATCAATGGAAAAGACTTTCTCTGAAAGTACAGTCACTATAGGCCTTTCAAAAATACTGTGTACAACGATTAAGAAAAGTCAATGAACGGATATAATATATCAAAATATAGTTTTACTTGACTATATGAATGACATCAAACATTAACATTTAGTCTGAATCTCACAATAAATATGATCCTCGTGAGATTTTTTTTTATGAACAACACTTAATCACTATGAACAACATGTAACACTATTGGAAAAATAATCAAAATAATGCAACCCAAAAAGAGACACATTTTGCACATCAAATACAACAGCCGAGGCCTTTATCTTGTTTTTTGTTGTTTCCTCAGTTAGTTTCTAATTAGTGAGTTAATTGTGACATTAAGGTCTATTAGAATTATTGTTGATAGAAACATATATTTTTTTTTTTTCAGATTTAAAATTTGTGAGACCTTAGGTTACATTCATGTTTAACGTTCAGAAACTCTGTATCATACGCTTTTTTATTTTTTGTCTGCTCACAACATGTTCCTGTCGTATTTATAATCCTGCATGCAATGATTGCATGGTTTATCTTAAAATGCGGTTTGGATATTATTGAATAGTTGAAAAATTGTATGGATAAGAGCAGGAACACATAAGATTAGGGAAAATAGGTTGTAGAAGTAAAGTTATTTTAATAAAGAATCTTAAAAATAAAACAAAAACGATCATAAAAAGAGGGGTCTTTACAGAAAAGGCATGTGATCTATCTGAAAAGAGCTATTATATGTTATCATTTGGCAAAACCTTTCGGAATTTTTGGTCCTCAATGCTCTTCTACTTGGTACATTACTCGGCTTTTTAAACTTTTCGAGCGTCACTGATTAATTTATAGATGAAACACGCGTCTGGCGTACAAAATTGTAAACCGGGTATCTATGATGAGTTTATTCGTCATTAATGATACCAGTATTAAACTTTAATTTAACTGGATTCAATTCAATTTGTTGTTTTTCTAAGTTTCAATTTTCTATTGATCAAGAAAATTTGATCAGGACTACGTACTTTGATAACCAAGAATACCCCGCAGCATACATTATGAATGTGACCGTTCACTTGTCTCTTTATATATTTTGATCATGAAGAAATGCAATCTTGTTAACAGTATTTGCTTCCTCTGTTAAATGTACATACTTTACTTTTATTCATTGCCGATTGTTGAAGTCCAGATGATCATTTGTTATCATTGTTGGTAATCATAACATATAAATAAAATGAAATGTTGTATAATTGCTACCGTTTTTTTGTTTTAGTTATTCAACAAGCAGAACGATGGTATTAAGAAATCGCGAATTATTTGATCAAATAAATCTCACCTTTCCTCCTAACAGCCATTTCAGTCTTATTGTCAACATTTTCTTGTACCATTCTCGAAAAATGGATTGAATATCTGAAATAAAGTAGAATTTCGTTATTAAATAAAAAAAAATGTTTCTGGTATTCGATCATATTATCTTAAAATTGATAAATGTTATTTTAGGACTTAAAACAAAATTGATATCATTATCTTTTTATTTGAAGTGTCCTGTTTGAATACAATATAATGTTATAAACAACATTTACAAATATTAATATAGGCAACAGTAGTTTGCCGATGCTCAAATCTTAGAAGACAAATCAAGGTTAACAAAAAACTGAGGGAATTGCATAAAAGGAGCATGTGGGTATCGACAGGATAGTTTTCTTTTGTTGTGCATACATCTGTCGCCATTTTAATCAAAAAATGTCACAATCGGGAATACGACACAATCGGTAAAATCGGTAAAATTACAAATTACACTTTCGCTTGTGAATTGAGAGATATATATATCGTATCAGTCAACCAATTCGTGATCTTAACAGGAAACTTTCGTAGTGTCAATTTCAGTTGTTCTTTTGGATCAATTTCTGTGTGAGGAGCATACCCCTTCCCAATGAAGCACATATTTCACGAACAAGCATGTCCGTAATGTATAAATTCAGATATGCCATACGATGGAGCAGAAGGTATGTTACTGCTGAGAAAGGGGAAAGTGACAATTGGTAAGTTGAAATCATCACGTTTGTCAGAGATTCTAGGGTATTAGTACTAGATACAAATGTATGTTCTTTAGAGTAGTATTTTAGTTCAGCATATATATCAGTTGTATGAGAATGTATTAATGGTATAATATGAGTAGAAGGTATTCTCTACTCAAGAATGCAGTATCGAAATAAGAAAAAGTAACATCACGTCGCATGTCATCCTCATACCTCTCTGTTAAAGAAAATGTAGCTGATAATTATTTTATATGTTTTTCTGCCAGTTTGGTTGATACCTCATTGGAGGAGATATTAGAAAATACAAAAAATAAAAATCTGTTCCTTTCGCCTTTGATTTTAACATAAAACAGGACGATGAAATACTCCAGTTTTTATGCTGCATACATTTCTTTCACAGAAATTTTTATAAAGAACAATGTATTGCCGGGTAGTCAAAATGTTCGACTTCACATCTTTCTTAAGCTCTAACCACCATTATTACTTAAGTAAACTTAAATTATCAACCACGTTTGTCAATCAGATGTGGATTCCTAAAAATTCCCTTAATCTTCAACCACAATCTTTACAATATCAATTTTGCAGTAATATCATAATTTTTTCTATAGAAAAAAGACTTGTTGATACAAATTCCTTGTTATAGGTAATGCAAATCTTAATTGTGATGAACAAAACTGATTCAAACATGATATCATCAAAATGCTGGACTTTTTGAACGACAAAATATTTGTTGAATTAAGTCGATCGATATTTCAGCAAACAGTCGGTATTCAATTGGAAATTAAGTACGAATCCCTTCTGGCTGACGTTTACTCATATGAAGCAGAACTCATACTGAATCTTCCAAAAGACAAAAAAGATGCAAGTTTCTAAAATTTCGTTTGAAGATATTTTGGTGGTGTCAATCAATTACCCACAACTCATTGCGTGCTTGCACTCATAAATTCCGGAGAACGTGAGAATGAGGAAACTACTAAAACTAGAACGTCTGCTGCATATTTTGACCTTTTGTTTGATATTACCACAAATGGACGACTTCAATTTAGAATTAATTAAAAACCTGACAATTGTCAACTTTCCAGTTGGCAGCAGTTACATGCACCCTCTGAATCATCGCATGGCATTTCCATATCTAACTTGATAAGTTACGCTCGTGCATGTTCAAATTATTTAACATACATTTAGTTTATAACGATTTTATTTGCTCATAGATACAAAAAGGATCGGACACAAGTTTAACCAACTTAGGTAGTCTTCTCCTTTACATAATATTACAATAACAATTATACAGAACATGCACAGTTCAGTATATATATATTAAAGGTAATAGTAAAATGAGGCATTTGCACAGTCAGAGAAGAAAAAGAAAGAAAGAAAAAAAAAAAAAAAAAGCCTAACGCAATTAACAAGGAAAAGGATAGAGAATTGAGAAAAAAAAAGAAAAGAAAAAATATAAATAAAAGAAAAAGAAGAAAAAATAGGAAATAATACAAATATAAAGAAAAAAAATAAATGAAATTCTGTGGACACGATGTTTTTTGTTCAGTCATATCTTATTTGATTATACTACAAGGAATCTTTTTGATTTTTTTATATATCTAAAGACTTTTTTAAAGATTTCAGTTTTCCTCGTATGTTAAAGTTTGGCTACCCTCAGTGAGCAACTGTAGATTTATTGTCACTTGTAGACGATGAATGTTGGTTAATAGATCGTTCCTTATATCGGCGTATTTATTGCAATTAAAGAAGAAATGAAATGAATCCTCACGCGGAGCGCCACAAGCACAATATGGACTTTGTATTATATTTGATTCAAATAGGTCGTTATTTAGAAATGAGGCTGAACATCGCAGCTGTGTTAAAATTACACTCAATTTCCGCGGACCATACATAAAATGCTTAGGTACAGTCTTTGCTTCGTATGTATTATTCAACAAATAGCGTTTGAACTTAGATAGGGTATCAAGTGTACGGATAGAATTATCAAGTTTGTTCCATTCTCTGATGGACGAGGGAATAAATGCAGAATTTGTTATGGAGAGTCGACAAAAGGGGACTATTAAGTCATTGCCATTACGCAGTGGATAAACAGTTGTACTTTGTATAGTTGGGGGAATTAAATCACATAAATATTGTGGAGCGAGACCATTGTACATATTATAAAATAATTGGAGTTTTCTTCTGTGCCTCCTACTGTGAAGGGGTTCCCAGCCAGTCTCTAAATATAAATATTCGGTTTTAGTAAATATTGGCAGTCCTGTTACAATCCTCGCAGCTTGCAGTTGAAGTTTTTCTAATTTGTTTGAATAGCAAATACCACAATTGTCCCACACTTCGCAAGCATACTCAAATATAGGACGAATATATACCAGATACATTTTTTCTAAGTTCTGTCTTTTCATCTTAAATTTTAATTTTCTTAAGACTCCTAAATGCTTTGTAATATTTTTGGAAATATTTTCTACGTGCTCATTCCACTTTGCGTCCTGGGAGAGAGTTACACCTAAGTGTTTATGACTTGATGTGTTAGATATTGATCTTCCATTGAAAGAAAAACTTAAATTACTTGGAATCTTAGTATTTGAGCAAATCATTATTTCCGTTTTATCTGGGTTAAAGAACATTAACCAATTTTTTTACCAATCATTGAGTTTGTTTAAATCATGATCAACTACTACCTCTAAGTCTGTAATGCTTGCGGTGGAATATCCCAGCGACGTATCATCAGCAAAAAGTCTAGTCAGTGAAATTAAATTTTCGCCAATATCATTTATATACAGCAAAAATAAAAGGGGACCGAGAACAGAGCCTTGGGGGACCCCCGCAGAAACAATGGACAATGACGAAGACGAATCTCTAATAACTACTTTTTGTTTTCTTTGAAAAAGATAATTTTTAGTCCATGCAAGTAAATTTCCCTTTATTCCATAAGAATTCATTTTATATATAAGTCCATTATGCCATACTTTATCAAATGCTTTGGAAAAATCACAGAAAACGAAGCAACTGAATTCTTTTTTTTCAAGAGAATTTAATACTGTGTTATAAAGTTCAATAAGTTGATGTACAGCTGAATGTTTAGGCAAAAATCCTGACTGATACATATAAATAAGTTTGTTCCTATGTAGATGGTTATAAATATGTTTGTAGACTACCCTCTCCATTACTTTTCCTACACAGCTAATTAGGAATATCGGTCGATAATTAGATGGTAGGGATGCATCTGCTTTCTTAAATATGGCAATTACATTGGCTATTTTCCATGAAGAAGGGTATTTACCTTGGGACAGGGATTTATTAAATATAATTTTAAGGGGTTTTGCAATTTTTGGGGGGGATATTTCAAGCATCCTGTGACTGATTTTGTCTGGCCCAGATGCTTTTTTAGGATCAAGAGTAAGAAGTATATCGACTATTTCACTCTCTGTTATTTGAATATCACTAATTATACTTTCCGTTGTATTCTCAAATGGGGGCATCTCAACATTTTGTTCCTCAAGTTTTGATATTGACGCGAAGTATTTTTCATTAGTTCACATTTGTCAGTATCGTCATATACAATATGGTCAAAATTTGGCTCATTATTAATATTTTGAATTGGTGGAATTGCGTTATTCCCCTTATTAGATTTTATTAACATCTTAATTATTTTCCAGTAATTTTTAGGACTGGAATTATCCAGTAAAAAATTATCCAAATTTTTTTCAAAATTCTCTCGGGCAGTTTTTTTCATATTATTTACCTTATTTCTTTGTTTTTTAAATCTTATTTTATCATTTTCTTTATTTTTTTTTTAGAACTGTTTTCCGTAACCTATCGCGAATTCTAATTTCCTTTCTTAATTGATTATTGAACCAAGGTTTGTCATTACATCTTATTGTTATTTGCTTTGTGGGTATACATTCCCTAGCTATTTCCAGAAATATTTTTGTAAATTCATCACACATATCATCGACGTCCTCAAAATTTCCTATCTTGTCACTCCAGTTAGTTTCGTCCAGATTGTTATTAAATTTAACCAAATCTATTTTGTCATATTGCCATATTTCTCTTTTGAATGTAGTTGATGTTCCCTTTGGGCAGTTAATGTATGCAATAGCTGCATCGTGGTCACTTATATCTTTTGAGATTTTTATAACATCAGAATAAGCGCATATAAGATTTTCACTCAATATAATAGGATCTAATAAAGTACTTGAATTTTCCGTCACTCTAGTAGGCTTATCAATAACATTTAGAAAACAAAAGGAATTCAATATATCAACGAGTATGTTATTGTTTTCACAAAATAAGTTAGAATTAAAGTCACCGACCAGCACGATATTTTCGTTTATCTGGGTGGCCAACTCGATTGCATATGTTAATCTGTGCCAATAATCTGGGTCAGTCCATTGTGCTCGATATGAGTTGCATAGTAAGAAAGACTTGCCTTTGGCATTTATTTCAACCCAAATAGTTTCGTCAATGGAATTTTCTAGTTCATGTTTTCGTACCATTCGAATCTCGTCTTTGGCATATATAAGTAGACCACCACCCGCATTTGTTCTATCTTTTCGCTGTATTATATTTAAAAAGCATTCTAGAAAAATAGTACAATCGTCAATCCGTTCGTCAAGATGTGTCTCGGTTAACAATAGAATATCAATATCTTCAGCAAAGTCATGGAGAAAGTCTATTTTGTTCCTTATGCTTCGAATGTTAAGATTACAAAGTGAGATTGTATTGTCTAAAGTATTATTTAGTGAACTGCACGAACTTGATCTTTCTGGACCCGGATTAGTTTCAATGTTACCTACCATAAGTATGAAATTCAATACGAAGAGAAGAAATACTGCATTTACATTTGGATTTAAGCTTTGTAGACAGAGCAGGGCAGCAAAGAGGAACGAGCAACGCAGGTTAGTTAATAGTATATCTGTATATGAAGAAGGAGGGTGATTTACAAATCTTCTTGATTTCCTCGTATGAGCATGAAACATTCCTATGGCCGCTCTATATGTCTCTAGGCTGTTACCCATTCGGTAACAAGACTATGACTAAACATCTTGAGCGACCAAAGTTATGTTTCATTTTCAGTGTAATAAACAAGCCATCGTGTCCACAGTCGTAAAAAAGAATAAAGTATGAACAAAACGTAAGTAGGTGAACTATGTAAACTTTAGAAAAAGTTGAAAGAAAATTTAATACCATTTGGTATGGAATCAGGTGTTTTTGATAAATGGGATATAATCATTTTAGTTAAGTTTTACTTACGATACAATAGTATGTGTATAACAGAAAAAAAGAGGTTATTTACAAAAGAAAATAGCTGGAGTTCAATCACATAAATTTACAAACTTACATATAAACATGCATACATTCATCCACATTGGATACATACTCACATTCAGACGTACAAACATACAAATACATAGATACATTAATCGTACTATTATATACAAATTTCAACACTCATATGGTATTGATGTAAGTCCAAAGCTCATTATGGAAATGGTTTTCGAAAGTTCGTGAAATAGGCTATTTAGATAGAACTTCCGAGTGTTACCTTATCATTTAATAGACATTAATTTTCGTTGTTTTAAATACTAGTACTAAAAATGTTGTATGATTATTCATGTATAACAATAGATACGATTATAACATGAATTTGAATAACATAATCTATTCCACATAAATAAATTAGGCAAGTTTGAAAAAAAAAAAACAACAAAGTCTAACAATTATACTCGTATACCTATTACTGCGACAGGTTCTCTTTCAGTGCAGGAACATTTTTGATTTGACTATGAATATGTATATATATATATACATGTACTGAAAGTATGTATTAGCGTCGTCGCTAAGGAGACAAGTTACATTTATATGAACAGTGCCTAGAGGCTTGAAAGCGTTGTCAAGCATTTTTGATTAAAACGTTTAAACATTTGAAGAAAGAAAGAAAAAAGAAAAAAAAGAAAGAAATTTTATTCTAGAATGTAGTCTTTTAAGAATTCATTCTTTATTATCAATTTATGCGATTACTCAGTGAAGCGTGAAATTAAATCATGTAGTAAAATTCACCTGTTTAAATATATATGGAAACTTTTATATTAATTTGAGCATTTGCCATCAAGGGTGTGTTTGAATATTGAGTTTGATAATTACGACCAACTAAGAATTTAAGTCGGCTTTTATTTTTGGTGGGTTTTTTTCATTTGTGACGTGTATTCAAAGAATTACATTTCGAATATATGCCCTTGATGGGGAGAAAAAAAAAAAACTAAAACAAAACAAAACAAATTAGGCACACAAAAACAGCCCATTGCATTTTAAATGGACGAAATAATGAATCAAACATCATGCGTTTGTCGTTATGTTTTACAGTATGTATTTTTGAGCGATCTAGATATAACTGAAGATGTGTATCTAAATCCCTATCTTAATAGATATGAAGTTTTCTATTAGTAACTTGTTTTAGAGTTTTAGTTACAGCTTCAAGTTGTATTTTGCTGTTAAGTAACACAGTTGTTTAATAAACAAACTATATTTGTTAAGTGTATCTGAATGGTGTCAATTTCACTTTGAAATATAAATTGCAATGAACAAATGCAGACATGAAATATAAAGGTACTGAACAAATACAGACAAAAACAAAACAAACATGACAACATAAGTAAAGGGGGGAAAAAACACAAACAAAGAGTTAACAGGACATATGATATTACTTTACGACGCTCGAGAGTTAATCGTGGACCTTGACACCCTGATTATTCTCGTCCTGTACATCTTTGTTATTACCAGTACTATCATCAGGGTCATTGCTTCTCAGCAAGTCACGAATATCATCGTGGTTAAGAATTAACTGTTTCATGGAAGCCTCAGTCTTTTTAACATAAATGCGGCCATCATTTGTCCAGTAAGCATGTATGGAATGGCGGTTTGAGATCAGCTAGCACTTTGACCAGGTTGGTTCTATGGGTTGTAAGATTTTCAGTGATGAAAATTTTGCTCGGATCACCCTTTAAACCTTTTTTTGCACTGAACACTTTTTCGCGATTTCTATAAGAAATGAAGCGCACGATGACTTACGGTGATTTACCGTTTCGGACTTTACCGATGACATGTGATCTGCTAATGTCTGATTTTTGGATTCCTAGATCAAGCTTTTTGTTACAAACATCTAATATAAGGTCGTCGGTATTAACCGGATGCATTACTTTACCATATCTGTCAACCGGGACCTGAATATTATGAAATCGAAGGCTGGTTCTACGGGAATACTGTTCTTGATTTTCAAGACGATTTTCAAGAAGACCGATTTTCTGGTATAGATCGCCAATCTCTGAGTTGTAATCATCTAGTCGGTGTAAATTTTCAACCACTATTTTGTTTAAAGATAGATGGATTGCGGCTTGTACTACTATCATTTGTCTTTGTTCTGCAATTTTTTCTTCTTGTTTTTTAATTGTTTCAGTCATAGGTGCAATGTGCTCTTCTACAGTGGATTTGACCAAAGCCTGAATTGTTTAGCTTAAGGAACGTTCTTTTGACTCACATAGTTTTTCTGTAATTACAGGTATAATTTGGTCCAGAACTTCAGGACTAGTTAAAGCTTCAATCACTTTGTCAGCAATAGTTTTTCTGAAACCTGGGGTTTTCTTGGATGTTATAGAACTCAAGTCCCCCACCGAGTTTCGTCGTCTGATCTGACGGGTAACTTGCCTAGCGGTCCCCGGCAAGTCCTCAGGACTGTCTGGATTACCCCTTTTTTTGGGACGACCAGGTCTAATTGGTGTGTCGATACCGGGTTCAGTATTAGTTCCTTCATTTGTATTTTGTTGGGAACTAGGCAGAAGTAAGTTAGTGAGTAGGTTGGCTTCGCTAGATTTTTCTGTGTTTACATCCATGGGCGCGGCCATATTGGTCAAATTTGTGAGCGTTTGACTATCGAAAAAAGTGGATGACGATATTAAGAACTGTTATTTTTTGGATATTATACGATAATGATTATGCTAAATATGTTATTTTCCTTTGTAAAGACAATAAAGCACTATTATTTCATCCTTCCATCAATAAATCCCATTTCTTGAGGGAGCTCGTCTACATGTACATATATGGCCTGCGCATGCCCATAAACTTTAACATAGGTCTTCTCCTTTACAAAAACTGCCCTGTGTTTCAACTCACTAGCGACATGTTTTTTGCGGTCTTACATTTTTAGATAACAGAATAGTCGTCTGATTAGTAATTTTTACCGAGTGTGAAATTTTGCACGAGTATAGATTCACATAAAAGATGGTGCATGTATAGCAGTAGAAGATTACCCCGTCGTCACCTGTGGTCTTCATCCGTTTGGCGTTCTTACTAAATTTATGTTTAATAAGCATATTTCGATAGTTTTCTTATTTGCAATCTTACCACATCGGTACATTTATTATTTGAGTTCAATATATCGATTCATGGTTCTAATTAAAATCAAATTATATCAATTATAATTTCAATCGGAAAATATCATTTAAATGGCAAAATATGAGCGATATAAAAGATTTCACATATTACTTTAAGGAAACCATAACCAACTAATATCATGTTGAATTGATTATTCTGAAATAGCTTCAAATTTATCTGTTAAATACAACGACATTAACACGCTATTGTGCAATGAGAAATATTTGTCTTATAATTAACAGGTTTAAAATATTTTAAATAGTTTACCAATAAAATTTGTTAATACCTGCCATAGCCTGTAATTGTTCTTTTCGTGTTTTCACGCTTACATTTTTTTTTTATCTCATAATTTTACTAAATAATAAAAAGAGTTACGTTATGCGGTCCATTTCAATAACGATGCGTTTTGTTTTCTTCTGATATGCTTTTTCGATCTTAACATTTATTCCGGAAGGATATATTTGCCACTGTGAATCTTTCTGGTATTCCCAAATAGCGCTGACTGTTAAAATAAAGGTCATACATATAAAAGCATTATATAAGCACGTTGTGCACATTATATGAGTAAAATCTCTTAAGTTCAATTATTTGCACCCTCCTTAGCAATTGGTTGTGTTGAATCATTACTAGAACCGTCTGTTATAATCGTTTGATTTTTTTCATTACACTACTTCGAAACTAATTTTATTTATAGACTATGCGATTCCCGACATGAAAAGTCCTTTTTTCAATGCAAATTAACAAGGTAGCGCCACACATTTTTACCATTGATATCCTTTCATTTGAAGACGCATAAAAATGATGTAGAACCTTTATCGTTCCTTCAATATTCTCGAAATAAATTTTGCTGGTATCTGATATATCTTCATCAGAAAGAATACCCTAGTTTTGACTTTATGAGATTAGAATGGGATTCATATATGGGAACCAGTAGGTAAACAAAATATATTATGAATATTTAGAATCAAAATTCTTGTCACACGTTGTTGACCATACACAAACAAATGATCAGTGCTTTTTTATATGTTTTTGTCGGAAAAAAAGCAATACACAACAAAGCTCGCATTTAACTTCAAATTCAAAACGGCCGGTCGATCGGAATACATGGATATTAGTAGTAAATGTAATGTAAATTGTTGGAAAAAAAATAAATATTTCATATGTCTTTCTTATAAGACGGGTTTTCTAATTAAAACCATATGTAATATGCTCATAGTAATATAAAACAACAGTATTTTAGTTGATGTATTTATTATACACATGTATATATTCTTATTCTTGATTACAGACAATTAGGCCGGATTTGTGCTAAACGTGTTTGTTTTCTGAAGAATTAAATTTTGCAAACCGTAATGTTTTCACTTTTAAAGGTAATTAATCATCTCAACAAGAAATTGTCTTACCTGCTACATCTGAATATATAGGAATAAGGTAATCATCTGGATCACATTCATTTGTTTTGATTGTATTTGAAGCATTTCGATGTTTGACACTTTCTCTTTTCCTTAACCATTGTCCGGCCTTGTGATCCTTATCTGTTTCCTCATCCTGTATTGTATTGCTGTTACTTGGCAAAGTATTACTGCAATAGTGGGAAGGAGTAATGATAAATATATCTGCAAACTGCTTATCAAATAGATAGATAGTAAGTATTGTATTCTACGAAAATACCCACATACATCAACATTTCAACTTCAAATCAAATAGAAATGAAAAGATTATATCGTTACATATGTGTTCTTGATGCTCATTGTAATTTCTGGAACATCCTATGTTATTGGAGAACGCTTTTAGATGGTATTGTTCTTTTGTTTGAGGAAACACATTCACCTTTCTTTTATTTTGGTCATTTACCGTTTTCTGATATTCAAATTAATACTTTTTTCTTAATTATCAAAATTTGTACAAAAGTAACCCTGTGAAACTGCATACATTTACTGGTAAATCAAACCATAAGTAAATGATTTGATGACTGAAACATCGAGATAAAAATATTTATAAGATGTTTGTGTTCGAATCTGATGTTAGTTCACGTACCTTCATATTATTCCTTGCTAAAATATCTTACACTATATACTTACCACAACTTTAGTTCAAATATTGCGTCATATCCCATTTTATATATGCCTATATTTTTTCTGTCCCATCTTACCTAAAAATCATTCTTTATTCATTACCATGATAACGAAGACTATGACTATTTTAATGCATTCTAAACGCGTCTACAACAAAACCTCTGGATCAATTAATTTGATTCAAAGTGATAAATTCCTCACATCAAACACGTTTAAATGAAATATAATGTAATGTCTTTGTGATTGAGATAGCAACTGCATGAACCGTGTAACAGCATAATACAGTTTTTACCACAATGGATGATTTAGCATGTTTGATACTTCCATCATGCACTGTCTCTTTATGTGAAGGGATGCATGTTGATGGTGCTTTCTTCTAGTAAACTGGTTAGAATCATCCTATATTCGGAGTTTCCATTTCAACGATTTAGTGTTGAACCGTATTATTGTTGTTCTTTTTTTAATTTGTGGATTATTACTTAATATCAAGGAGGGTGCCAATGTTGTATTTTGGAATATATTTTTTCTCTCTTAAAGCACGATGAACTGTGCGGTTTTTTTTTTACATTCATCACAACGTATTTATTAATGCGAGACAACATTTTCCCTCTTAGTTCTCTTTTCCAGCAAGATAATAAAAATTGTGTAAACTGTGCATTTATTATTATTTGTTGGGTACCAATTTATGTGGATTTTTGTGGATACAGGTGAGCCACGAATTAGAATGTTCAACCAAGTACACATTTTCTTTAGTCTGGTATGCAGATTTTTTAAAATAACGAAAGCAAATATCCTAAAAAAATGAACCCACAGAAGCTGCATTCATGGGTGCTGTCCTATATATATGTTTTTCTCTAAGTAGGTAATTCATGCATTGATGTGCTTGATAATTAGTATAAAGATAACTTATCTTTAACACCTTGTTATGCTTTAATGTAACGTTGCAACATTCAGAAAAGCTTCATTGAACTCGTATGTTGTTCTCTATTGTTTTGTAGTTTGTTGTTGTTTCGTTATGTTTTCTATCGTTATTCTAAAATTATGTGATTTACCTATACAGTTTTTTAATATATATTCTTTTATATGGTTGTTAGTCAATTGACCAGAATTGTAAGGAGGGAAGATTGATCTCTAAAAAAAGTCAAGTAAAATCCCGTCATATATCCATGTGTTTTTCCCAGTTTTTAAAACTTTATAATTTTGGTGCATTCGAAGCCCTTTTCTGGATGAGAAATGATAGAACCAAAAAAAATTAAAGCCAAGTCGGAACATAGTCAGTGGTTGTCAATCTTGATGTGTATGTCTTTTGTTTATGTTTTTTAACGATTTATGTTGTCATGTCTTTGATTGCTTCTGTATAATATATTAAATTTTAGAGGCCCTTGAAGTGTTTGACATATGACACGTATATTGGTGAAGACTGTATGATGTCCTCCAGATGTAGTTTGATTAAATTTAATTATTTTTTATAGTCAATAAAATCTTCTATATCTGTAATTAAAATACAAATAAAAACATAAAAATATTAAATGCAGTGTACATAGATTTTGTTTTAATTTGTAATTGACTCAGAAGGTTTTATTTTGCTGTACGTTAATGTAATAGAAAAAAGGATATGGGGTTTCCATCTATGACACAAAATCACAAAAAAACAAAGGAACAGCGCTGTTACTGCTGTTCTCCATCTCTAAGTCACAGTGAGGCCCTCAACACGGAGCAAAAGCTCTCACCTAACTTCCAGTTTAAGAGGACCCCTAGCATCGGTTTGTGTCGAATTGTTTGCAAACTTTTCGAAGGCTATACTTGTTAAAACACAACATCCTATGTGCATTATTTCAAGGTACAATATAATCATGTTTCTTTGATATATATTTTATCAGTTTTGGCATATTACTGTGTCTGTATATTGATAGTTTGATTGTCTTCATTTGTCACATTAATTGTAGTTAACATGATGTTTTGTTTTTCTTTGACGAATGTTGATAAAAGACAAATCTCACCACTGCTTTTCCTGCTTCTGGTTTACCCAATACTGTTCCTAACGTTCCTTTGCCTCCATCATGATCTCCATATTTCCAATCCTGGCCTTTGAGTTAGCATAATTATTAGTTGATATAAGAAAACTTTTTTTTATTTCAGATTACCATCTCCTTTTTTCTTCTACATGGCTAGTATCGCGAGTTATTAGTATATATTTGAAAAATAGATATATTAAGCCAAGTCATTTAGGAGACAAATTTTGAAATTTTGATGAATACAAAAGTACTCACGAATCTTAATTTTAATTAGACATCATTATTTTAATTACCTCTAACAACTCGACAACCAACTGCTATCAGCTCATCCACCAGCATTCTAACTTCATTGACTTTTATTATATGATCTATATCCGTCTGTTCATCATATGGATAAACACATTGTGTTCCATGGTCCCATTCTATTATCACCCATTCTATATTGAAAAGATTCTGCTTTGAAATATTTATCAAATAGTTCAAATAAAAAGTAAGAAAACAAAACTGTATTCTCTATAGATAAAAGCCGAATAATTTGAAGTCATATTTTTGATACGTTTTTTGAATAACAAATAACTAATTTCTGACCGGAAAAGTGTTTTCATTTCATTATACTAAAATAGTTAATACTTATTTTCGTGTTGCTTGAATAGCCTTAATAAAATAAGCACGACACCAACACTACGGAAAGCCGAATCATAATACATAAATACTATAATTTGGGCTTATATACCAAATAAAACCAAAAAGGTTACGTTTAGAATAGTTAAATCATTTCCTTCGTTCAAGTTAAACGGGAGATGTTGCAACTTTGGTTTTGGAAGTACAACCTTGGGTATAGCATTTTGTTTCAACCTGATATGCTGTATTATTACAAAGTTAGCTTTTTATATATATTTATCCATCAGTTGCAATGCTTAATGTGTAATACAGGGTACTGTTAAACTAAATACTGAGTAAATGGATACAGTTTAATTTATCAGTGATGAACAATTAAGATGCTCTTAACGCTTATCGACCACATTGTACTATGCAAATGTGTCAAAGACCACTTATGCATCTCATAGAGATTGTAAGGGATTATCCTTGCTCTTTTGAAAAATTCCATCAACTTAATTTTCAAAATTGACAACAATTATATTTTCCTCTCGTTATTGTGTGAATGCTTTGTTATACAGCTGTCCGGAAAAGCAAAGATAAATGCTTTAAATTGTGTCTTTTTCTTTTACGACATACGGTTTACATAGCTTGGGACGGAGGTTTGTGTTTATGTAAATGAAATAAACACGTAAAAGAGAGGCGAAAGATAAACAAGCACATTCAAACACATTAGTCGAGAAAACAAAACATACAATGCAATGGCAAAAAAATGAAAAACGATCAAACGAAAACATAACATGGAAAGACTGAGCTCTTTAAACCGCACCATAAGTTGTGCCTGTATAAAGCCAGATTATCAGGACCAAGTGTTGTTCGTTGTTCGTTCAAGGTTGTTGTTCGACTTTATTTTGGAGGAATCAGTTGTTAGTAGCGTGCCCTGTTGTGTTAGGGAGAAGTGAATTATTACATTTCTTCTGCAAAGTAAAGCTTTGAATCAACGATTATAACGTTTCTGAGGTATCCAATAGGATTCAGCAGCTACCTGTGTACAGACATCATTGCTGCTGTCATATGTGTAGACAATTCATCATACACAAATAAAGAGGATTCCCAAATCATCATTCTTGTAATCTTCTTATACGATAAAACGCTTTGTACGATAATAAAGAAAAAAAATATTCTGTAATATATCCTACATTAATTATAACAGATCAATTGCCTGTAAAAAAAGCATGTAAAAAAGATATCAGGCTTTACTTTTGTATGGCAGACGCGCGTTTGGACTACAAAAGACTTATCAGTGACACTCTAGTAAGATAAGTTAAAACTCCAAAAAAAGACCGAAGAGCGTTGACGACATAAAATATCGAAAGCTTTTGCCAAATACAATGTGATTCACCACATGATTCTTTAGAACATACGTGGCATTTTGCCACCATTTATGCGCTGCGATTAACACGAAATGATTAATGATTATAAAAAATTTCCAAATCTTCATTCTTCAAAAATGATAAAGAAGTTATCAAGTTGAAATTTGAATTACTAGAATCGTTAATTGCCTTGAAAAACAATGTGTACCACCTGATCGATCAATCCCTATATTTTAACAAACTATGATACATTATTTCCGATAAATTATAAAATGTGAATAGACAATGGATGACTGCCGCCAATTCAAATGAGCTTAAAATATTTTTGACAGTTTTTCGCCTTTTTATTTACATAACGTGTGTGTATCCTATAATCAACATGAAATAGTGTGTACCGTCTCGATCCTGCCCAACAACTGTTCCTGCAAAACCTAAATCGTTATCGCCGTAAGCCCAATTCGGTCCTCGTCTTACTCTATCTCCAAGTTTGAGCGTGTTTAACTTTAATTCTACATATAGACCTCGATCATTATGAAACTTTAAAGGGTTGCTGTATTCTATTACCATATCTAAACAGTCATCCTAAAAAAATAATACATTTTTGATTTTAATCTTTCGGCAGTATTTTTTAAGTATTATAAGTCATTATTTAAGTTTTACTCGTAGAATAAAATGTTCATGGTTTGTTAATTTAAGTCTCAAACAAAAACGTGAAAATTATTAACTTATAATTTTAAAGTAGCCCAATTTTGGATGTTCTTTTCTTACAAAGAAAGGAAATCATGTCAAGTGTCTTTTTAAATATATTTGTTCGTATATTTAGCTGTTCCAATTAAATTTACCCTGTTTTTTATACACAAGTTTTGATTTGTATCTCTGAATTCTACATTATCGCTGATGATTCTTATAGAAGGTATTAACACCATAGTTTTGAATGAATGCTTGTTTTATCTGACTTTCATAAGTCTATTTTAAGATAACTTTTTTTTCAATGTATATATTGCTATTCTTCTACTTCTGTTTCTTAGTAAAAGTTCCTTTCGTGGATTTAAAGTTACTTCCTTATTTCTTGTGTACAAATTCGTTTAAATAACACGGCTTTCTTTACATAATATAATAATTAACATTTTCATTAGAAAATTAATCAAATCCCGTTCCCTACATCTCCCAAAAAAAAAAAACCAACAAAACACACAAAAATAAATATGATTTGCAATTGAATAGACATCCTAAATACTGCCTACATAATAAGAAATTCTAACATTTTTACTCTTAAAAAAACTTGAATCGCTTTTCACGTTTTTCACAAACTGAATGCTTTCAGGGCAGGAGTTAGCTGACGTCATTTGACTGGAATGGCTCAACTTGGTTCAATGGACAGAATGTAATTGGCCGTTTAAAAATCTAAAGGATTGTGTATTCATTCATTGTTCGTTCCCTAAAATGAAAATTACGTCATGTCATTGGTTGAATTCCCATTGTTTATGACGTTTTAAGCCAATCACAACGTTTGGTGTACGCTTGAGAAAATAATACCCAGAACTCATTAGATTCTGAAACGGCGAATTTGGATAGAGTCATGAGGTATTCAGACAAGAATAAAAGGCAACGTTAAACCCCCGACAGCTGTCGTCATGAATCAGTATTAAAAACTGCTACTACCATGTGCTTTTCAGTGTTTTTTTCAATGTAATTTAAGTTACTTCCATCTTTCTTATGTGATGATTGGTCTTCTTCACTCCTTTCGACAAATCACATTTAAGTTGGCTTTTAAAAATAATAAATATGTTGGTCATGCGAGATCCCCATGAAATAAAGATCGTTTAGTATGCCTATGCATTTATGTTTACGAATTATGTTATAAAAATAAAAATTTACCAGGAGTTAATTTATAATTTTCAGAAAGGTAGTCTTCGCAGTTCCTTTTAAAATAGTGGCATCCGTCATGTTACTTATTTCAAGTAAAATTTGGGTGATAAATCACATCCAGTTATGTCAAATCAATCAAATCCGGAAAAATTGTGACAATGGAAACTAGAGTATATAACAAAGAAATTGTAATAGCGTCCTTAAAACGTTCGAAAGGAATGACTTTAACTTCACTATGACATCTACGTCATTTGGTCTCTTCTTATTGATTTGAAATCATGTCATATCTTCTTATTTTCAAATTAATTGTAATCGAAATTACCCTAACTGAACTAGAAAGAAGAGAAAAAAAATTAAGACCTCCGGAAATATTATTGGGTTTTCAATCTGTTTTGACTTTGCAATATGTTTCCTCTTCTCTCTACTTGTCTGGTTATATTGTTCGATTTTTTATTTCAATAATGCCTTGGTATCTTCTCCCTACCCTCCAAAGTAATAAACGTGACCCTCCTTACAATTTGTTTTTCAGCAATGATGATATTTTCTTGATAAAAAACATTTCTCCTCTAGGAATCCACATTCAGGTAGATTGTAGTCCGATTATTATGATTATGCTGAAGGAAGTTTTGTTTAATCTTTTGAAAATTATTTTCCAATAAAAAATTAGTTTCGATAAATGCGTGTAGTCTTTCATTAAGAAAATAAAAAGCTATTAACATGATTAAAGTATCGACTTGTGCGCAATGGGTTTTTATGTATGTAATGTGTCTAAGTGAACAAGTGAAGTCCTATATGAAAAAATATTTAAGGATGTACTTAGGTGAAATTAAAAAAATCTAGAGTTTGAAATTGATATTATAAGTCAGAAGAACATTAGTTAAGAAACAAAATAAGCTAAAAATATTGATTGGTTATGGAACTCCTTTTTTAGATATTTGAATATTTTAAAATGGCGGGAAAATGCTGACTCGGACTTTTATCTTATATTAAGCATTGAAATTATTTGGGTCTTAAATTGTAAGAAAAGAAATCTAGAATCTGCTTAAATTTTGGTAAATGACCTTTTATGAGCTATTAAAGTCTTATATGAAAAGAAAAGTGGGTGTTATGGGGCAAAATATTTTACCCTATATCGTAGGAAAAAAACCCAAATAGTCCGAACATTTGACAATACTTCCTAAATCTGACTTAAGTACATCCTTAAATGATAGACATTTTTTATGACAAATTGTTCAAGAGGTTTTGCGAGGTAATCTAATCCATTTAGTAATATGCCTTCTTCATAATTTTTCACTCGAAGATTATTGTCAAATAGTACTTTCCTTGACATATCGTTTACAAACTAAATGCAAAAGACTTACATGAATATCATCTATATATTCTGATATTTTCATCCGGATGACTTCTCTGGTTTGATTTTCTGAATAGCGTATATCAGATGCTATGCGTATCGCCAGTAGCTGTGATGTAAATATATAAATATTGCACATTTGACGAAATCATCGATATCGATATCCTAATATTAAATATATATATATGTGTGTGTGTGTGTGTGTGTCTATTGTAATCATACATTTTTCTACTGAATAGAGTACAGACAATTGTTAAATGGAGAAATTCAGCTAGTCTTTACAATTAGCCTATTATGCCAGTCGTTTTTAACATTATGATAATAACCTTTGCACACGATTTTGCGTTTCCTGAGCTACATATGATATCAGATGTGTAATGATTGACATTGTCTGGGAGAACATGGTTTATTTATAAGTTAGAATTTGGCTCTGATCAAGTTTTCAGTAACTGCGACTACTCCTGGAACGGTACTTTGTGTTTTTGTGTTTTTATGTACCCGCTGTAGGCGACAGGGGCATTAAGTGCTACCCTGGATCGTCCGTCCTTTTGTCTTTTCGTCTTTCTGTCTTTCTGTCCGTCCGTCCCATTTTCGTTGCAAAGCTTGAGCGGGGGCATTCGTATCCTCATACACATTTTTCTTTTATTGTTATTTGTTTTCGATCAAATGAGTCAAGCCTTTTCAAGCTGATTTTTAAAGTTTCTTCTTATAAAATTATTTTGTTATCACAACAATTCCCAGTTAGGAGGTTTGAGCGCTAACAAACGTGTTAATCTTGCCATATTCTTAATGGGATTTTACCAAGCAAAGAACCTGTAACTCATAGGTTGTTGTTGGTTGCTTTTTTCAATATTTGTTTTTCGTTGATTGCTGTACTATACATAATATATGTGATATTCTCATTTGAACTGTTTCACATTTTGTCATGCTTCAGTAAATTTTGTTTATATAGGAAAGGTATAATTATCCTGCTAATTGCTGCCCTCAGAGTATATGACCTGCTTGAATAATTATGCTACAATATGCAAAAATCGGAAAAGAACAATAATAAATGACAAATTGTCAAAATGCAGTAAAACGCTAGATTTTCTCACTAAGAATGAACACTTTCACAGCAGGGACCAAATGAAAAGAATACAAACGCGATGTCATTATGATACAAACGGTCAAGTGCTACGTATTTAAGATAAATCTATGGCCTACGGTAAATGCACACTATATCTTTTCAAATGAAGCACTTCTCAACTGTATTTTGTAATATTACACGATTATTAAAACAGAATAAAATGATTGGCGATTTTTTTACTTCTGCATAGTCGTTGCAATTCGTCATTTATTGCAACACTCTATCGATAAATTTGATAACGATTTGAATAACCGTCTTTAAAACTGTATAAGCTGACCCGATGAACTCCAACATAACAAAATATTAAGTATCCATACCATAACTCTGGACATTCTGATCAAGCGATTCATTTCATTTACTTGAATAATTTTCCCATTTGTTTTTCTTACAGCTTGTTCTAAAATCTGAAAATGCAAAATAATATAATTTTTTAACTTTTAACGCAGTCTTTTTAATATCATGAACAAATATCACGTTCTTGCTGCAGCTGAGATAACCGAAATAATACAATGTATCTTTGAGCGTTTTCGCTAGAACACTCTATTACGTAGTTATAAATCTTGATATATTTATTTTCTTCTATCAGTTAGCTTTTTCCCAATTAATAATTATTATTCTTTTATAAGTGAACTATGTAGGGTTCCCTCACTCATGCTCGTTTGGAGTCGCAAAATTTTGGAAGAAGTAACAAAAACTTTACAAACAACATTAAAAATCTTCTTATGCAAAGCTAACGAACTGATTTTATCTACCAATAGATGAATTCGTAAATGCATGCAAGCACTTGCAATCATATTCAGAGTCTTAATGTCCACAAAGAAAAAATAGATATAGTGTGAGCCTAGGCTCCGTGTTGAAGACCGTACTGTGACCTATAATGGTTTACTTTTATAAATTTTGACTTGGATGGAGAGTTGTCTCATTGGCACTCATACCACATCTTCTTATATCTATATATAGGCAGTTATTCTATACTTGAAATAATAATTGTCAAATTAATAAATTAATGTATTTGAATAAATTTTAAAAAAAAGGCATTATATTTTACAAATCAATAACCTTCAAAGAAAATACATGTAAATTGATGTATTGACCAACAGCATAATACTTCAAGTGAGTGATAACATGTGGAAACAACTTCTAGAAAATGATGATAAATTGAATACTAGACTTTATATTTACTTTATCAACAAAGATATCGAATAGTTCTTACATTGTTGCACTGATTTCTGCCAATGGGGACATAGTATATCTTTGTCGAGGAAGTAGTTATCTCGTCAATAACGCCATTCACATCGGATGGTACCTTAAAAGTAAAAAGTTAAGTTATAAAGCCGAAATTTAACCGTCAACGAAAAAAATAATTTGATAATTTAATCAAGAAAATATTCACTTATAAAAGATGCGTCTTCTTTCTTATGACTATAAATTATGTTAATTTATTAAGTTAATAAACAGATAAAATCATACTTTACTGATTTATGAATTTAAAGCAGTTTGCAAATTGTTAGAACAGGTTCATTATGATGTTATACAAAATCGAAATTAAATAATACATATGACAGTAAAAGTTCAGCAAAACTAAAATGAAATCTTTACTGAAAAATATAAATGATTCGTAAATACGTACTCTAAGACTTCTTAAATCAAAAATAGAATTTTGTTTATCTTCTGTTAAAAGTTTACACTGTTCTGACGACCCATCAGTAAAAACAATCATATGTGCCTGTATCGCAACATCTCTGCTACTTCCAGGTATACCTATGAGTGAAAGTAAATATGTCTGTTGATAATTATAGATTATCGTTGGTTATCTCAACGAGATTGATTTTCTTACTTGAGCCGGTACGGCGAAAGTGAGAAAAGCCATCGAGTTGAGATGACCAATGCTAATCTGTTTATCGCTATTTTACCCATGAAGACGTTGTTAATTTGCTTGACAACGGTACGTGTTCCCTTAGTTTCTAGCGATAATTTTCATATCACTCGACTCCGTTTTCATATCACTCGACTTCGATGAGAAAGGAAATTATCAGTCAGCAAGATCAAAGGAAACATAAGCAAAATAGCGATAAAATCAAATATACATTGATACTTGTCCATTTTAACAAACATATATAACCCCAATTGTCTGTTGAATCTATATCAAGAAGGCCGTACGATTGTCTATAATTACTTACGTCCACTTCATTTGAACTTTAGTGGATAGTTGTCTCATTGGCAATCAAAAATGAGGCGGAAAATACCAAAGGAACAACAACACTCATAAGTCAAAGAGATACAGACAAAAAGAACAGGGAAAAACGACGAATGAATGAACAACAGGCTACAATACACTAGATAGGAAACGATAAATTGGGCAACATTAAATACACCCAAATGATAGGTGATTGCTGGAGCTCAATAATGGTAAGCAGATCCTAAACATTGGTGATATAATCTTCATCTTATAATTGTTCACCCTCCTGAGGATTTATTATTTGGATCGAGCGAACTTTCTGCTGCGGGAACTGTTCATTATGTATTAAAGAGACAACCGTTTTCAGTGCGTTAAGGAAGTATTGTAGTATTGCTCATACGTAAAATTATGTGTATAGACATTGTTTATATGTATACAGCCGTATACAGAAACTTTTTTTCTAGCCACAGCCAAAAACCTGTTATTTATCCAAACTCGTAAGAGAACAAAAATATCTAATAAAATATGCACTAGTAAACCCATTTAATTCTGAACCGATCACAACATAGCTCAAAAAAGACTCAGAATTTATTATCATTTTCCAGCTTTCAGTCAATGTCAGACTTATTTACTGTTGTAAATTCAGTACTGATTAGACAATGTGCTCGCAGGCAATTAAGATATTTTCAGTCTATAAGCAGCAGTTGTTGTTTACCTGTTTACATCAACATCATACTACAATGTTTTAAAACTACTGAAAAGAACTGTGTTCTTTGTTTTGTACATAAACCAGGCTGTTAGTTTTCTCGTTTGAATTGTTTTAAATTCATCATTTCGCGGCCTTTTTTAGCTGACTATGCGATATGGGTTTTTCTTATTGTTGAAGCCGTACGGTAACCTATAGTTTACTTCTATGTCATTTGGTCTCTGGTGGAGAGTTGTCTCATTGGCAATCATACCACATGTTCTTATTTTTATATTATATCCAGAGACTAACTTCTAGTGTTAATTGATAAGAATTAACTTGAAATTGATACTTACATGAGGAAACACCAGCATAACCCATTAAAAGTCCTGCTAAGACAGGTGCATCTCCATCTGGCCTTAATTGGTCTTTGAAATGAATACAATTAACAAGAAAATTATATTATTCTTATGCAATAACATAATCGGTACAAATTTTACTTAACAAGATGCGAGTTTCGATTATGAATAACTCTCCAGTGATACACACAGTGAAGAGCTAATATTAAAGAGATTCATGTATACTTAAGCTTCCTGTTTACTTTTAAGCAACAAAAATAAAAGAGTGTGAAGTGTATACGTATTATAAATTTTAAAAGTAAAGCTACCATGATCATTAACAAACAAAACAATAATAGACAAAACATTAAGGGAGGTGCATTTCTTCAACCTCAAAGGCCATCGTAATTGTTTGTTCAAATAGTTTATTTTGTTATATAAAACGCCATTTTTAATTTTAAATATAATTCCTTAAACATGTTAAAGTTTACAAGTTTTGCTTGAGAACTATAATTGGTTATACCATTAGCTATTTTTGCATTTTATTCCTAAAACCACTTTACAACATATATTTTATTACGTTTCAGCCAAAAATAAATACAAAACAATTGGTAATGATTAATAAAACAGAATGATATATATATATATATATATATATTTAAATGATTTTACCGATCAATTCCATAACTAATTTATAATCAACTGTTGCTTCTTGTATCAGTCGTGTTTGTTTTCCAAAGACTGCTAAACCAATGCCATTTTCCATCCCTGAAAGCTGTTTAATTCCTGTAAAGAACGTGTATTTGTAATGTAAATACTGTGAACAATTTCATTTTTATCCAGTTGATTATAAGTTGTTTACAAAACATTTCGTTAGACATGTCTTCATAGTTGACGACAAAATGACTTATTCCATGAGAAGAGTAAGATATTAAATACTGGTGAAGCAGAAAACTACTTACCCTTCAAGGGCATCTTTGTTTACTCCAGTTTGGTGAAGAATTTAAGGTATTTGATTTTTGATAATCGGATAGATCAGATATAGATTACATACATAATCATGATCAACATTACACATACCTCAAATACTAATACATAATAGATTAGCATTTAGTCGGCTTTATTTTAATTGTTATTGTATGGTACATGCGACTTAGGCGACAGTAGTTTACAGATTGCAAATCTTGTACATCGATTGATAAAAATCATATCAAGATACCAGACAAAAACTGAGAGGACCAAAGGGAGTGAGACTTAGGTGATCGAAAAAGTTAAAAAGAGGCGAATTATACCAAATGGGTATTCAAGCTTATATGTCGGTAAACGAACTGATAGTTCAATGGCAAAAACAAACACGACCAAAAGACGAACAACATAAAATTGAGAATGGAAACGGCGAATGCGTCAAAGAGACAACACCCTGACCAAAGAGCAGGAAACAACCGAAGGCCACCAATGGGTCTTCAACACATCGAGAAAATTCCGCACCCGGAGGCGGGCTTCAGCGGACCCCTAACCAATAATGTATAGAAGTTCAGTGAAAATGGACATCACACTAAACTCCAAAACATATAAATGAACAAAAAAATAAACAAACATACAAGACTAACAAAGGCCAGAGGTTCCTGACTTAAGACAGGCGCAAAAATGCGGCGGGGTTAAACATGTTTTGTGAGATCTCAACCCTCCTCCTATACCTCTAGCCAATGTGGAATAAACATACACACAGCAATACGCACAGTAAAATTCAATTTAACAAAAGTCCGAGTCCGATGTTCACAGTATACAAAACACAACATAGAAAACTAAGGACTGAACAACTCGAACCCACCAAAAGCAGGGGTGACCTAAAGTGCTCCGGAACGGTACGCAAATCCTCCTCGGCAATTGGGACCGATCATGTTGCTCACGTAAATACAAACGCAATTATAAGTCTAATTCAGTAGTATACAATCGAGAAGAAGAGGACAGGATTAAGGTTACGACAATTCATTTTCGAATGACTGATATGAAAGGACATGCAATCTTATTTCAACCAATACTGTGTGCTAATGATTTGGGTTAACTGATATGATTATTTCTGAGCATTTTTTATTTTAACTCACCATAAACATACTGCAAAGCCGCTGATTTCATTGATTGGAAATACTCTGTCATTCGTTCAGATATATCTAATACTAAAATAACATCATGCCCTCTTCCCTGTCTGACTACTCCTGACCTTACTCTAGCTGAAGCTAAAACATTGTAATGGATTTCTAATATTAACATAGGCTCAAAACTTTTCTTATGAAGGTGAACCCAGAAAGGACAATGGAACATATCAACTACAATACACTATATTTTGATACATTTTCACTAGGTCAATGACACACCTAGCGAAATATACGTTCCGAGAGCAAAATTTTGCATGATAGCGACCATAAACACCCATATATCATATCAATGTAATATTGTCTTTCAGATATAAGAAAAAATTGTCCGGATTTGGCTTTACTGTAAGTCCTTTAGGTGTTTTATCAGATCTTCGGAGTTTGTATTTGATTTTGGATTTTTAAAATGTCGGCTTTGATCACCACTTTAGAGACATGAATTTTCAAAATGCGTATCAGTCGTAGTAAAAACAATTTTATTTTCTTGATAGTTATATTCAAAGAGATATATAGAATATTTTGAGATTTGTTATCATAAAGTCAGTTGAAATTGTTTTTCTGTTTTTCTGTTTTCAGTTAATTTTCAGTTCGTTCTGTTAACCTTCTCACATATATTTAAAAAATAGGAGTTGAGATCCAAAGCTATTTTAATGTTCCTTTTTTAAGTCAGAAACTTCGTCAGTTGTAGTAGTATGTTTCGTTTAGAAGTGCTTGCTTATTGGAGATCTGTCATTGTTTATGCTAAATATATTCACAACTTTTATTGACTCGGGACGATTTGGAGTATGACATTTTAAATAGACATCTGTTGATGACTGCTTGTTGTCCTCTAGATGTGTTTTGGTAATGTGTGTCTTTCATTGACGTTTTCCTCGCATCTCCTTTCATTTATACATTTACGATATCAACAAGTGGAATGAAATTATTTGATATTAATCAAATCATTTATTTTCAAAATACAACACCAAAAAACAAACATTTCCATTTGCCCAATAAATGTGAATTTATTTAAATTAGGACAAAAGTGAAGGCATGACCAATCATTTCCAAATATTGCAAAACTTCAGCTAGTTATTTGAGAAAATGACAAATACAAAATGGCGATTCAGAATTCATAGAAAACAGTGCCTTGAAAGAATGTTTATGTTTGTATTGATGATAAATATTGAATCAGTAAACTACGCATCAACATCATTGGAGACCCAGTTTTCATTCATATTCATGTTTCAAAAATTTTGCGATAAGAATGTCTTTTAAAAAAGGAAGAATTGCATGAAAATTAACCTAAAGCTGCTTGTTAAAAAAAACACACTGGTGAAAAAAAAAAGAATAAAGATTCAGGAATTCACAATGTCTTGGATAGAAATATGGTCAAAGATCAGAAAACAAGATTTTTCTTTTTTTCTTCTTCAAGTTGAATAAGAGTAAAAAAAATTCATTTTGGTATAAGAAGTAAAGGTCTACATAATTAAACAAAAAGCCATTGTTAGATCATTCTTCAAAACTCGCACATTATCAAATTATTGTCTCACTGTCAAATGCATTGTATTAAGGATTCTAACAAATCCTGTCGTTAGTTTTAAAGATATCGACATATGATTTTTCTAACTTAACGTCGGTAGCGCCTGTTTAAAGCCATCTTGGCATTAATCTTGCTCTTGATGTGTGTTAATGCTGTGAATGTTACTCATTACTCTTTTTTTACATTTTGTCCTTATTCAATTAGCAGAAGTGTATGCTTTCAAATTGGTTAATTGGTATGTATAAGCTTGTTAGGTTTTAAGTGTCAGTCTTTGTAAGAATCAGGCAATTTAACAGAATTTCAAAACATGGCCGAAAAAAATTCGCCGACCTTACATCCCATTTTGAAGTTACCCTAATCCTGAGTTAGAAATGGTAGGTCTTTCTTTTTTGTGTGTCTGGTAAAACAAGAAATCTCTAGATAACTTTTGGTTAGAATAATAGGAAATGATGGGATAATTTTCCATTAATTGTTAATTTCTAGTGCATTTCAACCAAATTATATCTTGAGATACCAGAACAGGAGAAGGAAAACGAATATTATATTCGTGTACCATTATACATTTTGAACTTAAATTGGTATAAACTTGAGCGAGTTTTTGTTTGTCCTTTTTTCGTCATTGTTTGATTCTTAGGCAGACTGGCACTTAAATAACATTATATTGAACACAACATGACCTTTATTACTTAGCATCAGGTTTATGTTTACACAAGTTACCATTTCACCTAAGTTCAAACCAGACAATATGCAAAAGACAGCGAAGGCGAAATTGGAATAAGCTCCTTTTACGAGTTAGTTTATTTGATGTCAAAACACTTACCATATGCTTTTATTTGTCTGAAATAATGATACCACCCACTTAGAGTTTTTGGTTGATCACCTTTAAATAGTCCTATAAATATATTAAATGATTACATTTATTTAGTTTAAGAAAAAACAACATCTAAAACTTTAACAATTATCAGTCATATAGATCATATAATTTCCATAAAAAATATGCATTAGAAATATAATTTTATTAAATAAATCAGCATTTATCAAAGGCAACATTAATGTCAAACGAATACTTATGTGAGTACAAGCGAACACTTATGTGAGCACAAGCGAATTAACATACCTATTCTTCATTACATGAATTAGTTTTTTGTCAAATAAGTAATCACTATTATACATACGTTCACCATCAATGTCTTCATCATCCGCTCTTCTTCTTGATCGCCAGAACGAACTATATCTAAATGTAATTTTATATGTTCATTGTTGAAGAGTAATAATTTAAAAAGCTACTAGTTCATATCCTATTCTCGAGCAATATAGAACAATGTAAAAAGTTTTCTTAACCTTCACTAAGCAGCATCTTTAGCGCTTTCCCGATTTGCACTTAGAAATTAATAAAGAAGGCGGCTATAAAAAGCCCCGATATGGAAAATGGGAAACAATTCAAACGAAAAACATAACGGCCTAATTCATAACAAAACAATTTACGAAAAAACAAATATGACAGACATGAACCAACGACAACTATTGAACTACAGGCTCCTGACTTGGAACAGGTACATCAAGAAAGTGGCGGCGCTAAAAATATTTGTGAGCGCTCAATCTTCCCCTCAACCAGAGACAGCGGTGTAACAAATATCACAACACAAGAACAATCTGTCAGCCAATTTGTTTTAATTTTTGGTTGTTTTTAAGGAGAGGGTTGGGGTTGAATTTTTTGTTTTTTCCTTTGTAAAGTGAAAGGTGCAATTAAATGGTATATTATGATGCTGGTTTCATTGCTTGTTAAGTAAATAGTCTACAAAAAGCCAGAGCACCTTATAAATACTACCTAGTTAAAATCTTTCGAGATTTATTTTGGGAATATATTCATTTAACCTCGATGCTTTTCAACATAACCATTTGCTCATGCACATGACATAATGAGCAAAATATATTTTTCCGTAACATTTTGAGGCTATTCCGGGAAAAAAATGTGGATCTTGCTACTAGTCACGTCTTACTTGAACACTTCACAAACTTCATAACATAGCCCAGTCAGGCCCAAGTACAAGACAACTTGGGGTTTATAAAAATACAAATAAGAAAGTCTATGAAGACAAGTCGGACAGTTTAGCAATGAGAAACAGACAAAGACTTGATCATTATCAGATCAATATAAAATAAAATACTGGAGACAACTTGGACCGTTCTTTGGACACAACTTGGGCAGTTCGACCTTCATACATGAAAAAAGCAAAGACATGATAAACTGTGAACCAATTCAAAAACCAGATTTTTCATTTATGCTAAAACATAAAACCAAAATCGAATATTGTATGCAGCAAATAATAATTTACCAATGTTTGACTTACGGTACTGGACAGGTACGTACAAAATGTGGCGATTTTAATTATTTTTTTGAATGCATAAACTTCCTCCAACCAGGGATAGTGGTATACGTAGAACAGCTATATTTACTGTAAAAATCAGTTGCAAAGGGTTTAACTCATGTGATTACCACAAAACACAAAAGCAATTAACAAAAATACAAAAGAAACAAATTACCGATCTAAGAAACCAGCAGGTACGAAACACTCTAGTTGAAAGATCACTACAACTACCAAATGTTACAAGACTAAAATATTAATCAGTACACATCCAACGGTATTATTGTAACGAAGTCATAAACAGAATAAGAAAAGCATGACCATGTGCAATGCCAAATATAATCATCGACATGATATATGCCAAACATTGTATATAACTGTATAGTAATTATTATACATCCTTAGATATGTGTCAATATCATTGTTTGTAAGTATAACTCTTGCTTATCATATAACATAGAATCAGATATTCTTTTTATCTGAAACTAAGGGAATCAAATTGTAACAATGTTGACGTTTTTTCACATCTTTTAATGCAGCTTGAGTGTCCTGACCTTTTGTGAGATATACTGGTTTTTACTCTCACACATTTCACATTTTGTCTTTCAAATTTTCGGTCTCGAGCGTACCTGATAAAGGTTATGCTAAAATCATTATTGTAGCAGAAAGCTGATTATATATATATATAAAACTTAAGACGGAAAAATTCAACAAAAAAAAGTATATTGCAATGATTAATTTAAAGATAGTTTGTACTGGTACTTACGATGTTGCAGACGTCATCATAGGTTTTACGTCAACTTTATTGTGTGATGTCGGTTTTATATTTGGTACAATCGATTCTTCTATTTGAACGTCTATATTGCAAAAGCTTTTATCTATATCCCCTTTAAAACTTTCCTGATTATTATGAAAGCTAACGCGGTTGTCGTTTTGTGTATTCGGGGTCTTACACTTATAGCCAGATTCATTTTTATGAATCCTGCTTTTTGAATTTGATATGTTACAATTTTCAATCTCAGGCAAATCCTTATAACCAACGTCCTTGTTTAATGTACATAATGGGTTGTCTTGTCCGTTTTCATTTTCTTTTACAACATTTTCTTCACCACTGCTCTTTAAAAGTGAAGATTGTTGAGCTTTAACGTTATAACTATCCCCTTTCAATTTATTAATGTTTCTTGTATCGCTTTGTGCTTTGATAGGTTCGTTATGGATGACATTGGATTCATTCTTTATTGCATTATGTGTCAGTAGTTGTACTGTCCTACCATTCATATAACTGGAACGGTTATGGATATTAGCGTCACCGCTACAACATTCATTATCTAGTCTATATTCGGTATTATCTTCTTCAGATTCCTCACAATGTTTTCTGGATGGTATAGTATCTATCTTTGCGGATGAATTTCTGTCCAGTACATTTGAGAAACACACAGATTTATCTTCAGTCAAAAGATCACTAGAACCACATTTACCACTATTCTCATCAAAGGCCGTCGTTTTTTGTAGATTTACTACAAGTGTGTTTAATCTAGTAGTTTTCATCAACAAGTTAGACATTAGCTTTGTAACGTTGTCCAGATTTTTTGTATATTCAATGGACTGAGTGTCTGATTCAACTCGACTAACATGTTCTTCCAATTCTAAAAACACATTTACAGATATATTATCAAAGTAAAGTATAAATGGTTAGATAACATTCTGCTTGTCTCTTAAATAAATCGAAATATTGACCTTCCTGTTCTCGTGTGAATTAGCGAGAGGCGTTTTAATTCCCTTCAACAGTCATTACCCCAAAACAATTATCAATAATGAATTCTTTAAATGGATCCTAACAATGAAATAAGTGTTAAAATATTAAAAAAGAACAAAAAGGAAATATTAAAGTTGCAGAATGCAGATTTTGCCATTAACATATTTCTTTATGTACTTACGTGTTATTTCTTTTGAGACAACAGCCAGCATTGAAGTACTACTCATGCTAAAACATTTAACTCAAACTTAATGATCAATTACACGAATTAGTTACACTCGAATTTCATATCAAATTTGACCAATTGCAAAGATTTCAAAATATATCACTTGTGTATGTCTTAATTTAATTGATATCTAACATTGACCATTGCAAAGCTAATGTTTACAGCGAATTCGGTAATATGTTTAAGTAAAAACATGATAATAGTGTCTAGTCATTACTCTTGTGTTCGTCAAGAGGCTACTCTTTACGAAATAAATAAACCGTCATATGATTTTTTTTCTACTCACTATAAATGTACAACACTTTTTGTTTTTAATTACTTGAAGGTTAACGCGAACATCCAAAAATGAAATACTAGTAAACCTAATAACGGTGGTCACTTACAAAATTAAAACTTTTAATTTTTAGAAATACATATGTAAACGAAATATGCGTCTGGTGTACGCAGTTATACGCCTGGTTTCTTTTTAATTGTAGAAGTAGAACATCTGTCAAATCAAGATAAAAACTACAATATAGTTGCATACAATCTCTTAAAAAGTATAAAAAAAATGAGTGTCTTTTAGGAATTCCATGCAAATTAATGGTATGAAAAACTAGACCTTTGTTTTAGACATATTTTGTAATACAGGAAAATCAATTAATTCTGCATTACAAACTTAACCATAAAATGCAAACAAAGGTAAATATATATTACTAAAAAAAGTACAAAATTGCAGAAGCATACCTTTTTGATGTCATCCTGTCCATTATTTCTGCTTGAGTTTTATTCAATTCATATATGGTGCGTTTGATAGCAATGACCTTAAATAAAAGATATACTATATACTCAGCAACAAAACTAACGCACCACTTCTGTCCACATATTATAGAGGTTTCACAATATCTTCTTTTTGATAAAAAAAATGATCTGGTGTAATTTGGGCATAATATTGAAACTAACCAACTGTTTACAGAGAAATTTCTGTTTAGAGGCAGCAAAAAGGTCAAACATCAAAAGTCCAACATCGATCATGTCTTAAATTTAACGATGAATTGACATTTTACAAGTGTCAAGTCTTGCTTTGACATTGAGTCGATGATGGACAGTTAAGCAATCATTTACAAAAAAGGGGTATAATATAAGAGTCAGTATCTGGTCCCTTAAATTGCCAGCAATAAGGAACGTTCTTCAAAGGGTAATTAACGCTGTACATTCTACTGTAGACATGTCAGTTGATACGTCACTATGATATCAATCCGTCGAAATTGACCGATTTTACCTAAAATGGTCATGTTAATCATAGTTTTTGTCAGAATTCGTAATAAGTTACAGCCTTCCTAGTAAACAAATCTTGTAAGTCATCGTTTAGCAAAATTCCTTCATTGCATTGTTAAAAAATGAAAACAACAAATTTCATGCGTTCAAGGCGCTTTTCTGGATTTACCTTCATCAGGAACGCTCAAAGCTGTATAATTGAAAGCCAAGGGTGTATAAAATCCGACACAGTTGAAGATCTAAATGATCAAATAGGATCGAAACAGAATCTAGAGGTTGTGCGCAAATTGAAGAAAACCTATAAAATCTTGACTATATTTTTTTCAGTTTGAGTCACGCGTTTTCCTGAAAATAAGTAATATAAATACCAAAAACGTATCATTTAATCTTAACAAATTATTTACTTATTTGTGTATGCATTGAACCATACTGCAAATAGCTTGTTGTGAACTTAAAATGATGGACGATTTCACACTGACATTGTTCTGATCTATAACGAAGAACATATCTTAATTTTTTGAAATATTATACCTTTTCCTTCGTTTTGTTTTCCATATTTTTTATTTCCTCTGGAAAAAAAAACAACAATTGTATTACAAGAAGGGTTAAATAAATAACAAACTTGAAGGAACATTTAATTTATATATCTTCCACAGAAGAAAAGTAAGAGATATGAATAACTAAAGCTTGCTTTAAATGAAGCAGATATGAATAATATTTGTGGGACTTGGTTTTAAAGAAGGGTATATAAATAACAGAGGATGGTATCAAATATAGAAAGAGACATGAATAAAATGGACTGGATATGATTATAAATAGACAATAACTTAATAAATTGAAATGACACAAAAATGTCAACCAACCATCATTTACGATAGAAAAGTGTCTATGCCATATATAAAAAGCTGTCAATTGCCAATATTGTAGACATTTTTGAAAAGAGAGATGTCTTAGTAATACGATACTTTAAGATATTTCATTAACACCAAAATTTCCTAGTGGAAAATATGTCACAACAGACAACCCAACCCGTAACCATGTTTCTGACTTTGGACATATACATCAACAGGATGCAGGTTTAAGAGAGTATTTAAGGTACTTAGTCATATCCAATTTTTAAGTGTTTGGCTTGACATTACCACGAATCGAGACGAGTGTGCTACCGATAATTATATATTTATCTATAAGTCTCATCAGCCTTTTGTTAATAATTTTTGCACGAATATTACCATGAAAAATTTATCATGACCAGAACTAAAATAAAAGACCATGGTCACCTTAAGGGAATTTAGTGAAATAAAACAAAAGAGGCGGAAGATACAAATGGGACAGGCAAAACTCGGAAGTCGAAGAGAAAACTAACAACGCCACGAAAAAAATAACCAAAAGACGACGTAAAGACAAACAAATCCACAAAACAGTGCATTAAAAACTAAACACTGAGCAACATGAACCCTACCAAAATCTGGGGGTGATCCCAAAAAATTCAAATGGATACATTATCAGTATACATGTTCGAAAATTTGGTTTATGAAAATAAATTTATTTGTCAGCGTTATATTTGCATCAACTGTTGAAAATATATATCAAATGGTGTTTCGTAGGGCCATAACTGCAATTTAAAGTAGATGAATATATATATATATACGATAATTAGCAATCACTTGACAGTATACTTCATCTCTTTAAAAACAACCATGCAAAATATTTATGGCTTTGATTATTTCTTTTCTTGTGAAATTCACGAATTTCTTGTTTCTAAGTTTCATCTAATTCTTTTCATCTATGAATAAAATGATCCGAGAGGGCGCAGCTTGATACGACCGCAGATGTCAAACCCTGAACAGTTGGGGCAAGTATGGACAATACATTGAATCTTTATACAGCTCTGAATTTGGATTGTGATTAAATATTTGACACATTAAAGGTTTCTTACACAGATTAAATGTGTTCAAAGAGCTGAAAGATTTGAAATTGGACTTTTACCTATTTTGGTCCAATATCCAAAATCTGAATACACGGTTAGGTTAAGCAATCATAGAACCTCAAGAATTTAATTTTTGATGAACTCAAACAAAGTTTGATTTTGGACCCTTTGGACCTCAATGTGGACCAATTTGATAACAGGGTTCTGAAAATCTCAAATTTAAATACAAGGGCAGATTCAGCATATCAAAGAACCCCATATATTTAATTTTGGGCCCCGAATTGGACAGATTCAGCATATCCAAGTACACAAAGAATTTATTTAATTTATTTATTAAGGGATAATATGAGCTAAGTTTTTAAAGAGGTTCGCTTCATCCAAATATATATATATATATATATCGATATATATACCATTCTGAAAAGTAATTCATACAGAATAACGAACAAACCTATCACGAAATTCTTCAAAAAAAATATCATGTTTCCAAAATATCATTCCTCATTAATATAGTCCTACAGTTATAACAAGAAATCACAAAAAAAAGATGATGGATTTAGACGTGGCTCGGTACTTGTACATCCCGTCATTGTGTTGATGTGCTGTTGTCATTGTTTGTATTCTTGTGTTTCAATGTTGCGTATGTGCTTTATCTATATGCCATTTGTTTTTCTTTGTTGACATATTTATTTGTTTTTATGGTGATTGAGATAATAACACAATGTTGACTGATGTTCTACTACTTCTGACCTTTTTACCTATTATGGCTGTTTGCTTTGTTCACACGTTGTTGTCAAAAAATGGAATTTTATGCGACTGTCATACAAGTGAGAGGTTTAGCTAGCTTTAAAATCAGATTTAATCCACCATTTTCTACATCAGAAATGCCTGTACCAAGTCAGGAATATCACAGTTGTTTTCCATTCGTTTGATATGTTTGAGCTTTTGATTTTGCCAATTGTTAAAGAGATTTTCCGTTTTGAATTTTCATTGGAGTTCGGTATTTTTGTTGTTTTACTTTTTTTTTTTTTTAATCAGCTTATCAGCCACTCTACTTAGAAAACACAAAGTTTTCAATTATAATTGTCACTCTAATAATAAATGTGTTATTTGATGAATTTCACATGTTTTGTTTTCTTGATAATTGGTGGTAATTGCTGCATGCATGAATCAATAGTAAAGACACAACACTTATCCATATTCATCAATGTGAATATTTAGTTAATTACAAATGTAAATATGTAATACAAATTGTGTGTAGTTTTTATAAGAAGAAAAATACTGTTTTTTTTTAAATAATAATAATTATAATTATACATGTCATAATAATTCTTTATTTAAAGAGGGTTACACAATTAGCTGTGAAACTAATCTTCCCTAAGGCCCTCATGAAATACATTGAAATATAACATACAAAGAATTACAAAATAATCGAACAAATATACACATTAACTAATTTTAGGGAATTAATACATCACAAACTCTCCTTTATTCATTATGATATTTAATTTCCATGATTAGTTATAAAAATGTTAAAATAAACAAAATTTCAAATAACTTCATTGATCATGTCCTGGAGTGGTAATATCAGAAACTGGACATAATACTCTAGTTCAGGGAAAGCTTGTTCGCGACCTAGAATTCTGAGTGGGTCAAGCGTTTAATTAAAATTCATGCGAGAGTATGCGAGATTTGGATGAACTGAGGGCAAAGTCATTTGGTACAAATCAATATTCGATGTTAAGGATGCCCGCCGCTTTCCCGTTTACCTGTGAAGTCGTTGAGTGTCATCTAATTTTTGGTTTATGTTTATGTTTAATAAAGTAAAAAAAATATTGTGTAGAATTTCGAGACCTAGTGTTTGAAAATTACGGGAGAAAATTGGGAAAGAAATTTGAAGGAAACTTGAAATTTACCTTGCAAATAACCAAAACCAAATGTTTGATAATGAAGGAATTAGGGCCTACAAGTCACTGGAAGCTTCCAAGAACTTCGAGGAAGTTTATGTGCAGAAATATCATCTTGGAGATTGAGAACAATTTCCTGATACATGCTGACGTAACGACATTAATTGCCAAAACAGTATACTAAGTATCATTCAACGGTGACACTACATAATTTATTCTCTTTGGCTTGTGTCGGTCGGATATAGATAAACAATTTAAACCATATGATTGTCATGTAAAACGGAGCTTTTTGAAAAGTTGTTTCTTGTCATAACACAAAGCTAGTCGATATCATGAATTATAATATGCGAAGTATTTAATAAACTATAACCATGGCTTCATAAATGTTATGTTTTCAATATTGTATAAATAGTCTGATCGTTTAACCTTGGAATAGTATATACGTTCCTTGTTCAACCCATAATAAAAAAGTTCCCATAAAAACAAACAGCTATGTACAGTTAGTCGTATGGAATTAAACTCTTAGCAGAAAAGCCACACCCACTAATAAGCTATACAATGTCTTTACTCGGACTGTTGCATTTCGAACAAACAAGTGAAAAGTCCAGCGCAATGTAGAACAAAACAGTTTCAACATTCATATATCATTATCATGATCTTGACCTGCATGGATATGCATTTAACTTGCAACTGGACGATTTAACAAAACGGTTATTGATGACTGCGTGAAAAACTTTAACCTTAGACAAAACCTGAATTTAACTGTTAAGGAAAACGAAGTCCATTTATTAATAAAATACGGAAAAATGAAAATAAATATTTGCAAAATTTTGTCCTGGATACTGTATTTTGGTCATAAAGAAGCTTCTGTCCCAATTTCCCGAAATTCCATTATGTTTGACAAAGATTTTGATGTAAAACAAAACTTTAACCACAGACTGAACCTAAATGCTGACGCAGCCGGCGTTAACGCTGACGACGGAATCTAGGATCGCCAAGTCTCGCTTTCGCGAAATAAATTTCTCAAGCTTGACAAAAAGAAGGATTTGTGTCAAAAGATCCAAGTAGGCAGTTATTTCACTCATAAATCTTGAAGATCTCCTTGCTTTCGACAAGACGACAATCATTGGTTTTTTTTTTTTTTTTTGTCTAGGGGGGGGGGGGTACTTTTATTATTATTTTTGTCGAGCCTTCGACTTTTGTCGAAAAAGCGAGACATAGCAATCCTACATTCCGTCGTCGTCGTCGTCGTCGTCGTCGGCGGCGGCGGCGTCCACAAATGTTCACTCTGTGGTTAAAGTTTTTGAATTTTTAATAACTTTCTTAAACTATCATGGATTTCTACCAAACTTGGACAGAAGCTTGTTTATGATCATAAGATAGTATCCAGAAGTAAATTTTGTAAAAAAAAAATTCCTGTTTTTCCGTATTTTACTAATAAATGGACTTAGTTTTTCTGCCAGGAAACATTACATTCACTCTGTGGTTAAAGTTTTTAAAATTTTAATAACTTTCTTAAAATATCCTGGATTTGTACCAAACTTGGACAGAAGTTTGTTTATGATCAAAAGCTAGTATCTAATTTTGGACCCTAATTTAGACCTAATTGAATACTGTGCCCAAAATCATTAATCTGAATACACGCTTAGATTCAGCATTGCAAAGAACCCCAAGAATTCAATTTTTAAGAATTAAACAAAGTTTAATTTTGGACCCTTTGGACCTTAAT